TATCAGTCTGTCGGGAATATAATGTGAATTTTTCGCAGTAAAATGTCTAACCACCAAATCTCCAGCTAGCCGTCGCAAAGCGATTCCACGGCGCGGCAAATCTGATTTACTAGTATATATCAGTCTGTGGGGAAAGTAATGAGCACTTTGTCGCATCGAAAATGGCATCGCCGTCGGGAAAATTAATTTTGTCGCGGGAAAATCAAAATTTATTTTTATTTCAGCGACATGATTGGAGCAGCAAAAGTGTGCTCATTATTTTCCCGACAGACTGATAGAAAGGCACTATTTAAAAATAGAGGCCCTATAGCTCTGAAAAACACACTTTCAAGTCAAATTGGCCGTGGAATTCGCAAAGTTATGGGCCAAGGAAGGCCTCAAAACCCGGCTGGCTTACTTGTCAGCCTTTAAACCAAACTTTTTGACAAATAAGATCGATGACAACACAACAAAACATTGTCTGAACACCCACAAATTTAATCATTGGCAACAATAAACTTCAAAAATTACGGCTTTGTCAGCAAAACCCCCACATAAAAGTGCATGATTCACCGTCTTATCACAAAAGCCTGACCCGGATTTTTATTGATAAAAATGTTTTCAGAATTTCGATGAAAAAGCAGCTAATCACGAATGGAAATTTGCGAAATTTCCCTCATTTTATATTGTACATTTGACGTGTCCTCCACCCCCAGACAATAAAAAAATTATTGCGAAAAAGATGAAAGAGCAAAATTGATACGGCGACAAAGGGATTTTTGGGATTAATGCGGGGGAAAAGTCCAAGGATTTGATGATATTTGAATTTGTAATGGTCAAATCAGGTTCAAAAAAGTCATCGAACAAGTTAAAAAAAAGTGTTTGTAAGTTTTACCAGTCTGTCGGGAAAATAATGAGCACTCTGTCGCATGGAAAATCGCATCGCCATCGAGACAATGAATTGTGTCGTGGTAAAATCAAATTACTTTTCCCTTCAGCGACGCTATCAAGGCAGTGAAATTGCGCTCATTATTTTCCCGACAGGCTGATAAATGCTTTTCTGCAACGCACAGGGGAAGTACTGCAAGTGCGACGCTCAGATTTTGATGAAACTTGGCACAAATTTAGAATAATTTTTTCTAAGGTATATGCGAGAATCCTAGCTCGCGCTTTGCAGAAACAACCGAGATTTTTAGATCGAAAGTCGGCCAAAATTTAGGACTTTTTGCCGAATTTCGACACGAAAAGTTTCATGCCTATTTCTATCGTAAAGGATAATGTTTCTACAAAAAAATCAAATTTTTCCGCGCGAAACTGCCAAAGTTATGGCCAAAAGCCGTGACCGCTCTCCACGTTTAGCGTGCTCTCTCGGTGGCAAAAATCGGTCGATATCTCGGCGGCGCCCGCAAAGCGCGAGCTAAAACTTTCAGGAATTGATATTTAGTCCATACCCGGCGTGTGTGCAAAATTTAAAGAAAATCTGAGCGTCGCACTTGGAGTGCTTCCCCTGTAAGGATTGTAATTATTCCGGGTGCAATCTGAAATTTCGGCCCGGCCCGGGCCGTGAGCCCTGTCTAGTTACAATTAAGCCTCTCTATAACGGCTCTGCAGTCTGCTGCCCCATATCAAAACCCTCAAAACTTCCGTATGCATTCTTCTCCGGCTACATGAAACCCCAGAAAGCGCCCGAGGCGTTTCGTCGGGTTGTTCTCATTTCCGAAAGAGAAAGTGGCATAGATTTCGGATGAAGAGAGAAAAGGAAAACACGAATGGGATTACTATAAATTGAGTTCACTCCAGATCCCATTCGAAGAAAAAACAGGTGAGAATACGTGGAGAATCAAGCAATGGGGGCGATGAAGCGGGCTCTGCGTTACGACCGACGGGTTAACGGGCTAGCACTCGCGCTGCGACGCGCTTTTTGGACCAGCCTGCGAACGTGAGGAGTTGAAATTGTCAGCGGCGTCGAAATCCAGGGAGGCAGTGGAGTCGTTGCAGATTGAGGGAAATCTGCGCGCAACTGATTTTTTTTTCATTTTTACATCCTTGATCATTGTTTAGTTACTTTGGGTAGATGGATTTGGAGTTTTATATCAGCGAAATTTGATAGATTTTACCATCTATCTTGATATGAAAATTTTTTTTTGTGGATTTGTACCTTTTATATATCAGTTTGTCGGGAAAATAATGTGGATTTGTTGCGCCTCAGAATCGCCCATTATCGCTTTGCGACGGCTAGCTGGATATTTGGTCCCGCGACTGCAACCAGGCGAGACATTTTGCTGCGACAAACCCACATTATTTTCCCGACAAATTGAAATTTCGAATTTTATTCGATTTGAAGATTTTCATTTTATTTTGCCCATACGTAGGGCATACTCCACATGTCAATTCCTAAAAATTTTAGCTTTCAATTTTCCGGCACAGCCGAGATATTCAACGATCTTTGCGGCTGTGAGAGCACGCGAAACGCGGAGAGCGGTCAGAGAAAAAAAAACTTTTTGGCTGTATCCGTTCTTTGCGGAAGTATCACACATTCCATGGCAAAATTAGAAAAAAAGGTCCCCGTTTTTTGCCAAGTTTCGTCTTAAAAAATATCGGTTATTTCAACAAAGTGCTAACCAGAAGTCTGACGCCTAAACATTTTTTTGCTTTACATAAGGGATGATATTTAAAAATTGCTTTGAAATTTGCAAAGGTTTCTATTTTTGGCCACACTTCAACGCCTAAAAATCTTAACTCATGATTCGCGGAGATATTAATTTTTCGGGAAAATAATGTGGATTTGTCGCAGCAAAATATCTCGCCTCATTGCAGTCGCGCACCGAAACTCCAGCTAGCCGTTGCAAGAGTGGTAATGGGCAATTCCAAGGAGCGACAAATCCACTTTATTTTCCCGACAGATTGATAAGAAAATAAAAAAAACGCGGTTTTCTCCGACGGTCTTTTTTTCGCCATGACTTTGAGTAGTTATGGCGAGCAAATTTAATGGAGATATGAGCTTTGCACTACGATTCCCCCCATCAAATCGTACGTTTGATATCCATCCTTACGATCGAAATCCCCTGCGTTTGCGTTTTTTGCCACAGAGCAAATCCTCGCCTCGTATAACGTCATGTGCAAAAAGTAGTGCGCTTAACAAGGATAATCTCCCCGGGCGTCGGAGAGAGCGCTTAGCGGGAAAAGATGACTAAAAAGGTCATAACTCGGTGTGACTCGTTTAGCTTTATTGACGGATAGCCGCTGTGGTCAGAGGGGGTTGCGCGATCGTCTCCGGGCTCGCTGAACTCCCCCGTTTTGTATATTTTGTATTGTCGCAATGTTTTCTTATTAACAGGGGAAGTACTCCAAGTGCGACGCTCAGATTTTCTTTAAATTTTGCACACACGTCAGGAATGGGCTAAATATCAATTCCTGAAAGTTTTAGCTCGCGCTTTGCGGGCGCCGCCGAGATATTGAACGATTTTTGCCGCCGAAAGAGCACGCTAAATGTGGAGAGCGATCAGAGAGAAAAACGCTTTTTGGCCATAACTTGGGCAGTTTCGTGCGGAAAAGTTTGATTTTTTGTAGAAACATTATCCTTTACGGTAGAAATAGGTATGAAACTTTTCGTGCCAAAATTCGGCAAAAAGTCCTAATTTTTGGCCGACTTTCGGGTATGGACTAAATATCAATTCCAGAAAGTTTTAGCTCGCGCTTTGCGGGCGCCGCCGAGATATCGAACGATTTTTGTTGGCAAAAAAGTGACAGTATTTTGGCGAATTTTGTAGTCAAAACTCTCATGTCTATTTCTGCGTAAAGTTTCCACAAAAACAAACAAACAAATCTTACCCTACGAAATTGGCAAAGATCTGGCCAAAAAGTGTTTTTATCTCTGGCCGTTCGCTGCGTTTCGCGTACTATTTCGGCAGAAAAGATCGTTGAATATCTCGAGCAAAGCGCGAGCTGAAATTTTCAGGAATTGATAAGTGACCTGTGCCCGAATCTCGATCATTTCTGCGAGGTAAGAGCAGAGATTGCTACGGTCAAAATTTTGGCTCCGGCTCCGGCTCTTAGCCCCCAGAGCCGGAGCCAAGGCCAAATCTGCAGTTCTGGCTCCGGCTTCCGGCTCCGTGCAAAATTTTAAAAGGTCTCCGGCTCCGAATCCCGGCTCCTATGCAAAAAAAAAATTTTAATATTTTTTCGAAAATAAAAATTAGTAGTGCCCTCTGATCAAACAGCCAACGTTTTTGCAGCCAAGTCGTACGCAACACATCCTTACCAGTATTTTTCAAGAACATTGGTTTAACAAGATCACGAAATTTGTACTTTTCTGCACGCTGAGAAGCCTGGCTCCGACCTTGGGCTCGGGAGCCGGGGCCAACCCCAAAATTTCCGGCTCCGGCTCTGGCTCCCGGCTCGGAGCCGGAACCAAGAGTAGGCTCCTTAGCCGTGGTAATCTCTGGGTAAGAGTCTTTGCAGATGTTTCAGAGCAAAATAATAGTCTAATGTAAGAATTTGAAAAGTTTCATCAAGACTTGAGCGTCACATTTTGGGCTCTTCTGAAGTTAGGGAACCTTGGTTATCAGTCTGTTGGGAAAATCATGAGCATTCCGTGGCATCGAAACTCGTATCGCCGCCGAGAAAATGAATTTTGTCACCGCAAAATCAAATTGCTTTTAACTTCGGCGACGCAATCGGCGCAGCGACACCGTGTTCATTATTTTCCCGACAGACTGATAATTGCTCCAAGAAATCAGGTCGCGCTTCGAGCAATCTCTCGCGCAGAATCGGCGACCGTTACCGGGATAACTTTTGCTCCCTTCATAAACTTTTTTTCCCTCTGCTTTATGCGTTTGTTTTTTTGCGCTCCCTTACCTTAATTTTTCCATCCCCACCTGCTTTTGTTTTATCCGAGGAACAGAGGAACTTGAGCGGTTCAGAAAAGTGGGTGGAACATTATATCTCCCGCTTCTCCCCCTCCTTTTACGCTACTCCAAATGTTTTGCGTTGATTAATCACCAACTTTTCAGCCGTTCCAAATGTTTGAGGTTGTGTTGTGGAGAACGGTGGTTGTGGTGGCGCTGTTGGAGGTGGCCAGTTGTCAATGTAAATTTTTTGAATTTTTTGGCTAGAGTGATTAGTATTTTTTTTTTGATACCAGTCTGTCCGGAAAGTCGCTGGAGTGATTTTTGGCGTTTACACTGTGCAGAAAAAAGGCAGATACGAATGAGGGCCCAAAAACGCCTATTAGGGTGCAAAAAGCAATGTTGCAGAAAACACTCTGGAGACTTTGTGAACGAAATACTTTGAAAAAATTTGATTACTGCTCCCGCCATAAAAGTCCGTAGAATTTTGCACCATAGATTTTGCTGATCGTTAGAGTCGTTTTTCGTGTGCCGCTGCAAATTCCCGCTTTTTGCATGCACTTCTTCGCCAGCGCAATTTCGTGCGAAATCATTCGACGAGCTTTATGGCATAGTAAACTTTCCGAAAATGTAGATAAAATTTTCTAAGGCATAAGTATGTGAGATTTTTCGCTCGTGCGGTTGCAGCAACTGCCGAGATTTTTGGGTCAGAAGTTGATAAAAAAAGTATATTCAGTTTTTGAAAAGTCTTTAATTTTTGTATATCAGTCTGTCGGGAAAATAATGTGGAATCGCCCAACATTGCTTTGCGATGGCTAGTTGGAGTTTTTGTGAGCGCCTCCTACGAGGCGAGATATTTTGCTGCCAAAAATCCACATTATTTTCCCGACAGACTGATATTTCTAAACTTTTCGATTTGAATGCTAACCCCACAGAATTCTTTGTATTTTTTTTTGAATTTTTGTACTGTCGATTTTTTTCCTTTTAGATTTTTTCGACAAATCCAGAGAAGTCCATCCCAAAAAGCATGACAAATACGAGAAGCCCAACAAATCGCAGCTTCACTCTTCTGAGCTCCCAAACAGCTCCTCCTCCACCAGCACCATCACCATGGACAATCGGACATTTATCCAAGACTTTGCCGCCGGCACCTACTACATCCGCAAGGCCGAAAGTGGCGATGAAGAGGCGAAACGGCCGCGCTCGCTGTTCCCCGAACGCTACAGCGGGCCGGCCGAGTTCTACGCGTTCTACAGCCCACGGTTCGCGCGCACCTTCTACGTGAACTACGTGAGCGGCGAGCGCGGCTCGGTGCGCGGCTATCACGTCTTCGACGACACGCTGGAGCGCTTCCAGCCCGTCTCCATGGTCCAGAAGATGATGGAGATGATGCGCGACACGCCCTTCTTTAATTAATATGCTTTAATTTCTCGGGAAGCGAGGAGAAAGTTTTCTAATTTATTTGTGGTCTCCAACCTCCGAAATGTCATGGAGGAATACGTTTTGGGCGTTCCGAATGACATGTTCGGAGGGAGTTTTGGTAGGAAATAAAGTGATTTGGAATTAAAATTTTCGTACGTTTTCGAAATGAAAGGGCCAATCAGAGAAAACTAAGAGAAAAGATACGATTTGAAATTCACCTTGGATACTTTATTGATCATAATGAGCAAATATTTATTAGACATCAACTACAACATGACTAGAGAACTACAGTGATATGTTGACTTTTTGATTGAGATTTTGATATGATTAGGGGGTTTCAAGGCACTTTTCAAGGCACCTTTGATATCAGATATGATTAATATTAATAATTTTTTTCCGTACGAAACTTCCGAGTACGGAATGGGAAGGGAAAAAGGTGCCAATTTTGTTTCGGCTATAGTTCATCGGCCAATTGAGTATTTTTTGCAAAAGATGTATCAAATTAATCCTTGTGAGTTTAAATTTTTGGCCATAGAAATTTCGAAATATCTTATGCCCTCAGGGCTTGAACATATTCGATTCTTTCCAAAAAAAAATTTTTTTTGACTTTCAAACAAAATTAGGCTTTTGAAATGCCCTAAGGGCGTAAAAATTTTTTTAATGAGATGGCCAAAAAATAGAAGCCTCGTGGATCAAATCAATCCATTTTTTTCCAAAAACGGTGCACTGGCCGATCAGTTATAACCCAAACAAGATTGACATGTTTTAAGGCCCTTTTGTTCCAATTTCCATTATTTTTTCTCTCTCTCCGGATAAATGTAGCTCTGCGACCGCTGTCGCACGATTCCAGGACGTTGTTCCTCCTCGAAAGCCGCATTATCCTCGCCGATTATTGTTCTGGCCGCAAAAATTGTCGAGATTTTCGGGCGCGCCGTATGACTTCGCCCGATTTTGCTCTTTTTCCGCTTGTCCAAGTTCTTCACCGAGTCCGAATCACTGCCCAAGTCCAGTTCCAGCTCGACGATTTCGTTGGGTCGGATCGCTTTTCCCATTCCCATCGTGCGCTCGGCGACAATGTTGTCCAAATAGTAGCTGGATGGGGATTGAGTGACCGTGCTGAGCTTGGGATCGTCGTCTGGACCGACTTCCTGAAAATTGAAAATTTCTATTTTACAGGGAGAGTACCTCTATGGGATATGGAGTTGCAGGTCGAGACATATGTCAAAAAATCGCAAAATTTTTCTGATCAGGAATATGTAAAAATTTGCTGCCAATTTTGTTTTGTAAGGGTGAAAAAATCCTCACAAGAAATTTTCTGGGAACACCACACAAATGCCCCTTTTTTGAACAAGTTTTTACCAAATCAGAAGCTTGTTTTTGAGGTAAGGTAAACCCTGGCATCTTGACAAGCCTTGAAATAGCAAATTTGATATCAATTATTATATTAAAATGCTACACCATAATTAGTCGTTCCAATGTAAAAAAGAGGCGGCATTTGCGTGGTGTTGCGATAAAAGTTCTGATGATTTTTTCACCCTTACAAACCAATATGGGTCAGCTAATTTTTGCATATTCTGAATCAGAAAAATTTTGCAATTTTTGAGGTATGTCATCTTTAACTTCATACCCCATAGAAGTACTTTTCTTAAAAAAATAATTGAATAACAGGGGAAGTACCCCAAGTGCGACGCTCAGATTTTCTTTAAATTTTGCACACACGTCAGGAATGGGCTAAATATCAATTCCTGAAAGTTTTAGCTCGCGCTTTGCGGGCGCCACCGAGATATTGAACGATTTTTGCCGCCGAAAGAGCACGCTAAATGTGGAGAGCGATCAGAGAGAAAAACGCTTTTTGGCCATAACTTGGGCAGTTTCGTGCGGAAAAGTTTGATTTTTTGTAGAAACATTATCCTTTACGGTAGAAATAGGTATGAAACTTTTCGTGCCAAAATTCGGCAAAAAGTCCTAAATTTTGGCCGACTTTCGATCTAAAAATCTCGGTTGTTTCAGCAAAGCGCGACCTAGGATTCTCGCATATATTTTAGAAAAAATTATTCTAAATTTGTGCCAAGTTTCATCCAAATCTGAGCGTCGCACTTGGAGTACTTCCCCCGTAAAACAGAAAAGATTTTCCCCTCCCTACCTTCTCACTCTCCAGCCCGTACGGATGCCAGACCGCCGCCGTCTTCCTCTTAATGCTCCCCGCCAATCTCTTCAGCCTCGCCGCCACCGTACTCCTCGTCTCTTGGTCCTCCGAATTCGCGATCTCATCCAACGTCTCTTCAATTCGCTTCTGTCGCTGCAGCTGTTTCTCTCCTTTTGTGGCCATATGAGCCCGTCGTTTCGAGCTGACAAAAAGCCACGAAACCTTGACCAAATAAATGATGATCTCGATCACACTCAGCACACTCATCCCCAAAAACAGACCCATATTTCCGCCAATGTCGGAGAGGATTTCGCTGAGGGAGGTGCGCTCGACTTGCTCGTATTCGGTGAAGGAGATCTCACGGAAGAATACGGCAATCCCAACGAAATCTTTCCTGAAAAATGGAATTTTTCGGGAATTTTTAAAAAATTGAAGTTTTTGGGAAATTTTAAAAAATCAGGGGCTTGTCCCACTAACAAAGCGTAGCGCGAATCACGAATTGGAAGCGCGAAAAATCATGCAAAAGCGAGAGAGGTGAGAGAAAAAGCGGGCTCTCTCGGAAATCCGCGCTACGGTTTTTTGTGCTAAATACCGACAAATGTTTCACTTTTTTGGCCATAACTCCTTTCAATGACGTCCAATTTACATGATTTTAAAAACCACGAACAGAGGAGACCTACAGCTTCTAGAAAATGAAAATTTTGTTTGCTTTAACGCGGATTAAGGCTCCCCGCCATGACGAATTACAATTTCCTCATGGAAAATCATGATTCGAAGTCATATTTTCAAAAAAACTTATCCTTAGCTATTTATCGCAACTTCCACAGCTCATATGCAAATTTATCAACCCGAGTTGCCCCTTGCCCCTCCCAAGCCCAATGTTTGGTCTCCTCTTGTCATAATTTGCTAGGTGACAAAAATGTTTGTTTCAAAAAAAAATTATGGATAAATTCTCCACTCATCCCTCAGAGACGTTGAAACAAACTATTCAAGCCAAACTACCCCTCTTACACCCAGTTTTAGTCAACCCTTATCATCATTCGTTTTATAACAAAAAAGTTGCTGTCATATGGCAAGGGGAGACCAAAAATTGGGCTTGGGAGGGGCAGCTCGGGTTGATAAATTCACATATAAGCTTTGGGAGTTACGATAAATAGCTAAGGGTAAGTTTTTTTTGAAAATATGACTTCGAATCATGATTTTCCATGAGAAAATTGTAATTCGTCTTGGCGGGGAGCCTTAATCGGCGTTAAAACAAACAAAATTTACATTTTCTAGAAGCTGTGGATCTCCTCTGTTCACAGTTTTTAAAATCATGTAAATCCGACATCACTGGAAGGAGTTACGGCAAAAAAAGTAAAAAAATTTCGGTATTTCGTTAGCACAAAAAAACCGTAGCGCGGATTTCCGAGAGAGCCCGCTTTTTCTCTCACCTCTCTCGCTTTTGCATGATTTTTCGCGCTTCCAATTCGTGATTCGCGCTACGCTTTGTTAGTGGGACAGGCCCCAGAAATTCAAAAAAAAAATCAAAAAAATAATAATACCCAATTTTTTTCCAAATTTAATTTAAATTTAGCCCAAATTTACAGGAGAAGTACCCCAAGTGCGACGCTCAGATTTTCTTTAAATTTTGCACACACGTCGGGAATAGACTAAATATCAATTCCTGAAAGTTTTAGCTCGCGCTTTGCAGGCGCCGCCGAGATATCGGACGATTTATGCCGCCGAGAGAGCACGCTAAACGTGGAGAGAGGTCAGAGAGAAAAACGCTTTTTGGCTATAACTTTGGCAGTTTCGTGCGGAAAAATTTGATTTTTTGTAGAAACATTATCCTTTACGGTAGAAATAGGCATGAAACTTTTCGTGCCGAAATTCGGCAAAAAGTCCAAAATTTTCGCCGACTTTCGATCTAAAAATCTCGGTTGTTTCTGCAAAGCGCGAGCTAGGATTCTCGCATATATCTTAGAAAAATTTGTTCTAAATTTGTGCCAAGTTTCATCAAAATTTGAGCGCCGCACTTGGAGTACTTCCCCTGTTAGAAAAGATTTCTCTAACACATATTTGTAAATTGCTAGCCCTTACTTCAACTTTGTATCCCGAATCTTCTCATGCTTCTTCAAATACGCCGCCACCGCCCTCGAAAACCCATCGCTGTACGAGGTGTACACTTGATAATCCCAACGATCACACTCCATTCGACATCGAGAGCAGTCAGGCGCGATCTTTTTTAGAATGTCCTCGGCTGAAATTTTGAAATTTTTAGTTTTTCGGAAATTTTAAAAACTGATAGTACCATTAAAAATGGAGCTTTTAATTCTTTTATCTGGCATTCGAACTTTATTTTGGCCACATAATTATTTATGAAAGTTTTAGCTTTTTCGTTGCACTTACAGCCGAGATATTATATTACGAAATGTTTTTTCGAGAGAGCACGGAAAATAAGGAGAGTCTAGAGAAAAATGCTTTTCGGCTATATTTTCTCCAATTTCATTCGGAAAAATTTGATTTTTTGGGGAAATATTTTACTCCCCAAATGTAACAAACACTGATTTTTTCGAAGTCCAAAATCGCAATTTTTGAAAAAATTTTTTTCAAGTTCCGATCAAAAAAAAACAAAAAATCTCGATTTTTAGGGCAAATCGCAAGCTGAAACTTTCAATTATACCTTAAAAACGTATAAACTAAATTTACAACAAATTTTCAGAAAAATCAAAAACCCAAATTTGGACTACCCCTCCAAAAAACGAAAAAAAAACTTACAATCGGAAGATGGGTCAACATCAAAAATGGTCTTCAAACAATTGTAATTCTCAGCAACGGAGCAGGTGTTGTATGCTGAAAAAATCTTACACTGAAAATTGAAAAATGAAAAAGCAAAAAAGCCACATTTTTAGCGATGACTTACTTCCATTCAGCGAATACAAAAACGGAACGCACTTGCATTTACCGAACAAATGCGTGGCAAAACAATGGGCCTGGCAAAGGGAGCTGGAGTAGTTGTGGGTGGTCAAGATATCGTCTCTTTCCTCTTCGACCCAATCTTGAGAGCATCGATTCCCGGAGGGGTGAAGGATGTACTGAAAAAAGAGAAATTTTAGCGAATTTTTACGTGATTTCCGATAAAATCCTAGACTGAATTCAGTTTATAAGGGCTGTTAATTGATTATGAAAACATTGGGCTACAACTTCCACTTTAATTTTTCCGAAAAAACGGCAAAAATCGCGATATTATACTAGATTTGATGACTAAAACAATTTTTAATACATTTTTGATGAAAACATGTCAAAACAAGTGTTTTTGATTTTTTTTTGTAAAAATAAAGCCTCAATGTTCTTGTAAACATCTTTTTTCGCCGTATTTTAGGCCTTTCTTATCCCATCCGGGTGACATTTGAGTCCCGCCGCGAAAACAACAGAATGCCAAAATTAACATGATTTCATCGAAAATCATTATCATCATTTTTTCATGGATTTTTGGCAAGTATTTGCATGAAACGTGAAAGAATTTGGTCCTCATTCTGACCGGCATTTCTTCATTATGTTGTTGTATATATATACAGTAGCTGCCAAAAAACTGTCAATTTTTTTGTTTTTTGTGTAACTCTGCTCAACGTGGATGGATTTAAATGAAACAAGTACCATCCTGTAGAGAATTATTGCTATTATCTAATGGCGTAACAATTGGGACGATTTTACACCTTAGTGTGTAACAATTGTCGATGTAAAATTTTTGGAAAGACAAAAAACTGTCAATTTTTCCAAAAAATTTTTACCGCTTGCATACGCCGCAGCGAGTCATGGGCTTATATATTCCGATTATTAAATAAAGTCCCACTGCACATTACTGACCATCAAAGGGAGCCAAGAAAATTACTTTTATACTCCTTTTGGTGGTCCCAAGTTCGATATCCCAAAACATAACGTTTAATGAAAAATCGGTTTTTTTGTTGGACTTAGCAGTAAGTGAATGCCTTGCAGTAGAAGCTAGACAACCTGCAATTATGGTAAGACAATGATTATGACCCAAAATGTAAGTCTGCGGAGTCCACTTGATATTCAAGTTTCTCCGGCAGTAGATGTACCTAGGAACTTTAGCCTGGGTGCTTTCGTAGATACCTCTAATGGTAGTTCCAAGGCCATAGAAGGCACTCAAGTGATTAACAAACAGTTTAGAACCACTACCGCCACCGGCCCGAACTTCACGCGCAAAATAACTAGGCTCCAAAATGGAATTTTTGAAGAAGAATTGGTGTCTTGATTTGCACTCTCCATGCCATAGAAATAACCCAGTGTAGGGACGAAAAAATTTTTGTGTCATAGATTTACAGCTATTCCTGTTATTTCTAACACAATTTCACTCTATCTGAGGTCTTGCTAAAGTCGTAAACCTTCTTGCAAATTTCCACAAAAAAATTTTTTTGCTAACGACCACATAACCGTCCGTAATTCTTATGTGACCTGTTTTGCCGTCCTACAAATGTCCATAAAATGCTTCTAGGAGATCTGTGATCACGTCTTGATAAGACACTAGCAAGCTGAGCCAAAGGCAGAGGCCACAAAACTAAATTTCTACAGAAACTCGATTGCCAGAGAAACTTGAATATCAAGTGGAGTCCGTATACTTACATTTCGGTTCCCAATCATTGTTTTGTTATAATTTTAGGTTGCCTAGCTTCTACTGCAAGGCATTCTCTTACTGCTAAGTCCAACAAAAAACCGATTTTTCATTAAACGTTATGTTTTGGGATATCGAACTTGGGACCACCAAAAGGAGTATAAAAGTAATTTTCTTGGCTCCCTTTGATGGTCAGTAATGTGCAGTGGGACTTTATTTAATAATCGGAATATATAAGCCCATGACTCGCTGCGGCGTATGCAAGCGGTAAAAATTTTTTGGAAAAATTGACAGTTTTTTGTCTTTCCAAAAATTTTACATCGACAATTGTTACACACTAAGGTGTAAAATCGTCCCAATTGTTACGCCATTAGATAATAGCAATAATTCTCTACAGGATGGTACTTGTTTCACTTAAATCCATCCACGTTGAGCAGAGTTACACAAAAAACAAAAAAATTGACAGTTTTTTGGCAGCTACTGTATATACTAGACGGCATCCGGCTTTTGAACCAATTTTTTGCTCTGTTTTTTTATTTTTTTGTAGGGTTGACTATTTCTACCGTGATTCTGGAGGGCTGTACCTTTACACTGTACCGTTGTATGAAACTCTTTTCCGGATGTAATTTTCGGTTTTTGCCTTGGTTTTCGTGAAATTGTTTGCGGGCGCCGCGGAGATATCAAACGATTTTTGCCGCCGAGAGAGTACGCTAAACGTGGGGAGCGGTCAGAGAGGAAAACGCTTTTTGGCCATAACTTTGGCAGTTTCGTGCGGAAAAATTTGATTTTTTGTAGAAACATTATCCTGTACGGTAGAAATAGGCATGGAACTTTTCGTGCCGAAATTCGGCAAAAAGTCCTAGATTTTGGCCGACTTTCGATCTAAAAATCTCGGTTGTTTCTGCAAAGCACGAGCTAGGATTCTCGCATATATCTTAGAAAAGATTATTCTAAATTTGTGCCAAGTTTCATCAAAATCTGAGCATCACACTTGGAGTACTTCCCCTGTAAGGTATAGCCAAGATTTACCGCACAAAACATCTCCCTTACAATTCGCAAACAGGTATTTCTGCCTCAAATTCAACGACTTACATGATTCGGGCTCACCGATGAGAAAGCCTTCCGTCCCGGTGAAACACTCGTTCCTTCGCTGTTGATATAGGGCACCGCATCTCTTGAATGGATGAAATATCTGAAGCCGTTCTCGACATTCGACATGAAATCATTGTAGGTTGTGTTTGGCTGTTCGTCGGAGTGGAAATCAGCGTAAACTTGAAGACCATTCCCCACTCCAGGCTGAGGCGTGATCCCCTTGGAACGGGCGTAATAATCGAGGTCAATTTGATAGCAGTTCCCCAAATCGGTCATGATGGACTTAGCATAGTCGCAACAGTTGAATTCCTCGGAGGAATAGGTGCAAATTCGAAGAGTGTCGTTGCAAGATGGGCTAAAATGTGGGAGTTTTAATGTGGGTTAACAAGTTTTGCGATCGCTGAAGGCTTGAAGCTCTGGGGTTTTTTTCAAATTTACGAGCTTGGAATACTCGTCGCGACATAAAGTCCTGACACATTTTGTCGCGGGTGCCGCGCGAGAAAATTGGCAAGTTCGCGCGAAAGTGCATGTCGCTAGTGCAAAAACGGCGAATTGCCGCGACGGGTCCGAAAGAAAAACAAAATGCACTGTGCAAATGTGTCAGGACTTTATGTCGCGACTAGTAGAAGAAAATTTTAGTTTACACTTCACAATCGGAGCTGGGATACCCAACGAAATCGAAAAAGACTATGGAAAAAAGGGAAGATTAGAGATTTGATGCCTATTAGATTAGAGGTCTATTAGTGTTGTCTTTCTCTTCCCCACAGTGCATTTTGAACCTTTTCCCATTGCATGAGGCGAAATGTGCTCCTGTTTGAAAATAGGATCTTTGGCAACAGACCAAGGTGTCTTGAGGAAACAAATTTCCTTTCACGACCTAGCCACACTTGTTTTCCACAGTCGCTGCAAAGATCATTAAATTTGACCTTGGATTCAAAATGTTCCCAAAAGTTAGCGCTACGCTTAAGCACATCATTTTGTCTCATCTTCACAGTGCGCGGACCACTTTGAGCCATTTGTGAATGCACGGTGCGGAAAGCCCCGCGACAAGAAATTCCACGCGAATTTTTGAAAAAGCATAGCAGTTTGGTAATTCAAGCAAAATTTGATGAAAATCTGAGCAAGTATTGCCCGCTCCAAGACCTAAACTTACGCCGCATCGCGAAAAAACCGGTTCAATGAAAATTCTGGAGTCCGATTGACAAACTGGAGGTATTCCTCTTCAGTTGCGGCAATTTGAGCCTGCTCGTTCTTCTGTAGACTCTGCACCTCCAGACTGGTCATCAGAATGAAACGAGTGAGTTCATTGGAGACATTGTATTTTTTGATAAACGCTGAAAATTTTCGAATTTTTTTGTTGAATTTAAAATTGAATTTACCATTCAAATAATGTTTAGTGACGTAGTTAAAGCTGCAGATTGTGACCAGCGGGTACTGTAGGCCTTCTTCGGGAAGGCGAAAAGAGATCTGAAAAAAATTTTCAAAAAAATTTTTTTTTGAATTTTCAAAATGAAAAATCTTTCACCTGTGAGACAATAGGTTGTTGCGACGCCAAAGTGACGAGTTTGTAGATCTGTAAGCACATCATGATGATGCAAAAGGACATTGCGAACACCCAGAAAAACCGTCCCTGCCCATGGCTCCGGTAGATCCGAATGGGGCCGTGAAGTGAGGCAATTCCTAAAATACGGAGTAAGCAATCTATATATGACAAAAATAGGTTCTACGGACTAGTATACTAGAACATTTTTAGCTGAAAAATGGTTGGAAAAGGGCTTAAACTTAACTTACACAAATAAGGTATCAAAAAGTATCCAAAATACGATATATCAGTCTGTCTGGAAAATAATGGGCACAATGTCGCTGACTGGGGAAGCACCCCAAGTGCGACGCTCAGATTTTGATGAAACTTGGCACAAATTTAGAATAATTTTTTCTAATCGTAAAGCATATGCGAGAATCCTAGCTCGCGCTTTGCAGAAACAACCGAGATTTTTGGATCGAACTCACGAAAAGTTTCATACCTATTTCTACCGTAAAGGATAATGTTTCTACAAAAAAATCAAATTTTTCCGAACGAAACTGCCAAAGTTATGGCCAAAAAGCGCTTTTCTCTCTGACCGCTCTCCGCGTTTCGCGCACTCTCTCGGCGACAAGAACAGTTCTATATCTCGGTGGCGCTTGCAAAGTGCGAGCTAAAACTTTCAGGAATCGATATTTAGTTTATACCCGACGCGTGTGCAAAATTTAAAGAAAATCTGAGCGTCGCACTTGGGGTACTTCCCTTGTGAAATAAAAAAAATTGATTTTACCGCGACACAACTCGTTTTCTCGGCGGCGATGCGATTTTCGATGCGACAGAGTGCTCATTATTTTCCCGACAGAATGATATATCGTATATGGCGGTAAAATTGGAGCTAAAAGATACCTCAAATTGCCCGAAATAAATTTCAAAATAAGCTATCAGAAAGTTGTTTTAAAATAAACCACCAACGAAATGTTGTGTTTCTGTTCGTATCGAGTTCACGCCCGTCGTGTTCGCGATCTTTCGGAGCTGTTCGGCCGGGATTCGGACGATCAGTCTGTTGGCTTTTTCTTTGATCTTCTTGGCTTCTTCGGATATTGATAGTCTACAAAATGACAATTAAAAAAGTATGGATTTTTACCAAACTATTATATTTTCGGGACAAAAAGTCCTGAAAGTCGCGAGGTACTAGTCTGTCGGGAAAATAATGTGGATTTGTCGCGCCTTGAAATATCATTGCCTTCCGACGGAAAGCTGGAAACTTGATCCGCGACTGTGAGAATTTTTTGCGACAAATCCACATTATTTTCCCGACAAAACCTGATAAAGTCATCAAAATCGCGAATTTACCGTTTCTTCTCCGACTCCACCGAACAAGACGGCTCTAGATCCATTGAAACACAACTGGAATTGGACAGATTGTTTGTGAACGTCACATTATCCTTGAAGTTGCGGGGTGTGCCAACCTCCGTCGAATCCGTCTCAAAACTTTCTTGTTGGAACATATGCCTCCAGTGTGAGCTGAAAATTTTTTCGTCGATTTTCTCAGGATCAATATGACTGTGAAAAGAAAAATTGAGAGTACGGTAAAATTCAGGTGACAAGACAAAAAATAACACCAAATGGACGTAGAAATCAACTTTTATTCTTGAGTAATTGGGGTTATAATGAGGTAATAATGAGAAATTTTCTTGAGAGAGTTTCTGCGATAATTTGACAAAGCTTTGACAGTAAAAAAACCAAAAAACACCTCTAAATCGATAAAAAAAAGGCTGCGTTTTGGCTTTTGCAGTTTTTTCTGCTGTCGCTTGCACCCTGATCTACATAGCGCAAGCGCCAGAAATCGTCTGCCGCCTTGCCAAAAGGACTAGTAAACCTACATGTACAAACCCGCGAACAGCAAACCTCTCTATAAAGAACAATACACGTCAAACTGAGGAGTCCGGTGACCGGAATAGACTCTTCGCTATCGGTTTTTTACATTTCGTCTTGATTTCCAGAGAAAGAGAGAAAAAAGGCACGCAAAAGCGTACTCTCTCGCCCCAAAAATTCCCCATTTCTTTCCCAACAAAGCGTTTTTTCGCGTCTTTTTTTGGCAAATTGCCAATCCATTCGTCGTACCGTTTTATCTTATCTCAGTTTGACGTGATATGCAAATCTCAGAGACTATTTCTGAGATTTCCAGTCTGTCGGGAAAATAATGAGACCAATGTTGATGCGTCAATCGCGGTGAAAGGCGATTTGATTTGATTCATTTCATCGGATATCGCTACGACATAAGCAAGTTTCACATCGGTGGCTGCGGCGCCAGTGCGATGCAAACGACTTTTCTTTTGGCGTTTGCTCTGTACGAAATAAGTAAAATGCACTGTGCGTTGGCGACAAGCGTGGGAAAAAGTTCAAAATTCACTGTGCGAAAGAGAAAATACTAGTAAACCTTTTCACAACAAAACCCTTCCAAACCAAAAAAAATTGCATCTCTTCAAATTTTGTTGTACAGAGACTTCACTGCATTAAAAAACATTGATTATGCATGATTTTTTACACGAAATTGTCTTTCATGTCCCTTTAAATACCCCTTCCGCCCACAGTTCAACTTCAAAGTTCCAATTGTTTCTTTAAATACCCTGCCCTAAGTAAGCCGCTAAACCCATCGCGCATCACTTTTGTAAAACCTTGTCGTCACTCAGGAAAATGAATGACTCACACTCTGCCCATTGATAAAAAATAAAAATGCCTTTCACACGGTGAAAATGTCAGTCTGTCGGGAAAATAATGTGGATTTGTCGCGCCTTGGAATCGCCCATCATTGGTTTGCGTATCGCCGCGGCTGGAGCTTTGATGCGCGATTACGATAAAAAAAAAGACATTTTGCTGCGAAAAATCCACATTATTTTCCCGACAGACTGGTACTAGACCGTCCCGAAAGTCGCTGGAGTGATTTCGGTGACATGCACTGTGCGAAAACAAGTTCAGTTTGCACTGTGCAGTTTCTTGCATTTTGCACCGTGCAAAATTCTTTCATAGATTGTTGCTCGCACCATGTCTTTTCTTGCACAGTGCAAACGCCAAAAAATCAGTCCAACGACTCTCTAGACGGACTTGTAACAAAAGTAATTTTTTTCGACAGGCAACTGTCATGAACCCTAAAAATGAATGAAAATGCAAAAAATTTTCAAATTAAAAAAAAATTTTTACCGTTATATATCGTATTTAGTAACCACCAGAACAATATTTTCTTCATCACCCGAATATTCACCCACCCCAAAAATCCATCACCCGAATTTTCACCACACGAGTGTGCATCACCCGAATATTCTCGACCCCGGCAGGAATATGGCAAAAAAGAGTTTCGCGTTTCTTCTCTGACCGCTCTCCGAATTTCCCGTTATCCCTCGGCTAGAAAAATTCGTTGACTGTCTCGGCTGCGTATGTAAAGCGAGAGCTAAAATTTTCGGGAATTGACACGTCACCTATGCACAATTGGTCAGCAAAATGAAAAAAAAATGTCTGAGCCCTTCTAAATATTATACTTAAGTGACGGACCTGATCCAGTGGCAACAAACATGCCATTATGCATCAGGGAAGTATCAAAAAATGTAGCAAAATACCTCCCTCTTCAAGTGAAAAAATCTCGATTTCAAAAGCGCGCCCGCTTTTTTTGTCAGGCCCCTTCAAAACGGATTTTCTTAGTTGGAGAGGGAGGCATTTTGCCACATTTTCTGATACTTCCCGGATGCAGAATGGTACGTTTTTTGCCGCTGGGTCAGGTCCACCATAGCATATTAAATTTTCAAAAAATACTAGACCGTTCGCAAAGCCGCTGAAGCGATTTTTTCGACCTGCACTTGGAGAAAGTGCAACTTCTTGGTCTTTTCGAATCACTCCAGCCACTTTGCGAACGGACAGTCTGCAGATTATGTAAATCAGCGCACGCACCAAAACCCCCATCTGTTTTACTGATTTGAAAACAACAAAAACAAAGAAATTGCTGGACATGATATCCGTCGCATCGCGCGCACCAGCTCCCAAAACCTCGCGCTTCGGCTGCAAGTTGATCCGCGTTATGCTTGCGGCTTCATTGTCCCGCGACAGGCTGCGCACTGGTCAGTCAAACAAGAGGGTTATGTTCGAAATACTTTGATCAAATAACATTTCAACCGGTGGTATATGAGTCAGGTCATTAGCGGACATAATCATAATGCCTTGAGACCTTTCGGGAGGCAAACAGAGAAACGTGATTTGCAGGTGAACCTTGAGGCAGTGTATGAAAATTGGCTGGGAATTGAAGCCTTAGGGGATGGGGAAAGAAACAGTAGAAAAGATGAAGGGAAAGTTTATAGGCTCCTTTGCCATGCGCTCAAATTTAATGGAGATTTATGGAGTAGTTTGGTGGGAACAACATCAAAACAACAGGCAACCAAAAGTTTGGAAAATCATTGTAAATCAGAGAATTCAGTGTGTCGGGAAAATAATGTGGACTAATCGCGCCGTGGAATCGCCAATCATCGTTTTGCGACAGCTAGGGATTTGGTGCCCAATGTTGCCCATTTCTCGATAAGCCGAGACATTTTGCTGCGAAAAATCCACATTATTTCCCCGACAGACTGAAATAAAAAATGAAGAGAGACCGACAGAAAAAAAGGTATTTTTTGGGCCAATCCCATAAGGAATGGGATTGGCCCCAAAAAACCGCCCTTACCAGTCTGTCGGGAAAATAATGAGCTCTCTGACGCATCGCCGCGGAGAAAATAAATTTTGCCGCTTCAAAATCAAACTTTTCACTTCAGCGACGCGATCGGTGCTCATTATTTTCCCGACAGATTGACAAATTTTAATGAAACTTGGCACATCTTATGATCAGTCTGTCGGGAAAATAATGTGGATTTTTTGCGCTTGAGAATCGCCCATCATTGCTTTGCGACGAGTGGCCGCGGCTGGCGATTTGGTGCGCGACTGCAGCAAGGCTTGACATTTTTTACAAAAAATTCACATTATTTTCCCGACAGGAATTTTCTGCATCAGCGCCAGGACTTTGCACAGTTCAAAAAGGATTTTTTTTTGACGATTCCACTGTGCGTCGGCCACAAGCGTGGCAGCAAGTTAAAAATGCACTGTGCGAAAGAGAAAAATTGTCCCTGCACTTATGAAAATGCAAATAAATAAGCGCCATGCTCTAACAATGAAATTCAAAGTTCCCCGAAACATTTCTGAAACTGTTTTTAAACCTTTTTTAAAGCACCACAGAGTTCATCCGCATTCCAAACCCAGCACCCGAATCAGCAAGGGTGCAACGGTTCAAACAAAAAAATCCAATTGCCTTAGGCGTTCCAGCCTTTTTCCGCTGTGGTTTTTGATAAACAAGGAAACGGCCGAAAGATCGCCGCGAAAATGCATGATAAAAAAGTTATCAGACAGCCGTGGGTTATTTATATCTGTAAAGCGTTGTCGGAGCCAATTTTGGTTCGGAATTCCAAAGACTCCAAAGAATTCGGTACGTTTTTTCCAAATGTTATAACGTTTCTTTTGAATTCAAATACCAATTTCAGCGGGCTCGCAAAGGTCAGCGTGCTATTTGTCTCGCGAGCTGATCAGCTCCAGGTTGAGCTCTCAAAAAAAAACGAAAAAAAAATGATTTTTTGGGATGTCAAATTGAAGATACCTTACAAGGGAAGTGCGCGAAGTGCCACATGTTAAAGCTAGGGTACCTGTCAATTCCTGAAAGTCTTAGCTCGCACTTTGCAAGCACAGCCGAGATATTCAACGGTCGTTGTGGCCGAGAGAGTATGAGAAATGCGGAGAGCCGTAGGAGAGAAAAAAATGCTTTTTGGCCATATCTCGGCCAGTTTGTGCGGACAAAATTGATTTTTTTGTGGAAGCTGCCTGCGGGACGAGCAATAAAAAATTCTGGACCGACTGTTTTATTTGTTTGGTTGTTTCTGCAAAGCGCGAGCCAAAAATCTCGCGTTTACCTCAGCAAGAAATTGGGCCAAGTGCCATCATCAATCTATCTCGAAAATACTGAGCGCACTGTCGCATCGAAAATCGCCGCCGAGAAAATGAATTGTGTCGCAGCAAGATAAATTTCTTTGCATTTCAGCGACACGCTCGACGGAGCGACATGCTTACTATTCTCCCGTCAAAATAAGCGAATTTTAATTTTTTGGGCTGAAACACAGTCTTGCAAGAGCCGGGAATAGTACGAACATAAGTTTCGCTCAATTTCCTGGCTTTACTTTATCGGTCTGTCGGGAAAAAAACGGCGGATCGTCGCGCCTCCGAATCGCCCATCATCGCTTTGCGACTGCAAGCCGCGGCTTGGGATTTGGTGCGCGACAGCGGCGAGGCGAGACATTTTGATGCGACGATCCGCCGTTATTTTTCCGACAGACTGATATTCCATCAAACGTTAAAGTACGTCAAGTTTTTACATACAATGGTTTATCAACTGAACTTTAGCTGTAGGCTTTGTCAAACAACAGCTTGCTGAACCTCAGTTTTCTTTGTCGGATTATCCTGCGTTTGCGATCGAACGGTGTTGAGCGAGCGGGATCTTCAGGAGGAATGCCAGTGAGCAGTTGGCCGGGCTGCACAAATGGCGATTGGCCGGGTTGGCGACCGTGGGAAGTCTGAAAAGAAATTGCAGTTGTCAAACCTCTCACAAGGGAAGTCACTTTTTTCGCAGATCGATCCATACTGGTGACCTAGTGGACTGTGAAGGCCTCAGGCTATGTAAGAAGAATCTGGCGTCCAAAAGTGTTTACGGGCCCTGAGGGCAGAGTTATGGCTCATCAAAGTTCGCGCAAAAAGGGTTCCGAAAAGACCCTCCAAAAAAACGTGATCGGAGAAGTGAGCTTCGGTAGCAGAGTGGTTCGCAGATTTTTCTTTTGTCTGGAAGGGCCAGGGTTCGATTCCTCTTCCCGGCAATAACTAAAAACAATATTGTAAGAGTAGCGTAAGTTACAAAAAAATTGTTTTGAAATATTTTTTGAAAAATGTTATTATCCTGTCGTTAAAACTTGGGGAAGTCGTTGTGAGCTTGGACACAGTGAGGGATGCGAGGGCATTTTTCCACCGAGGATCGCATTCAATTTCTGGAATAATGCGGCGACTACGGTGGATTAAGACGCCGTATCATTGGAGAAAACTGCGGGAACCTTGGCGTAAAGGTAGGACTGGGATTCTCAATATGTATATCTCTGATGTTTTATAAGACGTCCTTGGTGATCGTGATATCATGCTGAAGCGTTTGAGTCAAACGCTTGCTGTCTGGGCAGATGATAAATTTAGGGACGATATGAACAAAATCGTCATTTTTTTAACGACAGGATAATAAAATTTTTCAAAAAATATTTCAAAACATTTTTTTTGTAACTTACGCTACTCTTACAATATTGTTTTTAGTTATTGCCGGGAAGAGGAATCGAACCCTGGCCCTTCCAGACAAAAGAAAAATCTGCGAACCACTCTGCTACCGAAGCTCACATCTCCGATCACGTTTTTTTGGAGGGTCTTTTCGGAACCTTTTTTGCGCGAACTTTGATGAGCCATAACTCTGCCCTCAGGGCCCGTAAACACTTTTGGACGCCAGATTCTTCTTACACAGCCTGAGGCCTTCACTGTCCACTAGGTCACCAGTATGGATCGATCTGCGAAAAAAGTGACTTCCCTTGTCAGTAATTCCAAAATTCGTAAACCTTTTTCTTTCAAAAATATAATAGTCCGCGCACCGTGCGAAAAGAGGCAAAATACAATATGCGCCGCGACAGAAGATCTACGCACTTTTGAAAAGCGTATTATCAATACAAAACGATAGTCCATTTGACCATCCTCTGTGATTTCAGAAACTCACCGCATATTCCTCCATTGCCGCTTGAGCAGCGAAGGTTAGGTCAGGTTCTCCATGATTATGCCCTCCTCTGCCGCCATTTCTATTTCCTTCCCTACTATCTTCGCCTCTTCCTCTACCATGCCCATGCCTTCCATGGCCTCGACTCTGTTCTCGGCTCTCGTCATCGCCTCGTCCTCTTCCTTTTCCATGGCCATGACCTCGCCCACTTTCTCGGCTATCTTCATCATCTCCTCGGCCGTGTTTCCGTCGATGTTTTCCCTTTCCTTTCCCGCGAGGTTTTGCTTTTTGGCCAAGCCCGTCGTCGTCTTCATCTTCCTTCCCACCCAAATTTCCACCGTTTCCATTCCGATCCGGGCATTCGCAATATTCAGCGTCCTTTCCTGGAGGGCCAGGTGGGCCGGGCTAAAAATGATGACTATAACTTCACCCCCCTTCGAGCACCATATCTAATGTTTAGTCATCAAAAACTTCTAATGTAAGATTTCTAATGTCCTTTTAGCTTTCTCACCGTTCCTGTCGCTCCATCAACCCCCGGAACTCCGGGTTCCCCCGGTAATCCTGGAGGTCCAGCCGGGCCAAGCGGTCCACTGCCCGCTGGCGCCCCTATAAGACCAGGTTCTCCGGCTAGGCCAGGTTTTCCGGGTACTCCGGGCTGTCCCACTTTCCCTCGACCCCTCTGCCCTGGCGTTCCATTTTCTCCCGGCTCTCCGGGAGTTCCAGTGGTTCCGGGGTAGCCTCGTGATCCGGGAGGCCCCATGCTGCCTTGAACACCAGTCAGGCCTGGAATTCCGGGCTCGCCCGGCTCCCCGACCGCTCCTTTTTCGCCCATTGGGCCGGGAGATCCGGGAGGGCCGGGTGGTCCTGCCGGGCACAAAATACATCCGGGTGCATCGTTGTTTAGGACCAGAGCTAGGCCTGGCGCACCAAGCCGACCGTCTTCTCCGTCCTCGCCGGGGTAGCCCGGATCGCCGGGCGGACCGGCCGGACCAACCGGGCCCGGAGGACAGGTTTGCAAGGTCTCAGCGCATTCTAAAGCATGCTTGTGATTTTACATCGTCTTCTTACTGGAACATTGATTTCTCTCCTGACGGTACTGTCGTTTCGACCTAACAAAGCTGTTGGTTTTGGAGGCAAACAGTTCCTTTTGCCGTGCATTTCTCATGCCGACGATTACGTCCCAGGCGGTGTTCGTAATGTCCTAGAAATAGTCGTTAGTCAAAGAATTGCTTGAGATGATACGTTCAAATATCTTTCAAATTTTATTTGCTAAAGCTCCAAGTCGTATAAAAATTTTAAAAATCTGTGTGTCACAAATGCAATTCTTTGGTAATTTTCCCACCTGAAACTCCTCGAACTCGACCTTCATCTCTCTCTTCCACGAATGAGTTTGAATTATCAACGACGCCGCAACAATCCATAGCAGCAGCAATACAAGTAGCGTTGCGACGGCTGCCAGCCAGCTTCGAATTGATGGGGGCTTCGGCTGTTCCGATGTCATCCAAATAAGCAAGGTAACCCGAACTGAACCTTTCCAGCTATTTATCTCTTCGCTACGAACTCTATTGTAGTCGAGTTATAAGGGTGCTTGAAACGCGTTAATTACATTCGTTCCTTGCGTAAAACTTTTGGAGAAACAGCGTAATGGGCAAGAGGCTTTTTGACCCCGAATTCCAATTCTCGAAAGGATTTATCTTCCGCATATGCAATATTTCGGAATGAACCGGCATTTCAAGAAAAATTCAACGAAATTTCAAGTGTTTCTAAGATTTTTTTCGCTAAAATATCGAGTATGATATTTTGAGCAATGTCATTTGACATTCTCCAGCTGGAAACTGCCTCCTCAACGTATGCTGTGTCTACAGAACAGTCCAACGAAGAGATCAGAGAGAGATTTTATGCTGGTGTTACTGTAACAGCTTGTCTTTTCGCCTTTGTGTCATGCCTTTGTTTGGTAATTACTGTGCCGATTTTATGCGAAAATGTGATCGAAATCAGCGAAAGGATGTATGATCAAGCGCAGAGTTGCAATGTAAGTTTGTAAAAGCGACTGGCATTTTGAGATCTCTATGGCAAAAATGTCATAACTTTGAGAGAAGAAATATCAGAATTTTGGGTTTAGGAATCAATGGAAGTCCTCAAATCCCAACTCCGATTTGTCGATGCTTACCGTTCGTATCTCCAAAATCTGACGCTTTCTCGGAATGCCAGATACGCGCCATATAGACAATTGCCCTACGGCTACGCTCATCAGCCCAAGAAAAACTGTTGTATCCCCGGACCGCCCGGCACACCAGGACGGCCAGGTCACAATGGCTTGCCCGGAATGCCTGGAGCGGCGGGGATACCAGGACAGCCGGGAAAAATGGGGCCTGTTCCGTGTGAAGGTAGGAAAATTTGCAGTCGAAATTTTTTGCAGCTTCAAGCGCTACTCAAAGAAACTTTACCTTCTTCTTTCAGCGATTCCGTCTTGTCCCCCTTGCCCGATTGGAGAGCCTGGTGCGCAAGGGCCTAAAGGAGAGCCAGGTGACGAAGGAACTCCTGGCCAACCGGGGAGAGATGGGCTGCCTGGAAGGCCCGGAACTTGCGGAGCAAAAGGCCCTCCGGGACCGCCGGGACCTCCAGGACGCCCGGGATTGCGAGGCGACGTCGGAGTGACACCAGTGGCAGCTCCACCAATTCCGGGGCCGGCTGGACTGCCAGGGGTAAGTAAAAACTTTGCTTTCAACAAAGAAACCATGAGTTAGACTTCTAGAACCTCCCAAATAAATTGTAACCTTATTTTACAGCCAATGGGTCCGCCTGGCCCACCAGGTCCACCTGGACCGGACGCGATAACTATGGATCTCATACCAGGGCCTAAAGGGCCTCGTGGCCTCCCCGGAAAAGACGGATTGCCTGGTCCTGCTGGCCCTCAAGGACCTCCTGGCCCTCCAGGAGCGCCTGGAGAGCTCGGAGTATGTCCGAATTATTGCGCCGTGGACGGCGGCGTATTTTACGATCCGGGAGGAGTTGCTAAAGTCCGAGCATTCGATGTTATTAGCGATGTTGGAAGATATCGACGGACTTTCGATAAGAAGAATGAATGATTTTTGTATTAATATAATACGATTATTTATTCTCTTTTATGTACAGAATGAAGGCTTTTGACAAGATAACCAGCTGACTTATAAAATTAAATTTTAAAAATTTAATAAATGGCAGATACTATGCTGTTTCAGGTAGAAAATGAACATTTGGCCATAGAAGTCTACTTCTTCTTTGTTGCGAGCTGCAATTCGAGTGTTTCTATTAGTAAAGAAAAAATTTTAATGTAATCATAGAATGGAAATTGGAAAGTCAAGGATTCGACTTTCTACTTACCTCTTTGTGCAGTTGCTCTATCTGTTTCTGCAGCTTTGTTACAGTAGAGTCAAACAAGCCCTTGATTTCCTTGACCTTGTCTGCCGCTTCATTATCTCGCAGATATTTCTCTGCTTCCAATTCCACGACTCTTTCTTGCTTCTCTCGCAACTGTTTTTGCAGATTGATGACTTGTCGTTGCAACTCCTCATTTCTTTCCCTTAGCTGTTGAATTTTCTCTTCCGGGGATTCCATTCCCAACATTGTAATCCCGGAAGTGGAGGGAGTCAGACTGTTGACATTCTTCCCAATAACTGGCATTATACTTGCAAGCGCGTTGGAAGTGAAACTTTTGTGTTGAGATGTTGAATGCGAATGGGAAGATCGCTCTTTACTAAAAGTAATCAAGGATGAGCTAATTTTGGGAAAGATACAGTAAGTCAAAGAAAAGCCTGCGTTATTGCTGTACGAGACATGTATAATAATTATTATAACAAATCTTACCTATGCTTGCTTGTCTTCGACGTTGTTGCATGCTCGGAATGTCGTCGATGCTTCGAGCTGGTGTCTTTCCCAAACTTCAACGCGCACGGCCGACAACATAGCTTTCCCTAAACACAAAATACAATAATACACATGCTTTGTCTTACTGGTTTAGCGGGATCTTTGAACGCCGCTTTTTGTCGACAGTTCGGGCATTCCTTTGGTGGTCCATTTTTCCTCTCAGAGTATGCACAATGAACACATTTTTGATCAACAAATGCGGCGGGCAGTTTACAATATTTACAGGTGGTTGGCTGAAAATAGTTTAGAAAAATTAAAACAACTTACCGCTCCGTATTTGGCTTGGTTTTTTATGCATTTATCGCAATGTGGGCCGGATTTACTGGCAATTTCGCGATTACAATAATTACAGCGCTTCATATCGAACCTTAAAGAAGAAACTTGGAATCAAAGAAAGTTAATTCCAATGCAAAGGAAAGTGGGATCGCATTTGTTCGCAAGAAAATATAAAAAGCCAGCGTCTAAAGAACTTAGGGACGAGTCTTCCTCTAATGGGTCAAGTTGTTCTCTATTGGAAATGGAGTTTTTTGATGAGATAAAATTAATTTTATTACTTCAACGAATAAAGAAATATTTAAAAAAAACCATAATCAAGAAAAAAAATCATTGATTTTCGATTTTTTCAAAAAAATATTCAAATCTTTTTTTAAACTTTTTCAAAAACTTGGCGGATTTTTTCGTCTCGTTTCTCAAAAATATCAATCAAATTCTTCAAATTCCCAGAAAATTCAAAAAATTCAAATTTCCGAAATTATGCAAATTTCACCCCACGTACATCTCCACCGAGCAAGCGGTGGCTCAGTTGCTTAGAATTCGTTTCCTCGTGGTCGGTCTGTTCAAAGTCGGTACCGAAAATCGCCACAACGAGCGATGTGGAAGGACGAGCTCTACATCGTCTCATGTGCATTTGCGGCAGGACTCGTACTTGTGGCACATGTGTCTGTAGTGTGCGGGAAAAAGGTAAGAAATTTGGGGGAGATGTTGGAGATTTTGTAGAGTGATGCTTGAAAAAAGATTTTTAGCACAGTGTGAAATTTCCTTATGATTTTTTCTGCACAGTGCGGAATTTTTTGTAAATTTTTTTGCACAGTGCGAAATTTCCTTATGATTTTTTCTGCACAGTGCGGAATTTTTTGTAAATTTTTTTGCACAGTGCGAAATTTCCTTATGATTTTTTCTGCACAGTGCGGAATTTTTTGTCAATTTTTTTACACAGTGCGAAATTTTCTTACTAATTTTTTGCACAGTGCAAAATTCCCTCATGATCTTTTCTGCACAGTGCGGAATTTTTTGTCAATTTTTTTGCACAGTGCGAAATTTTCTTTCTATTTTTTTGCTCAGTGCGAAATTTTCTATTTTTTTGCACAGTGCAAAATTTTCTTATGATTTTTTTGCACAGTGCGGAGTTTTTTGTCATTTTTTTTGCACAGTGCTAAATTTTCAAAAAAAAAATCCTTGTTTCAGAAGAACAGGCCTCCTACGCGAAGTGAAGACAATAATGAAGATGACGAAGGTGGTGGCGAGGAGCGTTCTGGCCAGCCCAAAGATAAGAGTAAGAAGGCGCCGGCGGGGGCACCGCCCCCGGCGAAGCCTGGTGCTCCTCCGCCGCCAAATGGTCCTCGGCCTCCAGATCAAGGTGGAATTGCTGGAACTCATGACCCCAATTATCAGGTAAAAAATGATATTTATTTTTAACTAGTTTTCGTACAATTTCAGACCCTGAACGCCTTGAATCCAGACATCTTCCAGGACAAGGGTGGAGGAGCTGCTGGAGGAGCAGGCGCAGGAGCGCCAGCTGCTGGAGCGCCAGGTGGTCCAAAGCCCCCAGCTCAAGGTGGAATGGCGGGAACCCATGATCCTAATTATCAGGTGAGTCAAAAATTCGAACAACCCTAAGGGCTTTTAGGCTGGTATTTCTAGGGTATCAAAAAAAATTTAAATTTTGACATTTCGTCCAAAAATTGAATATCGCCCATAGACTAGCTTAAGTACAATTTTATGCCTTTTTCTGCCTAAATTTTTGATGACAAAGGCCTCAAACAAATTGTGGACGAAACGTCAAATTCAAAAAAAAGTCAAAAAATTCGCAAAAATATAGCCTTTTTTCAGACCCTTGCTGCCGTCGGTGGAGAGTGCTTCCAGGACAAGGGTGGACCTGGCGCTGGAGCCGCAGCCCCCGCGGGAGGCGCCGGGCCAAAACCCCCGGGTGGTGGTGGAATGGCGGGCACACACGACCCCAACTATCAAACACTGGCCGGAGTGGGCGGTGATGTGTTTGGACAGGACAAGAAAGGAGCAGGTGGAGGTGGAGCTGCACCAGCAGGCAACGGCCCGAAGGCCCCGGCCAATCCGAATGGGAAGGCGGCCACTCATGATCCGAACTATCAGGTAAGGGAAAACCTTTTTAATTTTTTTTTATTTTTTTCGGATTTTGGAAAAAAATGAAGACCAAAAGAGAAATTCGACAGCAATTCAATTTTTTTTATTTTCAGACCCTTGCCGGAGTTGGAGGAGACGTTTTTGGAGCCGACAAGAAAGGTGGTGGTGGTGGTGCTGCGCCGGGAGGCGGTCCCAAAGCTCCGGCCAATCAGAATGCCAAGGCCGGCACCCACGATCCCAACTATCAGGTAAGTTTTTTATTTTTTTGGAAAAAGTTCCTTATTTTGGCCACAACAAAGGTACTCCGCGAACTGCGCCCAAGCTTGGGCATTAAAGTTAGGAAAAAACGCTTCGACCTAGCTGGCACTGAATTACTATAATAGCTCTATAGTTTTATGGGTACCTACGAAGGCTGTGACGACTCATTTAGTTCCATACGGAGGCAAAAAAATTTAGTTCCGGACATGTTTCATCGTATAAAATGTAAAATCACAGGCTGCAGCCGTTTTTGAAAGATAAGGTGGTACGTAAAAAAGAAGGTACCTCATTAATTAGATCCACTGTCCGGGCATTGACAACGATGAATTGAGCGTGCACGCTAAATTTGGGCTAATTCCGACCAGTTTCCGCAAAGTTATAAGTTGTGGCCAAAATAAGGAACTTTTACCCAAATTTCCACATTTTTTTCATCTTCAGACCCTTGCCGGAGTCGGTGGCGATGTGTTTGGAAACGACAAGAAAGGTGGTGGTGGTGCGCCGGCCGGCGGTCCCAAAGCTCCAGCCAATCAGAACGCCAAGGCCGGCACCCACGATCCCAATTACCAGACGCTGGCTGGAGTCGGCGGCGATGTTTTTGGAGGCGACAAGAAGGGCGGGGCTAAGCCGGCGGCACCAGCGGCGGCACAAAAACCGAAGGCTCCGGCCAATCAGCAGGCTAAGGTAAGGTTTGGAAGGGAGATTTTTTGCAGCCTTATGGCAAGGCTCCAGACCTAAGCTTGACTATTCTCCGTATCTGCCCCAAATGAAGGGTACTCGTGAAAATGGCAGTTTTATGTTTGATAAATCTCAATTTCAGGCTGCCACGATGGATCCGAATTATCAAACCTTGGCTGGAATGGGTCAAGACGTCTTCAAGAAGAAGTAGAAGTGAATTGAAGGGTCTTTGGGCGGAATAAACTTTTTTGTAGCATTTTATTCGATTGTTTTGTCATAACAAGGTGTTTTGGTTTTATATACGCATTCAATTTGCAGTTATCGGCATCACCCCGGACGATTACTGCCCAAAATGGGGAAATGCGACCCCGTAGGGAAAATTTTTCGAATTTTTTCGGCAAAAACTTGATTTAGAGGTTTCCGAGGGTGCTGATTTCAAGAATCATGTTCATTTTTTCTGAACTTTACTAGTTTTTCTTAAGTAGTAGCGTTAAAAAGTCATTTTTTGAAATTTCTCTAAAGACACTCCTAGATCGCGAGCTAGCAAGGTTCAGAAATAACGAACATGATTTTCGAAATCAGCACCCTCAAAAACCCCTGACCCAAGCTTTCCCCGAAAAAATTCAAAAAATTTTCGCACCCCAGGGAGTCTCCCTCCTCGTTTCGGCACTTCGCACACCTTGTTTTTGGCGAGAATTTTCTACCACGACTAACATGCCCAATTCCGACCAGTCGAATTGTTATTGAGGAATTGTCGAATTTTCGAGGAGTTGTCGAAGGAAGAATTGATTTTCCCATGAGAAAATCCCGTTTTACATTGCAACGCATGTGAAAAAGATGCCATCTCCCATCCTCATCCCCCATTCATTCACTCGGAAACGCATCGAGATGGTAGGTTGCCAACTTTCACTGCTCCTGCTGTTGATCGTCAACGTTGATGTTCTGCAGGGACAAGTCGTGCAAGGTTGCGTATATCATTACTCAGTCAATCGAAACAACGTCACTAAGCCTGCGTGCAAGCAAGGCGAGGTGTGTATCGAACTGGGCGTGAAGAACTTCACCGTTTACGTGGAGGACAACTGTGTAAGTGTGTAATGGGGATGGGGAGACAACCCGAAAACCAGGGGCGTAGCTAAGAGGGGAGGCAGGGGGTACTCCTCTCCGGGGTAGAAGAACAAAAGTGGTAAGTGGGGACCAAGGTAATTTTCAAAATTTTCTGCACAGTGACTCCCCGCGGGCCAAAAAATTTTGGTCAGCTACGCCCCTGGCAATGACAAAAAATGGCAAATAGCCTTTCTTGCAACCACAAGGAAGTCACATTTTTCGCGGACGAACTTTGGAACGGGACCTAGTAGATGTCAGTCATGATGCGCCTGCGATCATTAGACTGGTTTCCAAGTGTGTTCACGGGGCTTCTCGGCCAAGCAAATCGACCGCAAAATTTAGCCGAAATGCGCAACTGCAGGTGAAATAAGCCCTTTGAGGGGGCTATTCGCTCGTCTCGGCTTAACTTTGCGGTCGATTTTCTCGGCCGAGAAGCCCCATAAGCACATTTGAAAAACGTTTTCTGATCACAGACGCTTCACGCTTCAAACCCACTAAGTCCCGTTCCAAAGTCCGTCTGCAAAAAATGTAACTTCCCTTGTTAGACAAGTTATTCTGGGATTTTTTTCAGGATTACTTTAATCCGTTCGATTACATGAGCGTTGTATCGAGTGAGTTGTGTGTTGCACGGTTTATGTACAAATTTAGGATACGAAGGCGGACGATTTTACAAGTATGATAAGGTGCAGCGAAAAACGGGCAAACGTTAGTAAGGGTTTCTTCCCGCCTTGGTTTAAGTTCTTGTTGTTGAGCTAAATAAGATATTTTAGCAACCTACCTCCTCTTACTTGGTCTTCCCGCCACCAGATCCCATCCTACCATGATCCGCAGTTCTTCGCGCAGCTTTTCACGAACAGCGTCGAGATTGTCTCAATGGGGTAAGTCCGAAAAAACCGGAGCTTAACGACCTGCGTTGGTGGGTGAGCCTAAATCGCTGCTGAATTTCGGCCATAATTTTGCAGCAGGCGACTCGGTGAACTTTATGGTAAAGACCTTCATCGCATCCAAACAACACTGGATTCCAAGTTGAGCCTTGATGAAGTGAAGCGCGCCTTTGTCTACAAGGAGTACCTGTTCATCAATCCGACGAAAGCCGTCGACTTTAGAGTTCTCTACGAGCAGAAGGGACCCTTTGACGGCGATATAAACAGACCAGGACTCCTTGTGGAGCACAATGTTGGCCTGATCGACCCCAAGGACATCCCCAACGAACACATTGACAAGAATTTCCTGCGTCTGATTCTCAAACAATGCTTTGTAAGTTTGGGAAAAGCAATATGTATTTGTAACCAGCCGTGCAGTGTCTGCACGCTTTATGACAATACTGACCACTGCAGCCTATGTGTATTTTCGTATTTCAGAAAACCGACAAATACTGTTCGTTGGATATCAAAACGGAATCCTTGGACCTTCAAGATTACCCAGTTGCGTTCACCAACGACGACCTGGTTCTGGAGTCCTTTTGGTTCCAGTAAGTTCGCCTGCTCCGATTTTTGGGAAAAAGTTCCTTATTCTGGCCACAACAAATTTACTCTGCGAGCTGCTGTCAAGCTTGTGGACTAAAGTTAGGAAAAAAGGTTTCGATCCAGCTTGTTCGGGCTGATTATATCGTCTAGATGATTTTTTAAGTTACTCCTAAGAATCGAGTTGTTTTCCGACCGAAAAAATATTTTCTCGTCATTATTTTACTTCCTTTGTCAAGTTTGACACTTCGTTTGGACGAAACTCCAAAGTGAGCGGGAAACATTTTTCTTCTACTTATTTCGGGTAGCCGTTCGACGTTCTTGCGTTTTGAATTATAAACTAAAGCGTCGTGAATTTCGGCCAATGCTGGCTATTTTGCACGGGGTTATACGTTGTGGCCAGAATCAAGAACTTTTACCGTGTTTTACGCCTACGTTTAGAAGAAACTGCGAAATGCTTCCGATGTACCGTATTCGGCACAAGAAAACGGCTCCGAAGTAAGTCGGATTTTGGGTAGGCGAATTTGGAATTTTTAGCGTGATTTTCGACTTCCCCAACGTTGAGAGAATCGTAACGCATGGACAAAGGCTTTGGTGGAGGTACCAGAATAGTCCTTGGTAAGTCGGCCAAACAAATTCCTGGAAAACAACAGAATAAAAACCGAACGCACTTTTTGGACAAGTGCGTAGACATTTTTCGCGGCGCACAATGCATTCTTCTTCTATTTGCACCGTGCAATTGTTGTCGCGGCCCAAAATGCGCGGAGGCGTAGTTGAAAAAAGCTTACGTCGTTTTTGTGGTGTTGCGAGAAAAGTTCGGAGGATTTTTTCACCCTCACAAACCAAAAATGGCAGCTAATATTTAGATATTCTGAATCAGAAAAATTTTGAAAATTTTTTTCATCGTATGTCACACCTCATTTTTCTCAATTTGAAAAATTTTTTCATCGTATAAGATGTCACACCCCATTTTTCTCAATTTGAAAAATTTTTTCATCGTATAAGAAGTCACACCTCATTTTTTCAATTTGAAAAATTTTTTCATCGTATAAGATGTCACACCTCATTTTTCAATTTGAAAAATTTTTTCATCGTATAAGATGAGATGTCACACCTCATTTTTCTCAATTTGAAAAATTTTTTCATCGTATAAGACGTCACACCTCATTTTTTCAATTTGAAAAAAGAGGGAAAATTCAGAAAAGGGGGAGAGTTCTGCCGCAACGGTGAAAATGCTGATAGCAACAGAGGAAGTGCTCATGGCGCTTGGGGTACTTCCCTCTGATTGTGAAATCTCTTCTGAAGAAACACTTCCTTGTAGACTTTTTTTAGGCAGTGGTCGAAATTTTACTACACAAGACGTGGTATCCTGCCTATTATCCAGCCAAACGATCCCTTTTACGATTTCGTCAAACAGTTCACAACTCCCGCCCCAACGACTACACCTCGCCCACCACCAACCACCACCACTCTGAAGCCCGTCCCGGCCGGTCCCGCCCCAGAATTCCTTGAAATCGAGGAGGATACGGTGGAATATGAGAGCGACTACGTGATCGAACCCATAATTGCGAATAATGGACCGGCGATTTCGCGCCTTCCCGTCATCTATTACATGTTTGGTTATATCACTGTTTACTTGAAAGGTTACATTATGTAATAGAGACGGTGTTCATCCAGGGGACACCGAATAAAATTGTTACACATACGGCTTTTTCAGAATTTCTTATTTCAAAACTCGTCGTTTTCAAGAATTTTCCACGACGGCTAACATGACCAAACCCGACCGCACGTCAATCCAGCGCATTTCCGGAACCGTTTCGAAACTTCGCATCGTTTTCATTGATTTAAAAGAGAGACGAAATGTCGCGAAATTATCGGCACTTTTTCTCGCCCGAAATAATTGCTTTTTCTCGAAAAGAAAGAAGAAAAATAAGAAAATGCTTTTTATCGGATTGTGACATTTCGTTTTGAACGAATCACCAAAAAGGGGTGGGAAATTTTTTCTTCTATTTTGGATTGACGTGGACCGGTTGAATCGTTTTCGAGGAACTGTCGAATTTTCGAGGAGTTTTCGAAGGAAGAATTGATCTTCCCATGGGAAAATCCCGATTGTTTTAGACAAGAAATGTTGTCATAAAGCAATTTCAGCGCCTTCTGAGTGATATTTCTTACTGAAAAAGGTCCTATTTTGATCCTATCAAGGATGTTGACAAGTTCATAGACCGAGTAATGAATTTGAGCATTGGCAGTGTAAATTTATCATCAATGATTCAAGATTTCAGAGTAAAAACCTCAATTTCCGAAAGAATACAGAGTGCAAACCAAAGTACAGTAAAAATTGCCGGGACTATGTCGCGAGTATTGTAATTTCATTGCTTTTTCATATTTTTTCGTCTCAAAATTGGTTGTTTTCGGCGAGAATTTTCTACGACGACTAACATGAGCAAACCTGACCGGTCGAATTGTTATTGAGGAATTGTCGAATTTTCGAGGAGTTATCGAGGAAGAATTGATTTTCCCATGGGAAAATCCCTTTCCACGGATACTGTCTCCCTTCCTCATCCCCCATTCATTCTCCCGGAAGCGGATCGAGATGGAAGGTTGCCAACTCTGTCTGCTCCTGCTGTTGATCGTCAACGTTGACGTTCTGCAAGGACAAGTAGTGGAAAATTGCCAAGCTCATTACTCGGTCAATGGAAACAACGTCACTAAGCCTGCGTGCAGGCCGGGCGAGGTGTGTATCGAACTGGACGTGAAGAACTTCACCGTTTACGTGGAGGACAATTGTGTAAGTGTGTAATGGGATGGGGAGACAACCCGAGGACCAAGGGCGTAGCTAGGGGTCGAAACTTCGTACCGTTTTCATTGATTTAAAAGAGAGACGAAATCTCGCAAAATTATCGGCATTTTTTCTCGCCCGAAATAATTGCTTTTTCTCGAAAATGAAGAAGAAAGATAAGAAAATGCTTTTTATCGGATAGTTACATTTCGTTTTGAATGAATCGCCAAAAAGGGGCGGGGATTTTTTTCTATTTTGGATTGCAACCCAAAATAGAGCAAAAATGTCTCCCGCCCACTTTTGAATTTCGTCCAAACGAAGTGTCAAAATTCACAAAAGAAATAAATGAATTCCGGGAAAAATATTTTTTGATCGGAAAACCACACGAAAAATTCATTTTTGACATTTCGTTTGAATTCAACCGGTGCTAGGTGGGCGAAGCGCCGAAACGAGGCGGGAGACTCCCTGGGTTGCAGAAGGGTATCCCCCTCCCAGGCCGGGGTCGAAAAAAATGGTAAGGGGGGGGGACCAAGGTAATTTTCGAGCCGCAAGAATTTTGTACACAGTGAACCCCCCTTCCAAATGTGTTTACGGGGTTCCACGGCCGAAAAAATCGACCGCAAAGTCTAGCCGAAGTGAGCGAGTAATCCCCTCCCTATTTTCAGGACTACGTCAATCCGTTCGATTACATGAGCGTTGTATCGAGTGAGTTTTGTGTCGCACATCAGTTTATGGACGAATTTAGGATACGAAGGCGGAGGAAACTTTATTACCATCAACACGGTTGGTGATAGAGTGCAGCGGAAGACGGGCAAACGTTAGTAAGGGTTTTTCCGCGTCTTTGTGGAGGTTCTGTTTTGAAAATACAAGAAGGCAAATTTAGTAATGACCCGCCTCTCAGTTGGTCTTCCCGCCATCAGATCCCATCCTACCATGTCCCGCAGTTCTTCGCGCAGCTGTTCACGAACAGCGTCGAGATTGTCTCAATGGGGTAAGTCCGAAAAACCCGGAGCTTAACGACCTGCGTTGGTGGGTCACGATGGGCAGCTGGGTCAGTCTTTAGTCAGGAGAAACAAAAGCTCGAGGACCCGCATTGCCGGTCAGCCCCGAATCCCTATTGAACTGTATGCATAATTCTTCAGTGGACCAATCGGTAAAGAAAAGGGTGAAGACGTCTTTCGCATCCAAACCATGCTGGATGATGCGTTGTCCCTCGACCAAGTGAAGCGCGCCTTTGTCTTCAAGGAGTACCTGTTCCTCAGTCCGACGAAAGCCGTCGACTTTAGGCTTCTCTACGAGCGGAAGGGACCCTTCGTCGGCGATAGATTCAGACCAGGACAACTTGTGGAGAACAATGTTGGCCTGATCGATCCCCAGGACATCCCCAACGAACACATAGACATCAATTTCCTGAATCTGATCCTCAATCAATGCTTTGTAAGTTTGGGAAAAGTAATACTGCTAACTAGGAGAGCAACAAGACTTTGCATGTTTGCACGGTGCGCCGTCGCGCGAAGAACTTGTCGCACGGCGACGAGTAAATTTCGCGGAGTGCGGGACTTTTTGGCTCGCCTAGTACGGTGCGTTGGCGACAGACCCCTAAACCAAGTTTTTTTCAAATATCGATCGAATTCACACTCACAACAGAATTTTTCGTGTGGTTTTTCGATGGAAAATATTTTATTTCTTTTGTCAATTGTGACACTTCGTTTGGACGAAACTCAAAAGTGGGCGGGACACATTTTTGTTCTATTTCGGGTTGCCGTGTGCCGCGGCGATGAAAGGCGGAATAAAGTCTACGCATTTTATAAAAATACTTACCGCAGTACCCGGCCTATATTTTCGTATTTCAGAAAACCGACAAGTACTGTTCGTTGGATATCAAAACGGAATCCTTGGACCTGCAAGATTATCCAGTGGCCTTCACCTACGACGATCTGGTTCTGGAGTCCTTTTGGTTCCAGTAAGTTCGTCTGCTCCGTGTTTTTATGCCTACCTTTAGAAGATACTGCGAAATGCTTCCGATGTACCGTATTCGGCACAAGAAAACTGCTCCGAAGTAAGTGGAATTTTGAGTTGGCTGAGTTGGAATTTTTAGCGTGATTTTCGACTTCCCCAATGTTGAGGGCATCGTAACGCATGGAAAAGTGTTTCGGTGGTAAGCATTACACTCTATCTGTTTAGGCTACTAGTAAGGGAGTTCTTCATAGGAAATCTGCAAAAAGATTTTTCAGGGAGCAATATGATATTCACCCGTACACAAGACGTGGTATCCTGCCTGTAATCCAGCCGAAAGATCCCTTTCACGACTTCGTCAAACAGTTCACAACTCCTGCCCCAACGACCACAACCCGCCCACCACCAACCACCACCACTCTGAAGCCCGTCCCGGCCGGTCCCGCCCCAAAATTCCTTGTAATCGAGGAGGACTCGGTGGAATTAGACGGCGGCAGCGTGATCGAACCCCCAATCTCGAAGAATGAACCGGCGATCTCGAGCCTTCCCGTCATCTACTACATGATTGGCTATATCATTTTTAACTTGAAAATTTGGAATATGTAACAGAGACGGCATATAAAATTGTAAGTATTGGTAGAAAGAGAGAATAAAATGTTTATAAATGGCTAATTGGAATCGATCTGTATTCAATAGACTTACGTTTATTGCTATCATCTGTTTTCGGGACAATTGAAGTATTTTGATAGAATACGAATTTTCCTGTGGCATTAAGACCGAAAAAGAATTTTCTCGGAAACAGTTTATTTCTCTTCTATTTTTCTCTTATTTTATTTCGTTTATCAATTGTGACACTTCGTTTGGACGAAACTCAAAAGTGGGCGCTAGACTCTTTTGTTTTGTATTGCCGTGCGAAGCTCAAGCGCCAGCTTAGGTTTATTTTTTTCAACTGTTTCCAGGAGAATTGAAGGATTTTGATGGAGTACGCCTTTTTATCATGTTATATTTGGAATCTGCGCCATCGATTACCACACTTTTGACCTTTTTGGCCATTTCGGGCAAAAATCGAAAGAGACCCTCGATTCCGGGGTCTCTTTCTAAAGAAACCGCGCACAGTGAAAATCAGAGCAATGTAAAGATTTCTGGAACTTTATGTCGCGACTATTATTATTTCACTGCTTTTTCAGAATTCTTTACGTCAAAACTCGTCGTTTTCGGCGAGAACCTTCCGCGACGGCTAGCATGACCAAATCCGACCGGTCGAATTGTTTTCGAGTAAAAGAATTGATTTTCCCATGGGAAAATTGCAACGCGTACGAAAAAGTCTAAGTCTACCTTCCCTTCCTCATTCCCGATTCATTCTCTCAGAAACGCGCCGAGATGGACGGTTGCCAATTCTCTCTGCTCCTTCTGTTGTTCGTCAACGTCGATCTTCTGCAGGGACAAGTGGAGAGAGGTTGCGCAGGCAGGTCTAGGGCTGACCCCTTCAAGCCCACGTGCAGGAAAGGCGAGAAGTGCATTGAACTGGGAGTGAAGAACTTTACCGTTTACGTGGAGGACCATTGCGTAAGTGAAATGTCGCCCATTTCTGTGCGATTTCCTGTTTCCACCCGCATGCACATTCGCCGCTCTTATTCCACCAACCCTATTTTCAGGACTATGCGCCCCCGTACGATTACATGAGCGTTGTATCGAGTGAGTTGTGTGTTGCACGGTTTATGTACAAATTTAGGATACGAAGGCGGACAATTGTACAAGTATGATAAGGTTCAGCGAAAAACGGGCAAACGCGCGTAAGAGTTTGTCAACTTCTTTGTTTCGTTCCTGTTTCTAAGCTAACAAAAAAATTTTAGGAACATACCACCTCTCAGTTGGTCTTCCCGCCACCAGATCCCATCCGACCATGATCCGCAGTTCTTCGCGCAGCTGTTCACGAACAGCGTCGAGATTGTCTCAATGGGGTAAGTCCGAAAAAAACCGGAGCTTAACGACCTGCGTGGGTGGGTACAACCTAAATCATTACTGATATCCCTAACTTTTTAGCAGAAAACTCGTTAGATGGATGTATAGAGACGTTCATCGCATCCAAACGGAACTGACTTCTCCGTTGTCCCTTGACCAAGTGCAGCGCGCCTTTGTCTACAAGGAGTACCTGTTCCTCAGTCCGAAGAAAGCCGTCGACTTTAGACTTCTCTACGAGAGGACGGGGCCCTTTGATGGCGATATAAACAGACCAGGACTACTTCGGGAGAAAGATGTTGGTCTGATCGACACCTCGAGCATCCCCAACGAACACATTGACAGGGATTTCCTTGCCCTGATTCGCAAGAAATGCTTTGTAAGTTTTGGAAATCTAATAAACACTACTAAAATGCGAAAAAAGAGGCAAAGTGCACTGTGCGCCGCGACAAAAAGTCTACGAACTTTGTGATAGTCCTACGCGAGCGACTCCGTTGACAATGGAAAAATATTTTTCTCGAATTATTTTATTTCCTTTGTCAATTGTGACACTTCGTTCGGACGAAACTCAAAAATGGGCGGGAGATTTTTTTGTTCTATTTCGGGTTTCCGTGTGCAGCGGCGATGAAAGGCGGAAAAAAGTGTACGCATTTTATAAAAATTCTTGCCGCTGGAGCCTGCCTGTATTTTCGTATTTAAGAACCCTGGTAAGTACTGTTCGTTGGATATCAAGACGGAATCCTTGGACCTGCAAGATTACCCAGTGGCCTTCACCTACGATGATCTGGTTCTGGAGTCCACTTGGTTTCAGTAAGTTTACCTGCTCATTTGTTATGCCCACCTCTAGAAGAAAGTGCGAAATGCTTCCGATGTACCGTATTCGGCACAAGAAAACGGCTCCGAAGTAAGTGGAATATTGAGTAGGTTGATTTGGAACTTTTAGCGTGATTTTCGACTTCCCCAATATTGAGACCCTCGTAACGCATGGAGAAATCCTTAACTGGACGTATTTAATATCACGCACGTAAGTCTTTGATGCCCTTGGAGTAATTCCCTTGAAATTCTTTTTTGAAGAGAAACACTTTCCGTGTAAACCTTTTCTTTTTTTTTAGGGAGTCTAAAATGTATAACTACACAAGACGTGGTCTCCTGCCTATTATCCAGCCGAACGATCCCTTCTACAATTTGGTCAAACAGTTCACAACTCCCGCCCCAACGACTACACCTCGCCCACCACCAGCCACCACCACTCTGAAGCCCGTCCCGGCCGGTCCCGCCCCAAAATTCCTTGAAATTGAGGAGGACACGGGGGAATTTGAGAGCGACAGCGTGATCCAACCCCCAATCTCGAAGAATGGACCGGCGATCTCGCGTCTTCCCGTCGTCTATTACATGTTTGGCTATATCACTGTTCACTTGCAGGTTTACATTATGTAATAGAGACGGTATTCATTAAGGGCAATCGAATAAAATTATTACACATACGGCTGGGATAGTCAGGTTTTCGTTCAGTGTGATCGTATGAAAATAATTTTGCTGCACTTAAAAGTTTTCGCGTCAGTACCCAAAAAAAAAGTTTCCATTTTTTTGCCGCATCCTGCAGTGTGCATCCTGATGTCCTTGAGTGCATTTGTTGTGGCCAGAATAATGAACTTTTTCCAAAAATTTTACACGCGATGGCTAACTTGACGAAATCCGACCAGTAAATTTTTTGAGGGATTTTGAAATGAAGAATCGATTTTCTCATGGGAAAATTGTAGGGAAAAAAGGGATGCTAGCTTCCCAGCCTCATTTCCCATTCATTTTGCAAAACTCGCGCCGCGATGGACGGTTGCCGATTCTTTCCGCTCCTGTCGCTGATAGTCAACGTTGATCTTCTGCAAGGACAAGTAGTGGAAAATTGCGAATATCACTACTCGGTTAATGGAAACAACGTCACTAAGCCTGCGTGCAAGCAAGGCGAGATTTGTATTGAACCGGGCGTGAAGAACTTCACCGTCTACGTGGAGGACCATTGTGTAAGTGTAATGGGGTTGCGATTTCACCAACCCTATTTTCAGGACTATGTCGACTCTTTCGATTACACGAGCATTGTATCGCGTGAGTTGTGCGGTGCACATCAGTTTATGTAAAAATTCATTTTTAGGATGCGAAGGCGGAGAACCACCGCCTCCAATCTCGATGAATGGACAGGCGATCTCGAGTCTTCCCATCATCTATTACATGCTTGGTTGCATCACCTTTCGCTTGAAAACTTACGATTTGTAATGTAGAAGGCTTGGATCAAAGCAAATTATAATTATTGGCAGAACGATCGAATAAAGTTGTTGTAATTGGAATCGAGGGAAACCCTTCTTTTTCTTGCATACGCGATTCGCAGCCGACGCCCTGGCTTCCCTGCAGACTGCAAACAAAAATTAGCAAAATAGCCAAAGCTCTGATGCATGCTTACGGGAAATAGTATAAGCGCTGATGCTCGCTTACGCTAAGCCTAAACTGAGCTAAATGTGCCTCAATCTGTGGCCAATATTCCTTGCAACCGGAATTGTTCGGGTGTGAGCTGCGAAGCCACCCCAATCCAGCGCATTTCCTGAACCGTTTCGAAACTTTGCATCGTTTTCATTGATTTAAAAGAGAGACGAAATGTCGCGATATTATCGGCACTTTTTCTCGTCCGAAATAATTGCTTTTTCACGAAAAGAAAGAAGAAAGATAAGAAAATGTGTTTTATCGGATAGTGACATTTCGTTTTGAACGAATCACCAAAAAGGGGCGGGAAATTTTTTCTTCTATTTTGGATTGACGTGCGAAGCCCTCTTTTCGCTTGGGAAAAAATTTAATTTAAAAGTGTTACCGAAATCTATGTGTTACGCAACACAACTACCGAATCGACCGATCTGACCGGCCAGGTTAGCTAAATTTGGGCAAATATTACTAGGAAAGTTAGCTCTAAACAAGGCCAACTTTTTTCGGTTATTTCGGAGGAGAATTTTCCACGATGGCTAAATTGACCAAATCCGACCGGTCGAATTGTTTTTGAGGAGTTGTCGAAGGAAAACTTGACTTTCCCATGGGACAATCTCTTTTCACATTGCAACGCATGTGAAAACAAAGTCTACCTTCCCTTCCTCATTCCATAAAATCGCGCCGAGATGGACGGTTGCCAATTCTCTCTGCTCCTGTTGCTGATCGTCAACGTCGATCTTCTGCAAGGACAAGTGGTGGAAAACTGCGCAAACGTCTACTCAGTCAATGGAAACAACGTCACGAAGCCTGCGTGCAAGGAAGGAGAGATTTGTATCGAACTGGGCGTGAAGAACTTCACTGTTTACGTGGAGGATTATAGTGTAAGTTGAATGGGGATGGGGAGTCTACCCGGGATGCAAAGTACGTCGAATATGCACTGTGCATCTTCGGGCAGACGCATCTGTCGCTGCCAATTTGCGGAAGTTTTTTTCCGTTTTTCCAATGCTCTTAGGTTTATCAACCCTATTTTCAGGACTATTCCAACAACTTCGATTACATGAGCCTTGTATCGCGTGAGTTGTGTGTTGCATGTCAGTTTATGTACAAATTCACTTTTAGGATACGAAGGTGGAGAATTCTACCATTTCAATAACGTGACTCGGAAGCTGGGGACACGCCCGTAAGAGTTTGTCCACTTGTTTGTTTAGATCTTGCCGTTAAGCTAGATGAAAATGGAAAATTTTAGGAACGCACCACCTATCAGTTGGTTTTCCCGCCATCAGATCCCGTCCGACCATGATCCGCAGTTCTACGCACAGCTGTTCTCGCGGAGCGTCGAGATTGTCACAATGGGGCTGTAAGTCTGAAAAAACAAGTGCTTGACGACCCGCGTTGCTGGGTCCAACTCAGATCATTACTGATATCCACAATTTTTCAGCAAACCAATCGACAAAGAAGGGAATAAAGACGTTTTTCGCCTCCAAACGATGCTGGATTCCGAGTTGTCCGTTGACCAAGTACAGCGCGCCTTTGTCTACAAGGAGTACCTGTTCCTCAGTCCGGAGAAAGCCATCGACTTTCGAATTCTCTACGAGAAGAAGGGACCCTATTCCGGCGATGTAGACAGACCAGGACTACTTACGGAGCACAATGTTGGCCTGATCGACGTCTCGACCATCCCCAACGAACACATTGACAAGGACTTCCTGGATCTGATCACAAATCTATGCTTTGTAAGTTTGGGAAAGGTTATACGAAGGTTTTTTGAGTATTTTCGTAAAGCTCATGGACTTTCTTTCGCAAACTGATCCGTGGTGAAGATTTTTGGGGTTTTTTTTTTGGAAAAAACTTGGTTTAGGGGTCTTCGGGGCTACCCTTCATTTGAGCCAGCTTTCATTTGGAATCGGGTATGTTTACTATAAGCCATTGGGACGCCAATACCCGATCTTCCCCAAATGAAAGGTGGCTCAAATGAAGGGTAGCCTCGAAGACCCCTAAACCAAGTTTTTTCAAATATCGATCGAATTCACACTCACAACAGAATTTTGCGTGTGGTTTTTCGATGGAAAAAACATTTTATTTCTTTTGTCAATTGTGACACTTCGTTTGGACGAAACTCAAAAGTGGGCGGGACATATTTTTGTTCTATTTCGGGTTGCCGTGTGCCGCGGCGATTAAAGGCGGAAAAAAGTCGATGCAATTTATAAAAATTCTTGCCGGTGCAGCTTGCCTATATTTTCGTATTTTAGAAGCCTGGCAAGTACTGTTCGTTGGATATCAAGACGGAATCCTTGGACCTGCAAGATTACCCAGTAGCCTTCACCTACGACGACCTAGTTCTTCAGACCTTTTGGTTTCAGTAAGTTCACCTGCTCCGGTTTTTACGCCTACGTTTAGAAGACACTGCGAAATGCTTCCGATGTACCGTATTCGGCACAAGAAGACTGCTCCGAAGTAAGTGGAATTTTGAGTTGGCTGAGTTGGAATTTTTAGCGTGATTTTCGATTTCCCCAATGTTGAGAGCATCGTAACGCATGGAAGAAAGCTTTCGTGGGAGAAAACTCAATGGTAGGTGTTTGAGATTAATAGAGAAGTGCTGATATGTGAGTCGCCCTTTTAAGCTTTTATTTTTTTAGGAATGGGGTATTTAAGTTTGATTACACCTTACGTGGTATCCTGCCTATTGTCCAGCCGTACGATCCCTTTTACGACTTCGTCAAACAGTTCACAACTCCCGCCCCAACGACCACAACCCGCCCGCCACCAACCACCACCACTCTTAAGCCCGTCCCTGCCGGTCCCGCCCCAAAATTCCCTGAAATCCAGGAGGACTCGATGGAATTAGAGAACCGCCACGTGATTGATCCCTTACTCTCGAATGTGCCAGCGATTTCGGGCGTTCCCATCATCTATTACATGCTTGCTTACATCGCTTTTCACTTGAAAAGTTATAATTTGTAATGGAGAAGCCGTTGATAAAAGCAAATCTTAAAAGTCGGCAGAACGATCGAATAAAAAAAATGTTTGTACAGGCTAATTGGAATCGATCTGTAATGCAACAAAATTGCGGAAAACCCTTTTTTCAGCTACCAAAGAAATGACGTCGGAAGCGCGTCGCACGTCAAACTGAAGAGTCCGGTGACCGGAATAGACCCTTCGCTATCGGTTTTTTAAACTTGGTCTTGATTTCGCAGAGAAAGAGAGAAAAAACACGCAAAAGCGTACTCTCTCGCCCGAAAAGGTTCCCCATTTCTTCCCCGACAAAACGTTTTTTTCGCGTCTTTTTTTGGCAAGTTACCAATCCATTCATCGGACTGTTTTAGCTTATCTCAGTTTGACGTGCGTCGGGGCTACCCTTCACTTGGGGCAGATCTCGTCAGAAATAGACAGGCTCCCGGCGGGCCCGGGCCGAAGCAAACTTGAGGGCTCGCGACAAAATTCATTTTCTCGGCGCCGACACAACGGCCGAATCGACCAATCCGACCGGGCAAGTTAGCTGAATTTGGACAAGTGTTACAAGGAAAATTAACTCGAAATATGGTCACCTATTTTGGGTGATTTCGGAGGAGAATTTTTCACGATAGCTAAAATTGCCAAATTTGACCGGTCGAATTGTTTTTGAGGAGTTGTCGAAGGAAAACTTGACTTTCCCATGGGACAATCTCTTTTCACATTGCAACGCATGTGAAAACAAAGTCTACCTTCCCTTCCTCATTCCATAAAATCGCGCCGAGATGGACGGTTGCCAATTCTCGATGGCTAAAATTGCCAAATTTGACCGGTCGAATTGTTTTTGAGGAGTGTCTGATCCGGAGAATCAGAGAAGGGAGAGGAAGTAATTCCACTACAAACCCGAAGTTTCATTTATATTTTTACATTTATTTATTTGTGTGTCTGACTTGTCCCAGTGACAAGTCTTCCCCTTTTTGGATTTGGCCTTCACTGGCCAATCTTTTTTGTGTTTGTTTATCCTCCGAGCTCTAGCTCGGCCACAAATTTCCCGCCATTTCAAATTGTCGGCCTGCTCCGCAGACCCCATTATAATAAGGGCCGAGGGAGTTTTTTACTTAGCGTTGACTTTTTGGACTTTTTTTTACATACGTCATTTTTTTGTCTCTCTGTGATATCCAAACGACATTTTTTTAGTCTCTGTCATTATTGACCGGTCGGTAATGAAAAATCGAGTTTTCTCCTTTCTTTTTGGAGCTACGCTGCCGATTTTTTTTTCAGAGTTCGTAGAATGGAATTCTACACCTGAATATGGTATTCGTTTTTTCACCATAGTTGGCGTGTCATTTTGAAAATTGCGAAAATCGACTTTTTCAAAAGTACCCCTTTTTTGAGCTTTCAGTGTGAATTTTTATGGCGATTTTGCAAGTTCCGCATACGTCACGATTGTCACACATTACTTCAAATAAATTTCCTGAAAGTTTCAGAAATTTGCATAACGTCCCCACATTTTGCGTCCTCCCGGACTGAAAGGTTCCGAAAAGTCAAAAACGATTCGACATGAAAACGACCAGCTATTTACACGTTTCCTTCATGCACCCTAACTCATTTTTCATGCTGACTCCGAATCTGAAATTTTTTTGCCCAAAAATTTGCATACAGCATATATCTGGATCTCAATTCTAAAATACGGATTTTTTATCTCAAAGTTGAGGGCCTAATTCAAAAATCCGCCTCGCAGGGATTTTGCGCAATACTTTCCTAAATACGATAAAGTGATTGTTACACCCCCAGATGTTGCCGGGATTCCCAAACAACCTCCGATGTAAAATTGGGGTATGTGCAAACTGATCTCGCGAGCGAAGCGAGCGCCGAGTACCATTCTTTCTTTATCGGACGTAGTTTTTACTGCTTTTAAACTTTCTAATTGGATTCTTTCATCTAAATTCAAAACTACGGTTACTGTAACATTTTCAATTTTCCCAACCCTCAGGCTACGTGTGTAGATGAAAGAAATTTCAAATTCTGATGCCAGATTCCGAATCTACATGAAAAATCACCATCAGAAGTGGTATCGTAGTCGTCCTATCTCGCCGATTTTTTTCGGCTTACTGTGGGTTACGGTAGCTTTTGCGCCGTATGGCGCTTTTTCGCCATTTTCTCAGCGTAGACGCAGTCGCGTCAGACAAAATTCACAGCACTGGTAGTACTCGTCATTACACGGCTTTCAAGGTGTATTTTACGGTTCCAGGTCTGTCGCTTCGCGAGGGATTACTGTAACAAGGACCTTGACTTTAAGCTACCGTATCTCGGTCAATTTTGATCGTATCCACCCGCCTCAAAAAGCATTCTACTGAGTTTAAATAGCTCTTCAAAACATTAGTTGACACGTTTTTGCCATTTCTTGAAACCGGGTTACTGTAACATCGCAAACATAAAAAGTACTGTAACTTTTGAACGAGTAGAGATACGAAGACGGGACCTGGCTCAATCGTTCGGAAATCAAAAACTCGATCAGGATACGTGTAAAAATCTTTACATTTCTCTAAAATACGACCTGGCCGAATTTAGCTTTGGCCAAATTTTCCATTAATGATTTCACCCCAAAAAAGTCAAAACTTTTGGGTAAAAAACCCAAAATATGACGGCCCTCTAATTGTACTACAACGTGGTATAATTTTTTTCCCGGGGGATTGAACCTCCGGAGACTTCAGATTGCCAGACTTCCGCGCTAACCACTGCGCCATGGGTGCCTCTCTCGGAAACAAAAAGGGCTCGAGCGCGGGGGCCTCCTGTGCAAAAACATCAAAAGGGTGCACTGTGCGGATTTTTGCTTTGTCGCGCAGCGACAAAGCCAAAATTCGCGCAGCGACAAAGCCAAAATTGGGATTCGCACTGTGCAAATGGAGAAAAAGCCTAGCTCACAGGGTAAAATGCAGAGTGCACTGTGCGTCTGGGGGGAAAGTGGGAAAATCAAAAGGGGGGTGCCTGGGAAAACGTTTGGAGGGTGTTTTTCGCACTGTGCAAAATGAAAAAAAGCCTACGAACGTAGGCTTTTTTGTTGATTGCACTGTGCAAATTTTTCCAAATTTCAGGTTTCGAAGGGGAGTGTCTGCAAAATATTTTGCGACACTCCGCCAACAAATTTTGCACGGTGCAAGTGGGAAAAGGCTTCGTTTGGCAAGATTGCACTGTGCAAACCGTGTCGCAACGTGGAAAAAGGGGCGTGGCAAAAGTTGAGTTTGCATTTTCGTGAGAGAGCAAAAATTTCTCTAGCTTTCTCGTCGATTTCGGGTCCCAGTATTTTTCCGAGGGCGATTTAGGTTGGGTTCGCGCGGGTTCGAAATTTTTTTATTTTCTCCGGGTTTTTGCGAGTGCACTGTGCAGTGAGAAGGTTCACTGTGAGTTTATAAGGTGCACTGCGCGGTGCTTAGCGCATAGGCTTAGGCTTAGTTTGCTTAGCCGCTTAGGCTGCTTAGGCTTAGCTCAGGCTTAGTTTGCTTAGGCTGCTTAGCCGCTTAGGCGCTTAGGCTTAGTTTGCTTAGCCGCTTAGGCTGCTTAGGCTTAGCTGCTTAGGCTAATTTGGTGGCGCTTTGCGCGCACACCCGCGTTGGGAATGTAGGCTGACGAGTCGCGTAGCGACGTAGTCAGGCTACATCCCAACGCAGCTTGTCCAGAATTACAAGTCAGGATGCCTAAAAAGGGAAAATTGTCATCATATATATCAGTTAGTCTTTTGTAATATCTTTTGAAGGAAGGTCGTGTGAATTTTGTTGAAGATAAAGAATTTGACTGTAAAGCTTGGAGTACTCTCTTCTAACGGTTGTAGCCATTGGTCTTCCTCGTCACTCGTGATTATCTGATAGTTCCGTTGTTGGAAGTGGACCGGGATCTCTTACCCGGGTTACTATATCATCCCCGACTATTAAGTCGGCCTAACATCACTCTCCCGGCCAAAGAGAATCATCTTCATTCCGAGTGCTACCTCGGCGACGCCACATTACATTCACGGCAGTCGTCGGGGTAAGTGTTTCGGAGTTGTTCTGTCCGCCTTTAGGTTCGTCCGAGTCTGATCAGCTCGGCAACGTGGAAGCGGACAAGGAGTTGTCGAAGGAAAACTCGATTTTCCCATGGGAAAACTGAACGCATGTGAAAAGTAAGTCTACATTAGCTTCCTCATTCCCGATTCATTCCATAAAATCGTGCCGAGATGGACGGTTGCCAATTCTTTCTGCTCCTGTCACTGATAGTCAACGTTGATCTTCTGCAAGGACAAGTGGTGCAAAACTGCGAAAACGTCTACGCAGTGAATGGAAACAAGGACACGAAGCCTGCGTGCAAGGAAGGAGAGATTTGTATCGAACTGGGAGTGAAGAACTTCACCGTTTACGTGGAGGACTATTGTGTAAGTGTAATGGGGATGCCGTGGCTAACCGGGATGCAAAGCACGTCGAATATTCACTGTGCATCTTTGGTCTGACGCGTTTGGTCCGGTTTGCGGAAGCTTTCCGTTTTTTACAAGTCGCTGCTCTTGGTTTATCAACCCTATTTTCAGGACTATTACGGCTCTTTCGATTACATGAGCCTTGTATCGCGTGAGTTGTGTTGCACATCAGTTTATCCACAAATTCATTTTTAGGATACGAAGGTGGAGAATTCTACCATTACAATAATGTGACTCGGAAGCTGGGGACACGCCCGTAAGAGTTTGTCCACTTCTTTGTTTAGTTCTTGTCGTTGAGCTAGATGAAAATAAAAACTTTTAGGAACATACCACCTATTAGTTGGTATTCCCGCCATCAGATCCCGTCCGACCATGATCCACAGTTCTACGCACAACTGTTCTCGCGGAGCGTCGAGATTGTCACCATGGGACTGTAAGTCTGAAAAAAAACCAAGAGCTTGACGACCCGTGTTGCTGGGTCCAACCCAGATCATTACTGATATCCATGATTTTTCAGCAAACCAATCGACAAACAAAGCCATAAAGACGTTTTTCGCCTCCAAACGATGCTGGATTCCGAGTTGTCCGTTGAGCAAGTGCAGCGTGCCTTTGTCTACAAGGAGTACCTGTTCCTCAGTGCGGAGAAAGCCATCGACTTTCGAATTCTCTACGAGAAGAGGGGACCCTATGCCGCCGATATAAACAGACCAGGACGACTTACGGAGCACAATGTTGGCCTGATCGACGTCTCGACCATCCCCAACGAACACATTGACAAGGACTTCCTAGATCTGATCACAAATCTATGCTTTGTAAGTTTGGGAAAGGTTATACGAAGGTTATGATTATTTTCATAGAGTTCATGGACATTTACTCTCTTTCGCACAGTGATCCGTGGAAGAAGATTTTTTGAATTTTTTTTGGAAAAAACTTGGTTTAGAGGTCTTCGAGGCTACCCTTCATTTCATCCAGCTTTCATTTGGGGTAGATCGGGTATGTATCGCCAATGTTGCAAAATTCTTTGACCAGCCAGCCAAATCACAACTATTTACTATAAGCCATTGGGACACTTTTTAGCCGATCCAGGATTTTGGACAGCTATTATAAATTTGAAATCATTGCTCAAAGAATCTTGAAAGATTCCGAAAAAATTCAAAAAAACTTCATCACGCTTTACCCCATTTTGGGTCGCAATCGTAGGATTTCTTTCCACTGTGCGGACAGCCGTCACAACAGATTTTTTCGTGTGGTTTTCCGACCGAAAGATATTTTTCTCGAAATTATTTTCTTTCTTTTTTCAATTGTGACACTTCGTTTGGACGAAACTCAAAAGTGGGCGGGACACATTTTTGTTCTATTTCGGGTAGCCGTGTGCAGCGGCGATGAAAAGCGGAATGAAGTCTACGAACTGTATAAAAATACTTGTCATAGCACCATGCCTATATTTCCGTATTTCAGAAACCTGGCAAGTACTGTTCGTTGGATATCAAGACGGAATCCTTGGACCTGCAAGATTACCCAGTGGCCTTCACCTACGACGACCTAGTTCTGGAGTCCTTTTGGTTTCAGTAAGTTCACCTGCTCCGGTTTTTACGCCTACGTTTAGAAGACACTGCGAAATGCTTCCGATGTACCGTATTCGGCACAAGAAGACTGCTCCGAAGTAAGTGGAATTTTGAGTTGGCTGAGTTGGAATTTTTAGCGTGATTTTCGATTTCCCCAATGTTGAGAGCATCGTAACGCATGGAAGAAAGCTTTCGTGGGTGAAAGAAGTATGGTAAGTGTTTGAGATTAATAGAGGAAGTGCTGATATGTGAATCGCCTTTGTAATCTTTTATTTTTTAGGCCTGTGAGTCATAGGTATTATTACACCATACGCGGTATCCTGCCTATTGTCCAGCCGCACGACCCCTTTTACGACTTCGTCAAACAGTTCACAACTCCCGCCCCAACGACCACAACCCGCCCACCACCAACCACCACCACTCTGAAGCCCGTCCCGGCCGGTCCCGCCCCAAAATTCCTTGAAATCGAAGAGGACACGGCGGAATTAGAGAATCCCCACGTGATTTATCTTGATCCCTTACCCTCGAATGTACCGGCGATATCCGGTCTTCCCATCATCTATTACATGCTCGTTTACATCGCTTTTCACTTGAAAAGTTATAATTTGTAATGGAGGAGCCGTTGATAAACGTAAATCTTAAGAGTCGGTAGAACGATCGAATAAAAAAATGTTTGTACAGGCTAATTGGAATCGATGTGTAATGCAACAAAATTGCGGAAAACCCTTTTTCAGCTACCAAAGAAATGACGTCGGAAGCGCGTCGCACGTCAAACTGAAGAGTCCGGTGACCGGAATAGACCCTTCGCTATTGGTTTTTTACACTTCGTCTGATTTCGCAGAGAAAGAGAGAAAAAAGACACGCAAAAGCGTACTCTCTCGCCCGAAAAGGTTCCCCATTTCTTCCCCGACAAAACGTTTTTTTCGCGTCTTTTTTTGGCAAGTTACCAATCCATTCATCGGACTGTTTTAGCTTATCTCAGTTTGACGTGCGTCGGGGCTACCCTTCACTTGGGGCAGATCTCGTCAGAAATAGACAGGCTCCCGGCGGGCCCGGGCCGAAGCAAACTTGAGGGCTCGCGACACAATTTTTTTCTCGGCCCCGACACGACGGCCGAATAGACGAATCCGACCGGGCAAGTTAGCTGAATTTGGACAAGTATTACAAGAAAAATTAACTGGAAATATGGTCACCTATTTTGGGTGATTTCGGAGGAGAATTTTTCACGATAGCTAAAATTGCCAAATTTGACCGGTCGAATTGTTTTTGAGGAGTTGTCGAAGGAAAACTTGACTTTCCCATGGGACAATCTCTTTTCACATTGCAACGCATGTGAAAACAAAGTCTACCTTCCCTTCCTCATTCCATAAAATCGCGCCGAGATGGACGGTTGCCAATTCTCTCTGCTCCTGTTGCTGATCGTCAACGTCGATCTTCTGCAAGGACAAGTGGTGGAAAACTGCGCAAACGTCTACTCAGTCAATGGAAACAACGTCACGAAGCCAGCGTGCAAGCATGGCGAGGTGTGTATTGAACTGGACGTGAAGAACTTCACCGTTTACGTGGAGGACTATAGTGTAAGTCGAATGGGGATGGGGAGCCTAACCGGCATGCAAAGCACGTCTAATACTGTGCATCTTCGGGCAGACGCATCTGTCGCTGTCGGTTTGCGGAAGTTTTTTTTCCGTTTTTCCAAGTCGCTGCTCTTAGTTTATCGACCCTATTTTCAGGACTATTTCGGCTCTTTCGATTACATGAGCCTTGTATCGCGTGAGTTGTGTGTTGCACGTCAGTTTATCTACAAATTCATTTTTAGGATACGAAGGTGGAAAATTCTACCATTACAATAATGTGACTCGGAAGCTGGGGACACGCCCGTAAGAGTTTGTCCACTTCTTTGTTTAGATCTTGCCGTTGAGCTACATGAAAGTAAGCAATTTTAGGAACATACCACCTATCAATTGGTTTTCACGCCATCAAATCCCGTCCGACCATGATCCGCAGTTCTACGCACAACTGTTCTCGCAGAGCGTCGAGATTGTCACAATGGGACTGTAAGTCTGAAAAAAAAGTGCTTGACGACCCGCGTTGCTGGGCCCAACCTAGACATGGCTAGTGGGCCGAGCCGGCCCAGCCCCCCGGGGGGCCGGGCCGAACGAGTTTTAAAGGCCCCGGGGCCGGGCCGACCGGGGGCCCCCGCCAGGCCCCCAATCGGCCCCCAATGTCTAAAATTCCCCTTCTCAAAGCGAAAATTAGGGTTGCCAATAAAAATGAAACGCAGAGCCAAGAACCGATTGGGTTTTTTGAAGTACTTTAGGCAATGGTTGGTAATTTTTTGTTTCAAAAAATTTTTTGTGGATTGTTAGGACGGACGGTAACTGGGGGTTTAGGCTAAAACGCCGGGGGCCATTTTACTCTAATTTGAACTTTTTGTATTATTCTAATTTTTTCATTATGGGGATGTGAAATGGACAAAATAGTGGAGGTTTGAAATACCTTTCGTGGGGGGGGGGCTGAACTACCAAAGCCCCAAAAAATGTGTTATATCTCGTAACGAATGCAGTATTTATATTTACAGTTCGGCCCCCGGTCGGCCTCCGGCCCGGCCGAGAAAATTTGAAGGGGGCCGGGCCGCCCACTTCCGGCGGCCGGGCCGCGATTTTCGGCCCGGCCCGGCCCCCCAGCCATGTCGAGTCCAACCCAGATCATTACTGATATCCATAATTTTTCAGCAAACCAATCGACAAACAAAGGCATAAAGACGTTTTTCGCCTCCAAACGATGCTAGATTCCGCGTTGTCCGTTGACCAAGTGCAGCGCTCCTTTGTCTACAAGGAGTACCTGTTCCTCAGTGCGGAGAAAGCCATCGACTTTCGAATTCTCTACGAGAAGAGGGGACCCTATTTCAACGATATAAACAGACCAGGACGACTTACGGAGCACAATGTTGGTCTGATCGACGTCTCGGCCATCCCCAACGAACACATCGACAGGGATTTCCTGGCTCTGATTAAGACGCAATGTTTTGTAGGTTTGGGAAAAGCTATATCAGTAACTAGATGGGGCAAAAAGTCTTGACATGTTGGCACGGTGCGCCGATTCGTGCAGAACTTGTCGCACCGCGAGAGTAAAGTTCACGGCGGACGCCGCGGCGCGCCGACCACGCACAGTGCAAAATGAACTGTTTTGAAAGATATCGAGGGGCTTCGGTAGTTGAGCCCCCACGAAAGGTAGTTCAAACCCGCACTGTTTTGCCCGTTTCACACCCCACATAATGAACAAATTAGAATAATACAAAAAATGTAAGTGGGGGTTTGATCTACTACGTTGGGGGTTTGATCTAAAACGTAGGGGGCTTCATCTAAAACTTAGGGGGCTTGTGCTGGACCATACAACTTGGATTAATTCTTTGAAACAAATTTTGGGGTTTAGAATGGACGAGGGAGTTTGTACTGGGTCATGGGGGGCTAAACTGGACTGGGGGGTTGTACTACCTTAGCCCCGATATCGATACTCTGTGCGTCGTTTCCACTGTGCATGTTCTTTAGTAAACCCGCGAGGACATTTCCGATGCACGGTACGAACCCAAGAAAGGGACTTTGTGCGGGTATTGCCATTGGAATTCCATCGATTGCGACCCAAAATGGGGTAAACTGACAATCCAGTGGTGGATTTTTTGAATTTTTTCGGAAAGAGCTTGGTTTAGGGGCCTTCGAGACTACCCATCATTAGAGCCAGCTTTCATTCTGGTGGAGATCGGACATTGGTCCCAATATGTATAGCCAATGTAGCAGAATTGTTTGACCAGCCAAATCACAACTACTATAAGCCATTCTGACACTTTGGCTGGCCGATCCAGGATTTTGGATTGGAATTTCAAAAAATCATTGCCCCATTTTGGTAGCAATCGTAGGATTTCTTTCCACTGTGCGGACAGCCGTCACAACAGGGTTTCGTGTGGTTTTCCTACCGAAAAATGTTTTTCTCGAAGTTCTTTATTTTCTTTCTTTTGTCAATTGTGACACTTCGTTTGGACGAAACTCAAAAGTGGGCGGGACATATTTTTGTTCTATTTTTTTTCGGGTTGCCGTGTGCCGCGGCGATGAAAGGCGGAATAAAGTCTACGCACTTTATAAAAATACTTGTCACAGCACCCTGCCTATATTTTCGTATTTTAGAAACCTGGCAAGTACTGTTCGTTGGATATCAAGACGGAATCCTTGGATCTGCAAGATTACCCAGTGGCCTTCACCTACGACGACCTGGTTCTGGAGTCCTTTTGGTTCCAGTAAGTCCACCTGCTCCGTTTTTTATGCCTACGTTTAGAAGACACTGCGAAATGCTTCCGATGTACCGTATTAGGCACAAGAAGACTGCTCCGAAGTAAGTGGAATTTTGAGTTGGCTAAGTTGGAATTTTTAGCGTGATTTTCGATTTCCCCAATGTTGAGAGCATCGTAACGCATGGACAAAGGCTTTGGTGGGATAAAGAAGTATGGTAAGTGTTTGAGATTAATAGAGGAAGTGCTGATATGTGAATAGCCCTTGTAAGCTTTTACTTTGTTAGGTCTGGCAGAGATAGGTATTATTACACCATACGTGGTATCCTGCCTATTGTCCAGCCGCACGACCCCTTTTACGACTTCGTCAAACAGTTCACAACTCCCGCCCCAACGACCACAACCCGCCCGCCACCAACCACCACCACTCTGAAGCCCGTCCCCGCCGGTCCCGCCCCAAAATTCCCTGAAATCGAGGAGGACACGGAGGAATTAGAGAACCGCCACGTGATTGATCCCTTTCCCTCGAATGTAGCGGCGACTTCGGGCCTTCCCATCATCTATTATATGCTTGCTTACATCGCTTTTCACTTTAAAAGTTATAATTTGTAATGGAGAAGCCGTTGATAAAAGGCATGTCGCTAAAAAAACGGGAAATCGCGGCGACAAATGCGAAATGAAAGGAGAATGCACGGTCAGGACTTTGAGCGCGATTAGTACATACGGCTAATTGGAATCGATGTGTAATGCAGTAAACTTGCGGAAATCAATTTTCACTTCAGCGACGCGATCGGCGCAGCGAAATCTCGCTCACTATTTTTCCGACGAGCCGATAATAAGGGGCCTATTTGCCGAGAGAGCACGCAAAATGAGGAGAGTCGGACAGACAAAAAAGGTGTTCACTTCGCTCTCCAATTCCTTCCGTTCACACCGCGGTGAGCGGTTGGGTTTCCTGCCGACGATGCCGTTGCTGGCAACAACCCCTCCGGAGGATGGCAGAAGCTCAACCCGTGGCAGGACCTCCTTGAGGATTGGCACACTGGAGAACCAACGTGACATCCCCATCTTGGCCCCGAATCATGGCCCGTTTCTCTACTTTTGCTAGATGATCAGCGGAAATAATTTGAATTGAATTCGCTCTCCACAGATGTCAAATTCCAAGAAATTACAGCCCAAAGATGACGAAGCCTGTCAGTGACTAGTTTTATTGAGATCGTTAGTTGGAAGTTTTGGATGTTGCGTTTGAGGGCCTGGCCGTCGCTTCCTTTTCGTCGGTGTCTTCGCTTCCGCTCTGCCGCTTCCGATCCTCGTAGTAGGTGTATCGGGTGGCGCTGAGGATGAAGATCAGGATCACCGCCGCCATCAGTGTGCCGTAGAAGAAGAATGCGTAGGCGGGGTTTTCGATGACGTTCGTTGCGGAGATCAGCATGTCCAACATGTTGCCCAACGCTACTGTGGTGTGCCAGATGGCCTGAAATTTGATTTTTTTTCACTTGCGGACTTTATTACTGCTATTTTCATAAAGTGCGTAGACTTTTTTCCGCGGAAAAATTCAAAATTCCTTTCGTGGAAAAATTTTCCACTCACCTGCAGAACGTTCTTCATGCTTTCCGGAGCTTGAGAATACGCGAATTCCAGGCCAGTGATGCTGATCAGCAGCTCTCCGACCGTAATCAAAAAGTATTGCGGGATTTGCCATGCCAGGCTGACCGAGTTCCCCGGCACCAACGTCTCCAATTTGTGGTCGACCGCCGCGTGTTTCCCGATGTACAGGACGTTAGAGGCTCCAACAGAGGCGACGAACTGTCTGAAAAATAATAATTCACATTGCAGTAGGTCGGAGAATCAAAAAAAATTGTGTGAAAAGTTTCATGCCTATTTTTATTGTAGACAGTAAATTTTCAAAAAAAAAAAATAAAAATTTTTCCGCGAAATTTTGTATTACACTAGGCAAGCCATCGGTGCAAAAAGACGTAATCTTGTAAAATTTAAAAAAAAAACAGAGATGGTTGAAAAATGTCGATTCTGAGGTAGTTCGGCACATTGAATCCGAAAATCACGATCACAAGAGACACGAACTTTTAAAACGAATTTGTTTTATCATTTTTTTCAAAAATTTTGCAAAATTACTTAGGGGTCATACAATTAAAAAAAAATTTAATTATTTACGCTCCGGGACCCGGAAAACCCAGTATTTGCCTTGACCCCGAAAGGGCAGTAAACCCGTCCCAAACCACTCACACATTCGTGCAGCCGTGCGCCCATGCGTCCTTGCACGCTAGCGGCGGACCAAACGCGATCGTATACTCATCACTGCCGTACAAAGGCGGCGGAATATCCACTGGAACTCCGTTCTCGGCCTTGGCGTTGTGCACCACATCTCCGTTCGCATTCTTCACATAAATCGGCGCTCCTTTCGCCCCGGAAGACTTGTCGACCGCGAGGAAGAGGCGCGTATTATCACCCTCCCCATTCTCATAGGGGAACTCGAACGGGGACACTGAAATTTGAGCCAAAATTCCCCCCGTCAAAGACGCAAATCTCACCTGTACCGTCGCTGTTCGGGACCAACACATAGGCTTTTGTGGAGTTGAAGATCAGTCGGTCATGGAGGCCATAGACGCCCGAGGGGATGAGCTGTGGACCCTCGGACAGAACGATCGTTTCGCCGGTTTCCGGGATCAGCGAGTAGTTGACGCGCAACGAAAACACCAACGAGTTGCCGGATTCAATCGGGGCGACCTGTGTGCTGAGGATTGCCAGCTAAAATCGGAGGAAATTGTATTACTTTAGATATCCAGTTCAATATTTTTTAACAAGGAAAGTACTTCAGTGGGGTAAGGAGTTACAGGTCGAGACATATATCAAAAAAATCGCAAGTTTTTTTCTGATTCAGAATATGTAAAAACTGGGTGCCTGACTGAATATGAACTGACTGAATATGAAGGACTAAATATGAAGGACTGAATATGAAAAGGACTGAATATGAACTGACCGAATATGAACTGACTGAATATGAACTGTGTTGCTGACTAAATATGAAATTTGGCAAGTTTGGTCTATTTCAAGGACTATATAGTACCAAGTGCTATAAATGTGTTTTTGGGCTGTACTAAGCACCAAACCAACACCATTACCGCATTACGCCCAAATTTTTACCTCGTACTAAATAGTACCAATTGGTACTATAGAGTACCAAATGCTAAAAATGTGTTTTTGGGCTGTACTAAGCACCAAACCAACACCATTACCGGCCAAATTTTCTCCTCGTACTAAATAGTACCAGGTAGTACTATTTTGCACCAAGTATTAAAAATGTTTTTTAAGCAGTACTGGACACCAAAACAACACCATTAACGACTAAAGGTGTTATAAGTCGAAAAAATTTCAAAAAGAATCCTTAATCGGAACCTATGTAGTAACAGTAACAGAAACCCGGTTTTCATGTTCAGTCAGTTCATATTCGGTCCTTCATATTCAGTCAGCACCCCAGTTCATATTCAGTCCTTCATATTCGGTCCTTCATATTCAGTCAGTTCATATTCAGTCTCCCTTCGGTAAAAACTAGCTGTCCAATTTTGCTTTGAAAGGGTGAAAAAATCATCAGAAGTTTTCTCGCAACACCACGCAAATGCCTCTTTTTTTACATTGCAACTACTAATTAAGGTGTAGTTATTAATCAAATTCGATATTTAAGGCTTGTCAAAAAAGATGCCAGGGTTCAAGCTCAAAAAAAGCTTTGAATTGGCAAAAACTTGGTCAAGGAGGCATTTGCGTGGTGTTGCGAGAAAGGTTCTGAGGGTTTTTTTCACCCTTACAAACCAAAATTGGGCAGCTAAATTTTACGTATTCCAAATCAAAAAAATTGCAATTTTTTTTGATATATGTCCCAACCTGTACCTCCATACCCCATAGAAGTACTTTCCTGTCAAAAATTTCAGTGATTCGAAAGAAATATCGCTCTAAAATATCGTTTGCTTTAATCTTTGTGGTCTTTAGACTAAATGACACATTGAAATCATAATTTTTTTCTTTCCTCCCAAAACTTATATTACACTTGACCCACCTCAACAAATCCCGCGACAATGAAAGACGAGGCCGCGATCAGACCGCCGACTGACATTCTCCTCAACGCAGTCGTCTTGACGCACTTGCCCACCAACGGGTAGACCACCAATGTCAGCACCGGGGCCAGTGTGAGCACAAAGAAGCAGTTCAGAAAGTTCATCTGGTCCGCCGCGAACGTGAAGGAGCCCATTCGTCCGTTCATCGACTTAGCCTGCAGCACCCAGGTGCTTCCCTAAAAAATTTTCATAGCCAAGATTCAAGTTCTGGGTCAAGTTTTTCTCTGTTCATTCAAAATTTGGATTGGGGTCAAGTCTTTCTCTCGAAGACCAGTCTTTTTTAGGAGTTCAAAATTTGTGAAATATGCAAAAAAACGTTGTAAGGATCTGTATTTTTATTAAATTCAACTTTGACATTTTCAGTCAAGTTTTCCTCTTTTTGAGACAAGTCTTGCTCTCGGAGAAAAGTCTTTTTTAGGAGTTCAAAATTTTTGAAATATGCAAAAAAAATGTTGTAAGGATCTGTTGTATTTTACTAAACTCAATTTTGGCATTTCCAGCCAAGTTTTCCTCTTTTTGGGTCAAGTCTTCTCCTTAAAATTTAAGAAGCTATATTCGTATTTTAGACCCACAAAAATCGATTTTTATCGACTTTAGGCCATAAAAAATTCCTTATAATCCACTAAATCGCATCTATTCCTAAAATAACTCACTTTTTTATATTACACTAGGCGTCTGAATCCCTTACCTGTTGATCAAACAACGCCCAAAAAACAACCATCGGCACCAGCAAGAAACAGACCGAGGTGAGAGCCTTCACATCCGTCACCGTCCTCTTTCCATACCGCTCGATGCCGTAGTCCAGCCAGTGCTCTTTCTTCTCCTCCTTCCCCATCAATGCCTTCACCTTTCCCTGCACTCCCAGCCGCACACAATTCGCGGCCCTGCACAGCAAATTGTTCTTGGATGCCGGCTGGATCTTGTAGAAGCGCCAGCCGCCGACAAAGAAGAGGAAAGCGACCAGCATGAGGATGCCGGGGATGCCGAACGCCAGCGGGTAGCAGTGGTCGTGTCCCATGCAGGAGGTGCGGCGGATAATCGGCGTCACAATCAGCGCGATCAGGGCGCCGAAATTGATGGCCATGTAGAAGTAGGAGAAGAACCGAGAGCGTTGCGCGGCTTGCGACTCATCGAACTGAAAATTGGCTGAGTTAGAGCGCATTATATTACACTTGATAGCCAAGTGCAAAATGTGCTGGAATAGAAGTTCATACAAGTCTATGATGCTGCAAATGTAATTTCGGCTATGTCCAGAGGCTATTCAAACCTTCAAAGAAATAAAAATTTCCAAAAATCGATTTTTTTAGCCAATTTTTGGGTCCCACCACGAAAATCTGAATTTTCAAAAATCGATTTTTCCAAAGTTTCAAACGGTGAGGAGGGCCTAAAAAGGACCATCAACCTTAACAAATGCCCTTAAAATCATTCTCCACCACCATTTCTAGTAAAAAATTACATTATACCGAGCAAAATCTACTTAAAGCTCACCTGATTCGCTGCAAACGGCGCAACACACGGTTTGATGCCTCCCGTGCTCGCGGCAATCACAAACAGTCCGGAAAAGTCAAAGAAGAGGCGAAGCCCCGTTGACAACGACGGTAGGGCACCAACGGAGAGGAGGGCATGCCCCATGACGTAGGTTAGTGAGACCTGAAATGACAACAATTTTCTTTCTAGCAACAACAAATAAAATTCCAAGCTGCTTTTTACATCTGCTACTTCGTTTCGAGACTAGTGCCGTCAAAATTCAGTCACAGATTTGGTCACGCCGCGAAACCCTGAATTTTTGGCATTCTGCAACAAGTGTCCAAAATGGGCTAAAACAGTCGTAGATGGTTTATACTCACATATAGAATGACTTTGAAGGCCCCGAAGCGCGTATCGGCCGCGACAGATCCGAGCAGTGGAGTGATGTATGCCAACACTATAAATGCGTGGAAGATCGTGGCGGCGGTGCTAGAAACGTCGATTATCAAGTGAAATATAAAGAATCGGAGGCAAAAAGGCCAGTAAATAACAAATTTTCTAAAAGTTTTCATTTTTTCTTTGAAAATTGGCCAAAATGTCAAAAAATCGAAAAGTTCCATAAAATCCGTCATGATGACAGTTTTTTACCGAAATTTTTTTTTGCTGAACACTCATACGGTTCTCTAGCAGTACTGCAAGTTCTAGCAAATTTCCTCCACTTACCTTTCTGAGAAATGATGTTCACCAGTCAGGTACATGGTCAGGATGCCCCGCATGCCGTAGAAGGAGAACCGCTCGCAGAACTCATTGCCGAGCATGAACAGGACCGCCAGCGGGTACCTCTTCGGCGTCGCGGTCTCGCTCGCCGAAGTCGGGGTTTCGGACATCGCGGCGGAGAGCGCAAGTTGGCGTTCGGACCAACCGAAAATTAGTCAAACAATAAAAAAAAGTTGAAAAAGGTGTTGCGAAATCCTTTGAGAACAATGAAAATGTGACCATTTTTGAACGTTTCGAAACCGCTTTCGAAATTTTAAGTTCAAGTTCAATTTTTGGATTAAAAATTAAGACTTTTGGATCTCAACACGAAAACTTGATTTTTGAGATTTTGACTTAAAAGTTGAAAAAATACATTGAGTAATGACAATTTGACGTCCAAAGTATCAAAGCACCGAATTACTAGCTTATATCAAACTATTTTACCTGAATTTTGGGTCTCACCACGAAAACTTGAATTTTAAGATTTTGGCTTATAAATTGAAAAGAAACGTGGTGTTATTGTTTTAACATGTCATATCGACGTCCAGATTCAAAGTAGTCATTTATTAGTCTAAATCAAACAATTTTTACTTAACTTTTGGGTCTCACCACGAAAACTTGAATTTTGAGTTTTGGCTTAAAAATTGAAAAAAAACATTGCGTTATTGTTTTAATATGACATATCGACGTTCTAACTATCAAAATAGTCATTTACCAGCCTATATCGAAAAAAATTTGACTTTTGAGTCTCACCACGAAAACTTGAATTTTCAGATTTTGGCTTAAAAATTGAAAAAAAAACATTGTTAATAAGACGTCTAGACGTCCAAGCTATCAAAATGGTCATTTATTAGGCCATATCAAACAAATTTTAATTCACTCTTGAGTCCCACCACGAAAACCTGACTTGCGAGGTTTTGCTTCAGAAACCTTCCAAAATTGCTCACAAAGCAAACACAAGGTTCTCCAAGTGTTTTATAACACTGTTTTCGCCTTTTTTTGCACCCATTTATCTGATAAAACAACCCGGATATTGCACATGACAACATTGTTATCATGTTTCCCTTGCAGGAATTCCGGATGTTTAAAAATCTTTTCCGTTGCAAAATTGGAGTGTTTTGAGTCAAAATGCCTCAGGTCAAAAGGTTTCTGCTATGACTCTTAACATTCTAAAAATCAAAAAAAAAAAAAAAATCCTGTCATCGTGGCATATTTTTTTTTAAATTTCCATTCTTTCATACAAAAAAATTTAAAAATCATCAATAAATCCCCTCAAAAATACGAACCATCAAGATCAAAAGCGTTTTATCGCTGCAAAAACATTTTTTCAAACGAACATACAATACTATTAAAGTTTATGAGCGGAATTTACAAAATTATGCAAATCTGTTTGTTAAGCTCGATCGCTACACTCAGAACTCATCGAGGACTTTTTTTCGGGTCTTTGGCTGTTCGATTTTCGCCCATTCCACCAACGGATCCGAGTTCAATTTGTCGAGCTGAGCCGTTTTCTCGGCCAAGGTTTGGTCCGAGTCGGAGTAATGTAGAAAGTAGTGGGAATCCAGGAAAGATTCGCCCTGAAAATGAGGGAAATTTTTTGTTGAGGCAACTCTGAGAACTCTAAAAAAAATTTTTTCAACTTTTCGAGATTTTTTATTTTTTGCACTGTGCAAATTTTGGAATTTTGCACTGTGCAGATTTTTGAATTTTGCACGGTGCATTACCAACTCTGGCTCAAATAAAAAATTTTCTGTGCTAAAATATACAGTAAGAAAAGTGGCATGGACTACCATAAAACTTTTCTACTCATCTTACTGCACAGTGCAGTAAAAGATACTTTTTCAATTAACTGCACTGTGCGGTTTCTCAAATTTTGCACGGTGCAATATCAACTCCGCTCTAAAAAATTTTTTGAACTAAAATGTACAGCAAGAAGAGTAGAATGGACTACTATAAAATTTTTCTACTCGCCTCACAGCAGAGTGCAGTAAAAGATAATTTTCAACCAACTGCACTGTGCGGTTTTTCCAATTTTGCCTGGTACTGGCCATTGTCCCAAGGATTTTGAAAACCTTTATGCGTACCATTTACAGTACACAACAAGCCATAATACTGTCAAGAAATTCTACGGCCAACTTGTTGCACTGTGCATTAAATTCAACTTTTTAAAATACTTCACAGTGCAAAAATTTTCGGACTGCACTGTGCAATAAAATTAATTTTGCTTGGTACCGGCCACTGTCCCAAAGATTCTGAAAACCTTTATGCGTACCATTTACAGTATACAACAAGCCATAATACTGTCAAGAAATTTTTCGGCCAACTTATTTCACCGTGCAGTAAATTCAACATTTCAAAAAACTGCACAGTGCGAAAATTTTCAGACTGCACTGTGCAATAAAATTATTTTTGGGAAAAATTATCGACAATAATCGATCAAAAACAGCCACAAAACAAGAATAAATAAAAATTTATGTTACCTTGACTTCGAATCCGTACTTTTTGGCCACTTCCTTTGCCAGTTCATCATCCGGTGTCTTCAATTTCAAGGTTATTTGCTGCGCCATTACACTTGAAACCACCGATATCGCTATAAAAATTGAGAGATTCATCTAACACATTCTAAAACAATTTTCAACATACAAAACCGAAATCAATTTACACAATAATCGATAAAACTTATAGGAAATGACCAAAATTCCAAAATCAAAAAAGTAAAAAATACTTTACTCAAGAAAAAAATTACTTCGTAACAACGGGAGCGCTGTAAAACAAACAAAAAAAAATAGGAAAAGTGGTTCGGAAGAGGGGAAACCATTGTAAACGTTAGAAATTATATTACCCATGACCCGAGAGGAAAAATACTCACAAGGGCTCGGCAAAACCTCGTCCCCTGGTTTCTTCTTGAAACATATACCATTTGAAAGAGCGTAAAAAACTGGTCTAGGATCACCTTGAATTAGCTGCTATTATCCATTTACGTGCTGGCTAGCGAGCATTTTTTAAGATTTTCAAGTTGGATTTTGTAATTCTTTGCTTCTGAGGGTCGAACGGGACCGAATAAACACTTTTCATATAAATATTAGTTACCTATAGCATTGAACGCTTCAACCTACGTCAAAAAATATAAAAATTTTTTTGCGTTGGAGACATTCAGGTCGATGTACTCAATGAGCGATTGCGCGATGTTGTAGGTCCTGTAACCCAAAGGAAACTAGGATGTTTCAAACATGTAAGACCTTTTCACACTCAATTTTTATGTATTTTTTATTTGCGGGAATTCCTCGTAAAAAGATGAAAGCCTTTGAAAGTTTCAACCATCCAGGATGTCCCATTGCAAGGTCAAAAACGCCAAAATCAAAAAGATCAAAAAAAGTTGCCGTTTTTGCTTTTAAAACGGAGGCGAGTATACACAAAAGTCTATTTAAAAATTAAAGACAACTTTCTGGCCTTATTCGTTCCATAATAGTTAAAAAAGTTAAAAAAATCAAAAGGGGATTCGAACCTGATCCGCAGGTCCTCCTTGTGAAGCGCCTTACCCCACTAGGCCACCGAAGCACTGCTCCGCTGTGCTTTTGAAATCGATTGCGTTTCTTTTCTCAAAAGAAGGGTGAGACAAGCCTAGAACTAAAAAATGCTCGCTAGCCAGCGTATAAGTGAATAATAGCAGCTAATTCGAGGTGATCCTAGACCAGTTTTTTACGCTCTTTCAAATGGTATATGTTTCAAGAAGAAACCAGGGGACGAGGTTTTGCCGAGCCCTTGTCAGATTACTCTTACCACACATTCGTTAAAAGTAAAAAATATGTCTCATAACACATCTTCAGTCAAAATAGACAACAATTTACCAAAATTTTGCAATTAAAAAACAAATTTTATATTCACCATGAACAGCTCTTCGAGATGATAAAAATAGACCGGTAAATAATGACTAATGTGTTATATGATATAAATATGATCGCTAGGACTGTTTTAGATTTTTTTTCGACGCAATAAACCTATTTTTTTTTCAATATCAAGGTCTGGGTCCCGGCACGAAAACATGAATTATCAGATTTCGGGTTAAAAACTGTGCCAATCCCATCTATGAGTTTCAAAACGTTATATTCTAAAAGAACTTAGGATCATAATCACTCCGTCTGCATGAAATTTGACAAATAATTTACTACTCCCCATCTAAAACAATATGCAAAAATTAGTCAAAAAATCCCGTTTCATGGCTATAAAATACTCAGAATCGTTGCAAAACTCATAACTCTTCAATTTTGATACCTAAAATCTACCCTCAACCCCAGGAACACCCTATTTTCTCAACTTTTTCTCATCTGATACCTAGTACAATATCGGCTATAGCGCGTTTTTCATGAATTCTTGAATCGAATGATTTTCTTCATATTGTGAGGAGTCCCAGAGGTCTTCCATCGACCATTCCGTTGGGTTCGCTGGGTCCGCCTGCTCCTTGGCAACGCGTTTTTTCTTTGGAGCTGGTTCGGAGGGTTTGGAGGTCTCGGATTCGGCCAAATTGAAGAGTTCAAGTAATTCATCGGTTGCCATTGATGAAATTGATCGATTATCTGCTCCGACAAGGGCCTAAAGACAAAGATATCGTTGAAATTTGCTACAAAACATTGTTTTACAACCAAATTCCTCAAAAAATGGGGATTTTCAACAATTTTTGCTCAAAAAATAGCAAATTTCCCTGTAAATCGTCAAAAAATTTACCAAAAATTAAAAGCTCATGTTTTTCTCGACATTCTGAGTCAACTTACATTAGCAGTGTCCGTCTTGAACTTCTGATATTGCATGATTTTCTCTTCAATCGAGCCTTGCGTAATCAGTCGGAAAACTTGGACAGTTTTCGTCTGGCCAAGACGATGGGCACGATCCACTGCCTAAAATACGACGTAAATTTTCTGAAAAAAAACTTTTACCTATAAAAATTTACGCCTTTTTTGACCAATGACTCCAAAAAATCTCAAAAAATCTGAAATTTTCGAGGTCCAATATCTTTTCACCCTGAGGCGATAAATTAAAAATTCTTCCCAAAATGTTTGAATGGCTTAATGGACGTGCTAATTCTCTAATTTCATCAAATTCCAGGGTCGGATCAATGAGAAAAATCAATTTTAAAACCTACTCCTCAAAAAAATCCGAAAAATTAAAACATCTATATTTCATGCCCTGAGGGTGAATATCAAAAATCCTTCTCTGACAACATAAACGGCCCCTCTAAGAGTGCTCATGCTCAATTTCATCCACCTCCCTCTATAAATCTTCGATATTTTTACACTTTTTCTTATACTGCCTTAACCTCCAAAAAAAGCAAATTTTTTCAAAAAATCGTTCAAAAAATATCCAAATCTCCCCCAAATACCTTCAAAATCACTGACCTGTAAGTCCTTGACAGGATTCCAGTCATGATCCAAGAAAATCACCACATCCGCGCCAGTCAGCGTCAGTCCAACGCCTCCGATATGAGTTGTGACCAATAGCAAGTCGATTGTAGGGTCATTATTAAACCTATCCACGACCGCTTGTCTATCATTCGGTGCGACAGTCCCATCCAGCCGCAAGTACTTGATATTCTCGCCCAGCGACGCATCATCAATGTATTTGGCGACCAAATCGATGGATGCTCGCCATTGGCAAAAGATGAGGGCGCGGTGCTGTGTGAGGGCGGGCAGGTCTGAAATCCGTATTTTAGAAGCATTAAATCCAATTTCAGACTATTATTAACAGTTTTTCTTTATAAATCCTCAAAATTTTTCAAAAATTTATATTACACTTGACAAAAATTGTCAAAAAAATTATAAAAACAGCCTAATATCGTCTTCAAATCCTCCTACCTTCTAGCACATCGCTTGTAGAGGGTGTATTTCCATCATCAAGTGGGGCTTTGTCTTCCGAGTCGCCGATTTGGCACTCCTGGAGGATCTCCTTTAGAGCCATCATTTTTCCGCTCAATTCCATGGCCTAAAACAATGAAAATTGTATTCAAATTCAACTCCAACTTTGATAGACACTCCAATTTAGCTATTGAAAAAAAATGTATCTCAAATTAAATGCGTCATCATGACGCATTTTCTGGATCTTCCAAAAATTCTCTTTTTTGGCAGTAGTCTTAAAATTTTGATCAAAATCTCATTTCAACCTCAATCTTTCGCGACTTTTTCTAACCCAATCTCCAACAGGCTTCTCCATCTACCACCTACATAGTCCATCTGTCCATTTGGATCGTATTCCCGGGTCCTGTATTCAATTTTCTTCAGGACCTCATTAATCAAGACCGGATGATCGACGAGCTGCCTGAGGGCGATGAGTGTGTGCAATGGGGACAATCGTCGTTTCTTCTCCACCTCTGTTTCGTTCTCTTTCTTCACCAGAGAGCAGCGGTCCACCACTGCTTGGTAGATCCGTTTTTGGGCCTCGGTTAGTTGACAGACCCAGTCCTGAACCACCTTGTCCGGCAGCTCCTTCAGCACGTCCGTCTTGAGGCGGCGCATCACAAAGGGCAAGATCAGGCGGTGCAGTTGCTGGAGGGACTCTTCGCCTTGCTGAAAATGGGGACTTCATGTTATTTTTGATGATTTTTCAAAGAGTTATATTGTTTTAGCCTATTTTTTGAAGATTTTTTATTGAAATCGAGGTGTCAAGAAAAAGTTGAGGTCTCAAACGAAAATCTAGTAATATTTAAAAGATTTCATACCCTAAGAATACGTATTTTACCCGGAAAAAAATTTTTATTTCAAAAAAATTCCGATTTTCCCAAAAAACCTCCATTTTTCTTCAATTTTTTGCTATTTTAAAATTCAAAAATTCGATAAATTTTCTCATCTTCCTTTTATAACCCCCAAATCTTCCTTTTCTACCACAAAAATTCCCAAAATTCCAAAAAAAAATCAAAAAAAAAAATCCAAAAAAACCAAAATTTCTTACTTTCGTCTGTTCCTCGGATGCCTTTGGGTTTCTGCATGCCAAAATCGGTTTCAAGAATCGTTGTTGGAACTGCTGTCGAGTGAATAAATATCCGGGCATTAGGAATTTGAAGAGTGCCCAAAGATCGGCCGGGGAATTTTGAACCGGGGTACCTGATAAAAGTAATTTGTGCTTCGCTTTGAGGGTCATAATGGCTTCGAAGAGGTTTGTGTTCGGGTTTCTGATGCAATGGCCTTCATCCAGGACCAGGAATTTCCATGGGAAGTCGCTGAAAAATAGCAAAAATTTCAAAAAAAAAATCAAAAAATTTGAAAAAATCAAAAAAATTTTTTTTTTCAAATTTCCAAAAAAATCACAAAAAATGTCTCAAAATGTCTCCAACCATCTAAAAACATCAATTCCTATCAAATAATCCACCAATTTCGCCGCCAAAACATCAAATTTATATTATCCATGACCCACTTGAATCTTTTTGCGTTTGTCCTCAATTCCTCGTAGGACATGACGACAATTTCATCCGAATTTGGGAGAATCTTCACGTCCACCTCCACTCGATGCATTGGCTTTTCGTTGGGGAAGTAATTTCGCCACTCATTGCACCAATGATTGGTCAGAGTTCGGGGGCAAATTATTAAAGATGGATATCGAGGGGAGGTTTTTCGATGAAGAGATAGGACCGAGAGGGTTTGAATCGTCTTTCCCAGGCCCATATCGTCGGCCAGGATTCCGTTCAGCCCGAAACGGGAGAGAAATCTGAAAAAATTATATTATCCATGACAAAAAATTTGAATTTTTTTGAAATTTTTGCAAATTAAAAGATGAAAAATCAAACTAAGTAGTAAAATACGTCTTCAAATATATTCCTCAATCAATCTCAGTCATCAAAAATACTCAAAAATTTCAAAAAATCAAAAATTCAAAAAAAAAATCAAATTTTTCCAAATTTTTTTTCATGTCAAAAAATAGTAAAATCCCATAAAATCACAGGAAATTCAATTAATTTCACTCTAAAATCATCTTCCACCCCAATAAAAATATTCCTCATACCTCATCCATGTTATTCCTTCCAGTTGATATGCTCTCAATTTGATCGATGGTTTGAGTCCGGGAACTTGTTCTTGCGTCAGTGCAGGCAGTTTAGAAGGTTGGCTGAGGACGTTGACAAAATCCTTCGACTCCTCCAGTTCAATTTGCAATTCGGGGGTGAGGCGGGTCATCAATGGCTCGGTATCCTAAAAAATCCTAATAAATCTAACAAAAACTGATCAAAAACAACAAAACTAACGTCACTCATCCCCAACATATCCCTATCAACTCAAAAATTATTCCGTCCAATTCAAAAAACATCGAAATTCAAAGGAAAAAGCAAATTGCATTGGCCGGGAATCGAACCCGGGTCGCCCGCGTGGCAGGCGAGCATTCTACCACTGAACCACCAATGCACACTCTCACCGCCTTTCATTTTTTGTTTCGAAACTTTTTCAGTGGAAAATGGGTGGAGCAGCTGCTAAAAAAGACTAAATTCCTTCATTTTCATCCGTTTTTCCTCGGGTAAAATACATACAATTACTTCAAAACAAGTTGAAATTTATTTTCCACTCCATTTCCAACTAACTTTCTCAATTTTAGGCAGCAAAAACTCAATTTTTACGCATTTTTCCAGATTTTCCTTCAAAAAGTTTCAAAAACGTCTTCAAAACCCCTCAAAAAGTTCTCAAATCAATTTCAAACAATTTCCTACCGCTTCAAGATGTAGTAGGGCCACCAATTTCCCAAACGCCAGAGCTGCCAGCTCTCTGATTGCTTCAACTTGATCCGTGATCATCTTCAACGCCAATGGGGCTAGCAACGAAGCGGCCGTTATTAAGACCTTGGGGTCCAATTTCGCGACCAAAATGGCCAGAAATTCGACTGCGCCCGCTCTTTTTTCACTGCTATCGATCTGATCCGAGAATTTTCGAACTTCCTCAAAAAAATTGTTCAGTACAAATGCTAGATCCGCGACAGCCAGCTCTGTGATACACCTGGCAGTCCGAAATCTCACAGCCGGATCGGTATGGCCTAAGGCGATCTTCAAAATCGCGATTTCTTCGGGTTTCGGTTGATGTCCCATGGGCATGGATAATATCCGGATGAACTCAAGGTTGGTTAAAAACACCTCCAGCTCTGTTTCATCATTCAAATTCTGGTTTAATTTCAAAAATTCCGCGATATTTGGGCAGATTTGCGTTGAGATTTGACCTAATTGTTCTGCATACTTCCTGAGGGCAATTTCGCAATTTTTGGCTCTGATGGTGACCGGGGCCGGTGGTGGGTTCGAGGTGGAGATAATTTGATCCGATTCGAGTTGTTTCGTTTTTGGAATGAAGGTTTTATCCTCTATGAGTCCGTTCGAAAGTTGTTTTAGGACCTTTGGATGGGGGCATGGGTTTCGTTCCAGCGTGACGCTGAACAAAATTGTAAAGCTGTCATAGAAAATCTCCTCGGAGATGAGCTCATTATCCTCCGTATTCAACGCGTCAATCAATGGTTTGATCATGGGCGTCATCTGGGGCAAGCAGTGGCCAAAATAAAACAAAGTCGAGGCGCACAGTGCGTTCAGTCGATTATTATTGGTCAAAATCTGAAATCTTGTGGCTTCCGTCATCTGAATTAGGTATTTCCTCCGTCCCTCTAGGGCGTCAAGGTCCTGTTGTTTGATCAGACAGGGTTTGCACATATTGTACATGGCATTTATGGCCTCATCGACATTGGTTTGTGGGTCAATTCCGGGGCACTTGTCGTGAGGGACGCCTTTTTGGATGCAATGACGTCGAAATTCGTTGCATTCGGCGGTTAATGACTTGATCATTGTGGCCGGTTCGTCGTAGGGTGGGCGAGTTGGGGCTTCAAGGAGTAACCTTTCCAATTCCGCGACAATTAATGTCGGGTATTGCTGAAAAAATAAAAAATTTCGAATCAAATTTCACTTCGCAACTTTTTGCACAGTGCAAAAAATTACTTTCTACAGAAAAAAAGTCAAAAAAAAATCTGACCGCACCGTGCAAAACACATTTTTTGCCTTCCGCACCGTGCAAATTCATCTTTTTTTGCCTTCCGCACCGTGCAAATTCATCTTTTTTGCCTTTCGCACAGTGCAAATTCATCTTTTTCAACCTTTCGCACAGTGCAAAACAAATTTTTTACCTTTCGCACAGTGCAAATTCATTTTTTTACTTTTCGCACCGTGCAAATTCATCTTTTTTCCTTTCGCACCGTGCAAAATCATTTTTTCAACCTTTCGCACCGTGCAAACCCCATTCTTCCTTTGCACTGTGCGAAATCAAACTTTACTTTTCCCACCGCACTGTGCGCACATTTTCCTCTCCTTTTTTCTGTCGCACTGTGCAACTCCAACAACTCATTTTTTCATTGCACAGTGCAAAAATTGCCGCACAAAACGCACTGTGCGTTTATTTGTCGCTCTTTTTGCAGTTCGAAACAGCGAGGAAATGCAGCGATTTCGCGTTTGCACTGTGCAAACTCGCTGTTTTCGCACAGTGCAGAATGACGGACAAAAAATCATTTCGTTTTTGAGTGATCGCGCGACAAATTTTCGCACGGTGCAGAAGGGAATTTCGGGATTGCACTGTGCATTTGTTTGTCGCTCTTTTTGCAGTGCGAAACTGTGAGGGAGAGACAGAAAAATTCATTTCGTTTTTGAATTCTCGCGCGACAAATTGGCGCACGGTGCAAGAGGGAATTTCGGGATTGCACTGTGCAAAGTCGCTGTTTTCGCACAGTGCACAATGACGGACAAAAAATCATTTCATTTTTGAGTGATCGCGCGACAAATTTTCGCACGGTGCAAAAGGGAACTTCGCGTTTGCACTGTGCAGAAAGGAAGTGTTCACTGCACAGTGCAAAAATTGCCGCACAAAACGCACTGTGCGTTTTTTGTCGCTCTTCTTGCAGTGCGAAATCGAGAAAAAAGTGCAGCGAGTTCGCGTTTGCATTGTTTTTGAATGATCGAGCGACAAATTTTCGCACGGTGCAAAAGGGAATTTCGGGATTGCACTGTGCAGAAAGAAAGGGTTAACTGCACAGTGCGGTATAATACAGACTGCACTGTGCGGTCTTCACTGCACAGTGCAGCTTTCTTCTAATTGACAAATACGTCATTTTAAAGCGAAAATAGGGGGAAAAACCCGCTGTAAAATATTCAAAAAAATTTTTTGAAAAATTATTGTTCAACTACCTGCTGTTTTTGGGCATTAAACGCCCTTCTAAACATCCTGGACCAACAATTCAGCATCAAAGCCACGCCCATTCGCTGATAAAGCGAGTTGCTTCGCAAATACGGGATGAAATGGAGTTGTAGAGACAAATAAAGGGGCTGATCTTGAATTTGGACGTTGGATCTGTAGAGAGTGTCAATAATTGGGGAGAGAAATCGGGCGGCGAAACATTTCCGGTCCATAAATGCGTTGTGTTTCGGCTTTTCGTCGAGGAATCGGAGTTCGTCGCCGCACAAAAGCTCCTTCGAATTTTGAACCGAGGATGAGGGACCATTCACGTTGTGGAGAAAGACGTCTGAAGTGTGCTTTTGAACAAAAATTTGGAAATTTCAAAAAAAAAAAAAAAAAAAAAATCGAAATTTCGCCAAAAATTTTTGCTTCTATAATAAAATCTCCATAAATACATAATAAAATACAGACTCTTCCGATTTTAATGACACAAAAATCCACTCAAAATTCCAAAAATTCTTAAAGTTACAGGAATTTTGAGCTAAAAACCAATTTTTTCCATTTTCCACTAAAAAATCGCTCAAATCCGATGAAAAAACATAACCCCAATCGAGCACTATAAAATACAAGCCTTTTTCAAAAAAAAACTGCCAAAAAATTGAGTATTTTCCCTCAAATTCAAGAAATTTCGGTCTCCGAAGCCAATTTCTCAAAAATTTTTGGCATAAAATCGCTGATTTGTGCCGCTTCAAGGCCATAAAAATTCACAATAACCAACATACCTCCTATTCCAATCATTTTATGAGCAAAAATCAACAAAAATTTTTTCAAAATCCAAAAATTTTTTCAAAATCCAAAAATTTCCACCTTCAATGGCGAAATCCGTCATTTTCCAAGAAAAAATCGGTGGAGAAAAACAATTTAGGACCTAAACTCCACTTTATTCCGTATTTTACCTAAACACACCTTCCATTTCCCTCCGAAAAACCCTTTACCCACCAATTTCCGAGCTTTTTATGTCGTAGGTCAGGCATCCGACCCAATATCCGATGGAATTCTGGAGTTCCGGGATTGCTGCCAGCTCGGCTTCGGGTGTGGTTGAGATCAGCTTCATGAGGGTTGAGAAGACCAGGTCTATGACACGTTTCGAGTCGCTGGGTTGGACGAAAAGGAGGCATCTGTACAGCATTTTGATGAGATTGAATTTTTGCTAAAATACGATTTTTTTTAAAAATTAATCAAAAAAGACTTCGAAAAATAAAAAAATTTGACAAGGAAAGTACTTATATGGGGTACGGAGTTACAGGTCGAGACATACATCAAAAAAATCGCAAAATTTTTCTGACTCAGAAAATGTAAAAATTAGCTGCCCAATTTTGGTTTGTATTTTCCAAAATATTTTTTGATTAATTTTTACAAGGAAAGTACTTCTATGGGGTATGGAGTGTCAATATTCATAGAAACATGAGGGTAGCACATTGAGCCCTTTTTTCTCTAACCTTCTCCTTAATTTCCAAAGTGTCTCGTTCGCAAAGACCGTTGAATATCTTCGCGGAGATTGTAAAACAAAAGCTAAAATTTTTAGCACTTCATTTATGGCCTAAACAGAGGTTATAGTCCAAATTTCAAAGAAATCCGGCATCCGAAGGTCGATAAATTACAGTATCTCCAAAAAATTTTAACAAAAAAAGTACTTATATGGGGTATGGAGTTACAGGTGGAGACATAAATCAAAAAATCGCAAAACTTTTCTGATTCAAAATATGTAAAAGTTAGCTGCCTAACTTTGGTTTGTAAGGTGAAAAAAACCCTCAGAACTTCACTCGCAACACCACGAAAATTTACATTGGAACTACTAATTAAGGTGTAGACTTAATCAAATTTGATATTTTAAGGCTTTTCAAGATGTCTGGGTTTACAGTGAACCTGATCCAGTGGCAAAAAATACACCATTTTGCATCCAGGAAGTATCAAAAATGTGGCAAAATGCTTCCCTCTCCAAGCGAAAAAACAGCGTTTTGAAGGCCCTTTCCCTCAAAAAAAAGTGGGCGCGCTTTTGAAATCGGGCTTTTTCACTTGGAGAGGGAAGCATTTTGCCATATTTTTGATACTTTCTGGATGCAAAATGGAAAGTTTTTTTGCCACTGGATCAGGTCCCCCATTGTACTTTGGCTCAAAACAAAGCTTTTGAATTGATGCCTTTTTGACCAAGTTTTTATCAATTCAAAAGCTTTGTTTTGAGCTAAAGTAAACCCTGGCATCTTGAAAAGCCTTAAAATATCAAATTTGATTAATACTACACCTTAATTAGCAGTTCCAATGTAAAAAAGGGGCATTTGCGTGGTGTTGCGAGAGAAAAGTTCTGAGGGTTTTTTTCGCCCATACAAACCAAAATTGGGCAGCTAATTTTTACATATTCTGAATCAGAAAAATCTTGCGATTTTTTGATTTATGACTCGGCCTGTAACTCCATACCCCATACAAGTACTTTCCTTGTTAAAATTTTTTGGAGATACAGTAATTTATCGACCTTCGGATGTCGGATTTCTTTGAAATTTGGACCATAACCCCTGTCTAGGCCATAAATGAAGTGCTAAAAATTTTAGCTTTTGTTTTACAATCTCCGCGAAGATATTCAACGGTCTTCGCGAACGAGACACTTTGCGAATTAAGGAGACGGTTAGAGAAAAAAGGGCTCAAAGTGCGACCCTCATATTTCCATGGATATTGACACTCCATGCCCCATAAAAGTACTTTCCTTGTAAAAATTAATCAAAAAATATTTCGGAAAATAAAAAATTAATCAAAAAAAAAATCCCCAAATCGACAATTTTGACCCGTTTTGACGTACAATTGGAGTGAAATCGTTCTGTTTTCCGAGCGACAAACAAATGCATTCCATGGTCCTCATGGTGGATGTAATTTGGCTCGGATCCAAAAGACTGATGATATGATTGAATTGGATTTGAGATAATTGGGAATCCTCGACAACAACCAGCCAATTTTGGACGATTCCAAGGAGATCAACAAGTAAAGAGGAGACCCCATCATTAATTTGCTGAAAAGTTTATATTACCTTAGGTAGAATACGATATCAACAAATAAAAAATTTTTATAAAATACAAAAAATCAAAATTAATTCGTCTTCCCAAAGCTCTGACGGCTATAAAAACCCCAATTTCATTAATAATTTCAAGAAAAATTATATTACTTTAGGTAAAATACGACAATTTATGTCTTTGCATCACTCCAAAATCAAAAAACAATACTTCTATCGTACTTAGAATACTATGTATGCTATAAAAACATCAATTTCATCAAGCAACTCAACAAAAATTATATTATCCATGACACCAAAAATCAAATTTGATCAAATTTCTATTGCCTATCCTAACAATTAGATCAATTTCGGCCCAAAAATATCATAAGACACCATAATAGACTAAAAAATCACACATCCCACTTAAAAAATTATAAATTTACCATAGAATCGCTGTCATTTTCCATCAGCATCCACCAAACGCTCTTCATGACCACATCAATGTGATCCCGCTTCCTTACAGGGTCAATCTTCTGATTATTAAACAAGGAACTGAGTGTATGGACCGATACTGAGACCACTTCATCCATCTTGTCATACATGGCTTTGACCACAAAATCGAAAAGTTCGAAGAATTTTTCGCCCGAATCGCACATGCTAAAGTAATATTTGAGGACCAGAAGGGCCGCCTGTCGACATTGCCAACACTGAAAGGCAAATCATTAGCATTTCGTGACCATTTTATATTACACATGACGTCTGATATTACTTTAGACAATTTGAGGCCTAAAAGTCGAACAAAACGAGAAAAAATAAACTCACAGCATTCCCCTTCATACAAAGCAGCTGTCGTAGCGGATTGATCAACGCCGACACCAGCGGAGTGTCAATTCCGATCTTCAACATGAGCAAACTTAAGCCTTGTCCAATGGCCTCACGAACCGGTGCAACTGCATTGGAGCCGGTTACAAAATCGTTAAATCTATCTAGCGACAAGACAAAGATCATCCGGACAGTCAATGTCTCGGTTGCTTCTGGGGTCAGACTGAAATTATATTACTTTAGGTGGAGAAAATCGAAATTTACATTTTGAACGCATTCTGAACGATTTTCCCAACTGCCATCGCGTTTCCATGCCGCTGTTGCCATTTGGGAGAGGCGAGATCAGTCAGAACTTGGGTTAGAAACTCATAGAAGACCTAAAATTTGATCTAATGTGATCTCAAAAACAGATATAAAATAATATGGTACTAAATAATATGGTACTCGAAACTCTTCGAAAACAAAATAAAAGCTGTAAAATTTCCCAAAAAGATGTTAGAAAGCTATTTTAGCACCTCAAAACTCCCTTACATTCTCCTCGTCCACACCTAACCCTTCTTCTCCTTGATCTCCGTTTTGCCCTTCTCCTGATATCACCGGCTTCTCTTCCGCCATTTCTTGTTTAATTTCAGCTTTCACCTTGGATGGGGAAGGTAATTCACACTGAACAGCTTTCAGATCGCTCTTCTTTTCATCGGAAGAGCTCGAATCATTGGAGGCATCATTTCCCAGGTCTTCATCCGCCAAGAATTGCCCACAGGAGACGCCAGTCCGAAAATTCAGGTCCAAATGTTGATCCACCAGCTGCCGTTGCTCCTTCTTCGACAACTTCACACCTTTCTTTAGAGGAATCGACGTTTCATCACAGCTAAAAACATTGTCTTAGTTGGGCAGTCCATCAAATTTGTGATCGTCGAAAAAAAATGAAATTGTATCTAAAAACGGAAGAAATAGTAATAAAAAGCTGCCTCACCTGACAAGAAAGTTGTATTGTTTGACAATCTCCCCAATATTCAGCTTGTCCAAGGTCTGCGGCAGAAATTTCGAATAATCATAGGATCTTTTGGCCAATCTTGAATTCAACTTGTCCAACACATGCCCCAACGCATCCGCAGCTGCCGAGCGGGTCTCCCAACTTGCGGACTGCAACTGTTTCCTCAAATTCTGCACCAAGCCAGCATTCGTCAAGGGGAATTGAGCCAATTGCGTGGCCGCTTCGCCTCGGAGTACTCGATTCCGCGACTCCAGCAGCTGGGACAGTCGATTTATTCGACTGTCAGCCATAGATTAGTTATTGTTTCACTGAATAGGTGCTCATGCGCAAGATGAGAGAAAAAATTTCAGTTTTGCGAGAAAAAAATTATTTTATTATTTTAGTCCCGCGACGAAAAATTTTGTTTGGCATTTTGTTTCAAGTGGGATTTTTGGTGATTTGAAAGCCATAAATTCCCGCGAAAGTACAGTATGCAAATTCGATGTGAAAATTGATGAGAAATTTTGTGGAATTGCTTCTTTTTCACCGTTTTTACAGGCCCGATTTGGTGCATGTACTAGATTTCGGCCGGTTTTGAGTTTATTATAGGTTGTTCATGTCGGATTTTGTTGATCTTTGTTGTAAATTCGACTATTTTCCCGTTTTTTGACCTTCTAAATTTCTTTACAGTTGTTGATGATAGTATTCACAGAGTTTTTTTATTTGTCGTTTCTAATAAATTGAAGTTATCAAACGATGAAGATTTAGTGCAGGTGACATGTTGTATACAAGTCACATCAATCCTTTTCATTTTGGAAAATTTTATTCATCGTATAACATGTCACCCCTAATTTTGATTTTTTAAAAATGGGCCTCTTTTTTGGGACATTTTCGGTTGGTGGCCTCCTCGGTGTGCCGTAAAAGCGCCATTTAATCGTATGTCTGCAAAAATAGCTAATGGGGACCTACATGTTTTCCTCTCCTTTTTTAGTAGACGTTCATCTTTCCAAAATTTCCCTTTTGTTCGCTAAACACCTTTGACCTTATGGTTGATCTTTAAAGCACGTTGAATGCCCTTACTCTGCAAAGAAAGACAACTCATGAATACGCGGTCTTTTGTTATTTCCTCGGTTTTTGTCGCTATTGCTACTGCCGTTGTGGTAGTTCAAAATGCGCAGACGTACGGTCAAAATTGTGCTGTGATTGTAAGTCGGCATGATTGCATGGTATATATGTACTTAATAGAATGGTGTCGTCTACGAATGTGATGGGACCACTCATCGGCTGACTGAGCGGGACAAGGCCAATCAGCTTCGCTGGGCATTGGAATTCCAACAGTTTATGCTTAACCAGGTATGGAGACCGCTAGGAAGATTGTTTCATTGACCTTCTCTGGTGAATGGGAAGTTGTTTCCGCAACCGCTTTTTGTCCCCAAGCCGGGTTTTTTTCGGTACAAAATTTGCGGGCATAATGAAGGGATCTTCCTATTTATTATTATCTAGCTGGTCACAAAAAAATTTGTAACAGTTATGTAATTAGGGGTAGTTTTTAGGAAATTCTTGGCCATAAGTTCCAAATAACGCTTCGGTAGGCTGGACGGCTATTATATCGCTACTCACAGGGGAAGTACTCCAAGTGCGACGCTCAGATTTTCATTAAATTTTGCACACACGTCGGGTATGGATTAAATATCAATTCCTGAAAGTTTTAGCTCGCGCTTTGCGGGCGCCGCCGAGATATCGAACGATTTTGGAGTACTTCCCCTGTCAGTAGGATGCCCTTTTTTCTACCATTACGTTCTGACTCCATCGGAAATTGTTAACATACCAAATTGTGATCAAAGTAAATAAGGGTTAAATAAGAAACCGGTTACAAAATTTTTAAATTTCTGGCTTTTATCTAGGTAATAATAATTTTTGTTATACTGTACACTAGCTGACCTAACCGGGCCTGACCTGGATCCTGTCATCGCCAAGGCATCGCTGACTTTCCGCCGAAAGAAACTCGAGGGTTGATGACTATTTATTTGGTGGGAATGGACCCAGCGTGAGGTCGGAAGTGGTCGCAATCAGGCACATTGATCTCAAAACCTTACAAGCAATTTCTCCATAGATCTTTGTTACTCAATACTCTACTTAGAGCATCTATTCGCTTTCAGTTCCCGATTGGATTTCCTTTCGTTCAAAACGACATTGATCCCGAGCCGCCAATGATGACATCATTTTGTCGAGTCACTTGCCCTCTTACCCTCAATTAAGCGCATTATAATGTTTAGTGTCCTTTTTCTAAAGCTGCAACCTGTAGTCTGACGCTTCCCATAGCATCATATTTACCTTTATTGTTAATATTTCAAAATGAATCATTTCCAAAGCCGCGGTTCTCAATCGTGTAAATAAAGCCCGAGTATTTAAAGATGGGATTGTAAATATTTTGAAAAAGCCTTTGGAGTGGAGAAAAGGAAAGTTTTTTTACCTTTTGTCACGGCGACCATGAGCTCGATGGAGGTTGCTGTTTTTGTTTTTCTCGGTATTCTTTTTGCTTCCGCTCAAAATACGATGGTTAGTTCTGGGGGCTGCACTGTTAATGTAAGTTCAATCGCAAAACGAATTAGTCTGTGAAATGGTATTTGTAAACCACGGCTAATTCTTAGAATGACATTGTTTATGAATGCGATGGGACGCGCCGACCGCTGACTGAAGATGAGAAAGAGGACATAAGACAGTGGAATGTGGACTTTCAGGAGCACATGAGGAAACAGGTAGGTCAACGAAGAAAATTTTGATTCTAGGTTTATTTATCAGTCTGTCGGAAAAATAACGGCGGATCGTCGCAGCAAAATGTGTCGCCTCGCCGCTATCGCGCACCAAATCCCAAGCCGCAGCTTGCAGTCGGAAAGCGATGATGGGCGATACCGAGACGCGACGATCCGCCGTTATTTTTCCGACAGGCTGATATTACGCTTTTTTTTAAAAGCGCGTAGATTTTTTCCCGCGCGCACAGTGCATTTCGAACGTTTTCCCACGCTTGTCGCCAACGCACAGTGCATTTTTATTTTTCTCTTTTCGCACAGTGCAAACCTCCAAAAAAGCCGTTTGCACTGTGCAAATTCCTGGTGCTGTCGCAGCGATATTCCAAATGCACAGTGCGAAAAACAAAAAAAGGAAATGCACAGTGCAGAATGAGCGTTCTGCACGGTGATTTCTGAACTATTTTGCACTGTGCAATTGTCTGTCGCGCTCACATTCCGGTTGCACAGTGCAAAATTTCAATTGCACGGTGCAAAATTGGGGTTTTCTTGCATGGTACAGGCCCGCGGCAAAAATTCTACGCGCTTTGAAAAAGTTTATCAGTCTGTCGGGAAAATAATGGCGGATCGTCGCACCTTGGAATCGGCCATCATCGCTTTGCGACGGCGAGCCGCGGCTGGGGTTTTGGTGCGCGGCTGCGACGAGGCGGGACATTTTGCTGCGACGACCCGCCGTTATTTTCCCGACAGACTGATAGTACATCATTGAGAACTCTAAACGATATTTCCCTTTTCCAGTTCCCACCGGGATTCCCGTTCGTCCGCGGCGAGCCCAGTGATCCGCCACAGATGAGATCTCCGTGCAAAACATGCAGTAATGGTGGTGGAATTAACAATTACAACATCAATTCCAGTCCATTCAGTCGTGTCTTCAGGCATGTTCAGTGAATTTTTCTTTGTTGTTGAATCCGTCTCAAAAATTAAATTTGTACCTTTTTGAAGCTTCTTTTTTGAATAAATCGTGCAAGACCTTCCGAATTCGGCGACATGAACTATGAAAATCCGCACCGTGCACAAAAATCTCTTATTTTGCACCGTGCATTCACCTCCTTTTTGTTTCGCACTGTGCATCTGAAATATCGCCGCGACAAAGGCTTTTTTCAACTGCACCGTGCATCGGCTTTGGAGAAAAACTTGCACTGTGCAAACGGCTTTTTTGAGGGTTGCACTGTGCGAAAAGAGAAAAAAAAATGCATTGTGCGCAGGCGACAAGCGTGGGAAAAGTTCAAATGCACTGCAAACGTCTTTTTTAGGGTTTGCACTGTGCGAAAGAGAAAAGTAAAAATGCACTGTGCTTTTGCGACAAGCGTGGGAAAAAGTTCAAAATGCACTGTGCAAACGGCTTTTTTTATGGTTTGCACTGTGCGAAAAAAGAAAAATAAAAATGCACTGTGCATTGGCGACAAACATAGGAAGAAGCTCAAAATGCACTGTGCGAAGGGAAACAAATATCCATGCACTTTATGAAAATGCTAAAAATCCTTTATAAATTAGTAATTTATTTATCGCAAATTTACAATTTTTTTACAACATTTCCTAATTGAGTAAGTGACTGGAATCTACAGTAGTACTGTTCTCATGTGGCTCGTAGAACAAATGACCGAAGACGTGTGTCGCCAGACAGAGGCCTTTGTGCGCCGCGACTTCGCAAAACGAGCCCTGCCACGGGAGCTCGGCCAGACAGTTGCAGAACATGTTGTCGCAAGTGGTTTGGTCCGTCTTGTCATCATAGCACTTGTCGTGTTTTAGGCAGCAGGTGTGGACTGAAAGAGGAGGGTTAAAAATTAGTGGGAACAATGGTGTAGCTGATACTAGTCCGTCCGTAAAGTCGCTGGAATGTTTTCGGCGACATGCACCCCGCGAAACCGAAAGTTCACTTTGCACTGTGCAATTTTTGGCTTTTTGCACAGTGCAATGAGCTTTTTGGGACGTCGCTCGCACCCTGAGTTTTCTTGCACCGTGCGCGTCGCCGAAATCATTCCAGCGACTTTACGGAAGGACTAGTAACAGTCTGTCGGAAAAATAACGGCGGATCGTCGCAGCAAAATGTCTCGCCTCGCCGCTATCGCGTACCAAATCCCAAGTCGCGGCTTGCAGTCGCAAAGCGATGATGAGCGATTCCGAGGCGCGACGATCCGCCGTTATTTTCCCGACAGACCGATAACAGTTCGTCCGGAAAGTCGTCGGAGTAACTCTTGGCGTTTGCACTGTGCGAAAAAAGTCAGGGTGCGAGCGACATCCCAAAAAAGTCATTTGCACGGTGCAAAAAGCAGGAAATTGCACAGTGCAAAGCAAACTTTCTTTTCCGACAGTGCAGGTCACCCAGTTTTGCACCGTGCAAAAGGAGCGACAAGCGTGGGAAAAAATTCCAAATGCACTGTGCGGAAAAGTCAGGATGCGAGCGACAACCTGAAAAAGCCAATTTCACGGTGCGAAAAACAAGAAATTGCACAGTGCATGTCGCCGAAATCACTCCAGCGACGCTTCGGACTAACTTTTGGCGTTCGCACTGTGCAAAAAAAGTTTTTTTGTCGCGAAATCCCAAAAAAGAGGTTTGCACAGTGCAAAGTGAACTTTTGGTTTTGCACAGTGCGTGTCCAAGAAATCCAAAGCGCACAGTGCAAAATGGCGTTTTTGGGCCAAAATGCACTGTGCAAAGCAGCAGCATTTTCATAAAGTGCGTAGACTTTTTTCGTGTGCCGCACTGTGCACAAAAATGTTATTTTCACGGTGCAAATGTCTACGTACTTTATGAAAATGCTAGTATCAAGACTTTTCGTCGCAAGTAATATCAGTCTGTCGGGAAAATAATGCGGATTTGTCGCAGCAAAATGTCTTGCCTGGTCGTAGGCGCACCAAATTTCTTGTCGCAGCTAGCCGTCGAAACGCAATGATGGGCGACTCCCAAAGCGCGACAAATCCACATGATTTTCCCGACAGACTAATATCTCCACACCGAGGCTTTATACGAGCACAAGCGGCACAAATTTCTCTCTAATCCACTTACTCTCCTCCACATCGCAGGGGAAACTGACCAACGACGCCATGGTGTTGCTGAACGGGCCTCCGCCGCACGAGAATTTCGGGGAGAACAAGAAAATGTCGTCGGCGGTGACACGAGTCTGCAATTGCGTCTGAACGGGGACAATCGACTCTTCCGAGAAGCGGAAACTCCAGTTCCAGGTGAGCATGCTCAACGCCGCCGCCGTGCTGACTTTGAAGGCCCACGCGGTCGGGGAATATAGGATTTGCATCGTCGAATTACTGTAGAAAATTACTGTAGAATCAAAGGATATATCCCGAAAATGCAGTAGACGCTTTCGAAATTGGTCGAGTCCAAATTATCGACCGGTCGACAACTTCTGACGGCTCCAAAATCAACCGATTTGCCTAGGGCTCGGTTCGCCCTTTCACAGAGTTTTTAGGGTCGCTGTACGTCGTAGGTGTAGCTGTAAGACAGCAGCGAAAACCCAAGTGTCTTCTAGAAATACTGTTCCAGTTAATGGCTGATTACACAATGAAATTACAGCGAATTGTCACGAGGTGGAAAACGTGATTCAATGAGTGTAAGCGCGTGGGAATTTCGAATTTTGATGGTTCAAAGAAAGATCGCGAAGAAAAAGGCATAAAAAACATTTTTTATCTGGCTTTCCTTATTATCTTGGTGAAAAGATTGCTCACTTAGTCTGTCGGGAAAATAATGTGGATTAGCGCCTTGGAATCGCTATGCGGCGGCTAGCCGCAGCTGGAGACTTGGTGCGCGACTACACCTTCGACGGGGCGGAACATTTTACTGCGACAACCCGCCGTTATTTTCCCGACAGACGATAAAAGAGAAAATTTTTTCTTTGTCTGGCCGATGAATTGCGTCCTCATTTTGCGTACTAATCTCTCCGGAAAAAGATCGCTTATTATCAGTCTGTCGGGAAAATAATGAACACAATGTCGCATCGCCAATCGTGTCGCTGAATTAAAAAGCAATTTATTATAATTTTGCCGCAACACAATTCATTTTTTCGGCGGCGATGCGATTTTTTATGCAACAGAGTGCTCATGATTTTCCCGACAGACTAATTTAAATTTTTTTGCATTGGAATCGCTCATCATCGCTTTGCGACGGCTACCAGCGGCTGGAGATTCGCTGAGCGACTGCAACGAAGCGAGATATTTTGCTGCAAAAAATCCACATTATTTTCCAGACAGTCTGATGAGCATAGGCCCAATTTAAACTTCTGCAGAAGCAAATAGAAAAGAACGCATTCTTCCTCTACTAATCAGCCGGATACATATAGCAAACCAAGAAATTTTCCATGAAACTACTGCTCTTTGAATTCCAAGAAATTTCAAAGACATAGTAAGGCCATATTACAATGCAACATTAATTATTTACTGCCGAAAATAACATGAAATATCATGTTATATAAAATGCAAGAGAGTAAAAAGTATAAAATTTTAACAATTTTTTATAAAAGCATTGGATTTTGGAGACAAACAGACGTCCACAATTAATACATGTTTGCGTACTTGGAACCCGGCTGAGTAAAGCGATAATTGACGAGTGGAAATTGACTAGTGCAGAGTTTAACTATTTATCTAATGTAAATAATATTATAGATAGCCAGAGATTTACATGGGAAATGCCGACGTGAAACGAAGGCCAAATTTGCAGCTCCGGCTCCGGCTCTTGGCTCCGTGCAAAATTTAAAAAGGCTTCCGGCTCCGAATCCCGGCTCCTATCGGTCTGTCGGGAAAAAAACGGCGGATCGTCGCGCCTCCGAATCGCCCATCATCGCTTTGCGACTGCAAGCCGCGACTTGGGATTTGATGCGCGATAGCGGCGAGGCGAGACATTTTGCTGCGGCGATCCGCCGTTATTTTTCCGACAGACTGATATGCAAAATGTTTTTTTAGAAATATTTTTCCAAAAATAAAAGTTATTAGTGCCAGAGATCATACAGCCAACGTTTTGGCAGTCAAGTCACAACCTCCGCAGTGTTTTTCAAGCAATTTGGTTTAACAAGATCACGAAATTTTTACTTTTCTGACCGCTGGGAAGCCTGGCTCCGACTTTGGGCTCGGGAGCCGGAGCCGACCCCAAAATTTCCGGCTCCGGAGCCGTGGCAATCTCTGACTACGACTTAACGTGGAGCCATTCCCATCCTAAGTAATTCTGCTCACCCAGACCAAGACCAGCAACTCCGATCCAGTCTAGACAACCCCGCCTGAATTTCAAAATCGTCCCGACGCGAAGACTTCACGAGCACTTTACATTTCGCAGCATTAGGAAAAACAGGGAAAGAAGGCAGATTGGTCATAGTTGGAGAACAGAGGAGAGGTCCGGTTAAGGGCCGTTTACTACACTTTTTAATTTTAATACAACTTTTCCCCGAATTTGGATCTATTTTTTGTTCTGCAACAAGGAATCGCGACCGCTGCAAAAAGCCCGCGCATTGTCTGCTCGGCCACTATCAGTCTGCCGAGAAAATAATGTGGATTCGTCGGGCCTTGAACTCGCCTATCATTGGGTTGCGACGGCTTTCTGGGGCTTTGATCGCGCGACTGCGACATAGCGAGACATCTTCCTCTGACAAATCCACATTGTTTTCCCGACAGACTGGTATTGTATACCTATACATAAAAAAAGTGTTTGATTAAAGATCAAACCCATGCTATCAGCCACCTTCTACCGGAATCATATCCCAAAAAAGCATCACGCTAAGTTCAACAAGACTAATGAGCTACCCTATGGTCAAATTAAACTTTTTAAAACCGCAGCCGCCTCCTTTTGAATGCCGGTTCTTTAAACTCTCGACTCCCTAAAAGCCTTGTTAATTTACGATCCTACAATGTAAAAAACGGAGAAATCGAACGACCAACGCATGTATCGTATGCGATGGCTGGTGGTCTCATTTATCATAATACAGATAGTGGCATGCGCTGATGATAAATCACTTTTTTGAAGTGAAGTTATTATAGTACCTTTCCAATCTTACTGTTTTAGAGTTTTGCTTTCCCTGAATAGATATCAAAAGTATGACACTTGTATTTTGGCGCTACGACTTTTCGAGTCAACGATTTTGGCTAGATGATATTTTGGGGTGCCTCAATTTGTCATTGTATGCATGGCGAAAGCTTGGACAAAACATCTATTTGATAGAAATAATTAGATTGATCAGGTCCTAAGATGGTTTATCACTATTTCGAGGTATTTTGCATGTATTACTGCAATAATACCCAAACAAAACTTACTTATCTTCGTTTTTTGGAGGAAGTTTTGGTCTTCTCCATGCAAAAATAACTCAGGATTTAGAAAACTAGGCTTAGAAATAGCTAAAATTGGAGAAAGTTTTTATATTGTATTAGGCGTAGAAGTATGATCGTGCCGTTTTTCCGGCCCATAATTCCAATCAAAACAAAAAATTTTTACACTAAACCTTATCCGATTTTATATTCTATTATTAATTCAGAGGGGTTTGCACAATGTGGCCAACTTTCGAATCCATCAAAGAAAATTTTTGGCTTTTTTGAAGCCATCTTACTATCAACCCAATTTTCGGCATTGTTGTATTCAACGAAGCGCTGCTGCCACAGGTCGCATTCAATCGGTCGAAACCAGTGATAATCTGAAAGTGCTGCGTCCGGAGAGTGTCGCGGGTGGGGTAAAACGTCCGAACTCGGCGGTTTTAGGATGCCCTTGACCAGTTTTTCAACATGGGGTTTGGCGTCATCATGCAGCAAAATAAAAATTGGTCATACCGACCGCTTTTATCATATCTCTTGGTGGATTTGCATCAAGTCTTGTTGACAACGGATGCCAGTAACCGTTTTGTCGGGTTTCAAGACCTCATAGAAAAGAAGATCTTGTTTTTGCCATAATATACAGAGCAACACTTCCTTCACGGTAATGTTGAACTGTGCGGTCGCTTGTGTTTCGGGTTGTCAAAATCGATCCATTGTTCTTCTCTAGTCACTAAACAATGCAAACATGACTTTCTTTCTGTTTGTCCTTCAAAATTTTCTATGTTATCCATGTTGAGTTAGGTCAATCCATATGACACCCAAGTCCCTTCTCTCTGGATCTTTCCCAATTGTTCCAAACTGAGTGAAGTTCCTTTATGCAACACGTGTAACATCACAGCCAGCTTTTCTTGCGCACCGGCATCGTGTTGTTTTCAATAATCTCCATATTCAAATTTCTTATATGGGTTGGAAAATCACGGGATCTGAAACGCTGAACCCTTTTCCGACGGAATTTTTTTCACAGAGCACGACCACAGTAGGCTTCTGTAAGCATTCCATGCGTCAACGGCGCTTTTGCTCACATTACATGTGTAGAACAAAATTTCCCGCAAATGGCATTTTTCTGGGACGAAAGTTGGTCATCTTTGAAGCTTTATAAAAACCGCTATTCTAAACCTAACCACACGAAGCGTATATCGATAGACAGCGTTTTCAACGTTCTTTCAGGCGATATCAACAGATTCACCAAAACTTTAACTCTACCTGTAAAAAAGGCACAACTAAAAAAACGGCACGGTCATACTTCTACGCCTAATAAGTCTGCGCCAATTCTCCGCCGACATTCGCCGAACGTCCGTCGATCATTCAACGGCTTTTACAAGCCGTGTAGGCAGCACCTTCTAACACCTTTTTTTTGGCTCTCGGAGGGAACAAAAGCCCGGTTCTCTAGCCATATCTGATGCAACCTCTTTACTACTTGTTCATTATCAGTCTGTCGGACATGTCACGCTTGATGTATGGTGCAAAACGGGGGTTTTGTGTCAAATGCGGTCCGCGGCGAAATTTCCATGCACTGTATGAAAATACATACTAACATTGATCAGTCTGTCGGGAAAATAATATGGACTTGATAATATGGATTTGGTTTGATGGCCTTATCATTGAGGGAGAAATTTCGCTGCATGAAATTCGCATTATTTTCCCGACAGACTGATACAAACATATTTAGAGGTCTCAAGAGTCAATGTTACGCCAAAATAAACTTTCGTAGAACAAAACCCTTCTACAACAAACAATTTTTTTGGTCCATTGCACTTCGTTCTATGCAGAGCTTTGACTGCATTTACGATGACGTCAGCCTCAACTCATACACTTGCATATAACACTCGTTCTATCAGCCTAAACTCCCGACCCCATCAAATCGCCGAACGCTCTTCGAAAGCAAAAGTTTCTGTGCATGAAAAAGCCCCCAGGGTCTAAAATTAAAAACCCTCTCGGACAGGAACACCTTCTCTTCCGACTGCAGGTACGAAAAAATACAGCTGCCTTCAAGGGCGGAGATATGAAATTCATGTGAACGAAGACAACGGCTTATTACCCGGAAAAGATTACTGGTGTAGTGTTCGTTGCTTTGTTATTGCAATTGTGTGAAGGCAAGGGCTCATTGAGGAGATAAGGAGATAATTTGTTATGACCGCAATTATTAGTCTGTCGGGAAAATAATGTGGATTTGTCGCAGAAAAATGTCTTGCTTCGTCGCAGTCGCTCGCCAAATCTCTAATACGCGGCTAGCCGTCGCAAAGCGATGATGGGTAATTCCAAGGCGCGAAGAATCCACATTACTCTGTCGGGAAAATAATGAGCACTCTGTCGCATCGAAAATCGCATCGCCGCCGAGATAGTAAGTCGTGTCGCGGGGAAATCAAATTGCTCTAGCGACGCAATCGGCGTCGTCGCAAAGCAAAGACGGGCTATTCCAAGGCATTAACCATAAAATAGCAAATCAAAAAAAACAAAAACGAAATCAAAATCGATTGTTCTGGAAAGCGGAGGACCTCCTCTGCGTTTGAATTTGATTCGAAAGGGCAATTTTTTATCGCTTTTTCCAAATCGGGAAAAGTTATCAGTAATTATGGCTGTTCCTCCATCTGATAACCCTCACAAAAATTTCGATAAATCGAGTCAATTCTTTGTGAATTACGCTGAATTTTAGTATACGGTGGGTAAACATGTTACTCATTGGATGAATTTGGAAAAACAAACTCAAAGAACGCAGCGAAAGTCAGCAAAACAAGATTTTCTGGAGCAGTTTCAACGTGAATGGTCAATTTTGCAAAAGAACGGAGACAAAAGAGAGGATTTGAACTGTTGTCTCAAAGAGTTCAAGGCTTGAGAGCTCAGGGAAAATCCCAGTTCAACTTGATCTGGGTTTGTGATCAAGCTGATTTATTAGGTCCACAACAAAGGTTTAGCGTCCCTCTGACATCCACGAGTGAGCCTGGCTAGTATCGTGCTATCCCTCCATGTAGTGGGGTAGAAGAAATCAACCATTAACATTAACTCTCACTAGGGAAGTGTACAAACGAACCCTCACCAAATGGCAAGTGTTATACACCATTGGAAAGCCCTTGAAAAATGGTGAAAGGTACCATTTTCATTTTTTGCAGAATGCCTCAGGGCAAAAAATTATAAACGGTTGATTTGTCCCTTAAGTAGTTACAATATCTGCTGTGGGGCAAAATAGATCTTATTTCAAAACGCTAAATGGCAAATATTGCCACTAGGTTGGCCTAAGAATCATTATGAAGTTTGGCGCTTGCCAGTAAAACCATTTTACATATGATATTTACTGGTTTTAAACACCCATAACATGAAAAAACACTTTTCACTTTTTTTAATTTTGAAAAACATGTAAGTTTGATGGTTTTAACCGTAATCGACCGTTTTCTAGAAAAATTAAAGCCTTTGTAAAAGTTTAACTCAAATATTATCCTAACTGTAAGAACGCAAAATGTTTTTGCCCAAGCTGGGAATCGAACCTAGCTTGATTTGGCTTACCAGCCTGCTTAGCAACCACTGCACTATTGAAGCAACCCTTTTCGAGGATTTTTATCCGCTCAAGAGAAAGAAAGATTTTTGTTGCGAAATGACCTAAAAATGGTGAAATTTACAGTATGTCGTCGCGGAAAGGCATTCTGCAAAAAATGAAAATGGTATCTTTCACCATTTTTCAAGGGCTTTCCAATGGTGTATATCACTTGCCATTTGGTGAGGGTTCGTTTGTACACTTCCCTAGTCAGCTCTTCTTGAAATTTTGCACACACACCACACATGGCCCACCTATCAATTCCTGAAAGTTTTAGCTTGTGCTTTCCAAGGCATTCAACGATTTTTACGGCCGAGAGAGTACGCAGGATGCGGAGAGCGGTCGGAAAAAAAGCGATCTTTGGCCATAACTTTGTTAGTTTCGTGCGGAAAAAAATGATTTTTTGTGTAGACATTTCCCTCTATGGTAGAAATATTCATAAAAATTTTCATGTCAAAATTTTCAAAGAAAAGGGACAAGTTTCAAAAACTTCTAGGACTAAAACTCTCGGTTGTCTCTGCAAAGCGCGGGCAAGTAACCAGAGATTGCCACGGCTCCGGAGCCGGCTCTTGGCTCCGGCTCTGAGCGGCTCCGGCTCCGAGCCGGGAGCCAGCGCCGGAGCCGGAAATTTTGGGGTCGGCTCCGGCTCCCGAGCCCAAAGTCGGAGCCAGGATTCCCAGCGGTCAGAAAAGTAAAAATTTCGTGATTTTGTTAAACCAAATTGCTTGAAAAACACTGGGGAGGATGTGACTTGACTGCGAAAACGTTGACTGTGTGATCTCTGGCACTAATAACTTTAATTTTTGGAAAAATATTTTTAAAAGGAATTTTTGCATAGGAGCTGGGATTCGGAGCCGGAGGGCTTTTTAAATTTTGCATGGAGCCGAGAGCCGTAGCCGGAGCTGCAAATTTGGCCTCAGCTCCAGCTCTGGGAGCTAAGAGCCGGAGCCGAAATTTTGACCGTGGCAATCTCTGCTAGTAACCTCGCTTGAGTCTTATGAAAAATTTGATCGAACTTTGTGCCAATATTCAGGGAAATATGAGGCCCAAACGTCGAGCATTTTCTCTCTGACCGTCTTCTCAATTTTCATAGTGTCTCGTCCGCAAAAACCGTTGAATACCTTGGCGGAGATTGTAAAACAAAAGCTAGATTTTTTAGTACTTGATGTGTGGCCTAGACAGAGCTTACGGTTTAAATTTCAAAGAAATCCGACGGTTGGAGGTCGAGAAATTGCAGTTTTCCCAAGAAATTTTAAAATACGGTCTTTCATTTTTTAACTTCTTATTTACTGCATTGCCTGTAAAGCTTATTTCATCAAAGCTTCCACTGTGAAATCATCTCTAATGGGGCGAGTTAAACACAAAGAAAACATGACGCACTACAAGTGTTGTAGCAAGTCAGGTAACGCAAGTTCTGGTTTATATTTTTGTTCCAACTCTCAGACTTTGTTCTTAATTTATATTTTTTGGTTTTTCAACTGGTTTTGAACAGTTAACAGACCAACAACACTGAGAAAATGTGTGATTATGTGCCATGGAAGAATATTGAGCAAATCGATGACGTCACTTTCAGGTGAGCTGAAAATTGCGAGAAATTGAGGGAAATGCGGGGAATTGGTTTTTGTTCATTGTTTTTGAAAAAAAAGAAGATTTAAAAAATTGATTTGTTGAGGGAGAAATCGAATTTTAACAAAATTTTTTTGTTTGCAATATGTAAAGTATTCAAGTATTCAGATTTTTTTTTCAAATTTTGTAAAAAGCTCTTTTAATAGTCGACTATCAAGTTCTGAAAATATTAGCTTCCAATTCGCAAGCATCGCTGAGATATTCAACGATCTTTGCAGACGAGAGACTATGGAAAAGAGGAGAGACGGTTAGAGAAAAAACGGCTTTTTCCGGTTTCTAAGCGAGTTTTTGACGGAAAAAAAATATTTTTTTTGTGGAATTATTATACTGAATATTTTATCATTTCTTTTTGATTTTGAAAATGAAAAAAAAATTATAATTCTGAAAAGTAAAAAAATTTTTTTTTGAAAAATAATTTTTTAGAGCCCCAGCCATCTCCACAACCGAAGATCCCCGAGTGTACCTCGGGAATTTGCTTGCAAAAGCCGCATTTTGCGCCCATCGAACCGTAGACAGTGGATTTGACCTGAACAGTTTGCATAGTTACTTTGTGAAAAGCTGTAAGCAAAAATTTTCAAATTTTTCTTTAAAAAAAATTTAAAAACAATTTTTCTTTTCAGTAAACACAAAATTGCCGTTGAAAATCATCGTCGAGAAGACCCGAAGCGGAAGGAATTTCTCATTCAGATCGGCTCAAATCATCCAAAAAGACAAGAATTTCCAGAACGAAGAGGTCCATTATCACTTTGAATTCACTTTTAAAAAGGTAAGTAAAGATTTAGCAGTGCTACTAGGGCCAAAAAATTTTTTTTTCTAAATCTTTGCACTATGCATTTTGCAAAATTTTTTTTCGCACTGTGCGGCTTGCAAAAAAAATGTTTTTAATTTTTTTTAACTAAAACGTATCGCAAAGTCAAAAAAAATTTTTTAAAGAATACATATTTGAAAAATTTAGCTTTTATTTTACACAAATTTTCAAGATTTTTCGAAAATTATGCAAAAAATCGAAAATTTTTTATAAAAAAATCAAAATTTTAAAATTTTATAAAAGCTTCCAAAAAGATCCATTTTCATTTTTTTCAGTTCTAAAAAATCATTTTTAGCGTACGGGCAAAGGCTCGTTGAAGTTTACGCAAGTCAATGTTCCAGTTGTTCCACAGCCGGAACGGCTTCGAACCTTCGAGCAGGTCCTGGAAGACCTACCCCGTCTCCGTTTCAACAAAATCCAAGCCGTAGTTCCCGTGTTTCCGGAGATTTTCAAGAACTATGAGATCATTCCGTGCAATGGCGTCGAATTCGTGGCGGGGCCACAAAGAGAGGCGTTGAAACAACACTTCTGGTTCCGGTTCAAAGGAAATCTCGGTGAGTGAAATAATTCACGATATATGTATAATAGAAAATGAATGTAATTTAATAGTAGCAAATAACATTTTCAGCCGAACGATCCAGCTTTATTGATCAACTCATTTTGGCGTATATCTCGGACATTGGACTGACTTACTCCAAAACCAATGGAAATATTGATACCTATCGGCTTCTCGGGTCTTTGGATCATTCCGGATGGATTCATGATATCAAGTAAGCAAGTTTACTGCCGGAAAAACATTCGCTGCTGATCAAATTAACGCATTTTTAGCCAAATGTGGTCATTTTTCACTATCAGATGCGGAATTGTCATCATTTTTTTTAGGTTCAACACCAACGACTTCTTGCTGTGGGAAGGCGAATGCACCATGCATTCGCTTGGCCGTGCCGTCACTCACAATCGAATCTGGACCCGAGGCGGCGAACTTATCGCCAGTTTCACGCAAGAGGCCATCACCGAAGGAGTGAAGCCGTTGAATATCAAAGAAGCCGCGAGAGCTGCGGAAAATCGACCAAAGATTTGAGAGCGTCAAATAATATCTTGTTAATTGAATTTTATTACAAAGAAATTAAAACTCTTCACAATGTGGTTTAAGGATTACTTTGTAATAAGTTATCGGATATTCTCGACTCGTCATGCCGCAAAATTTCTTCTGTTCGCGTTATACCAAGATAAATGCCGCGGCTATCCAAATAGCAATGGAGTTGGAGACAGCTGAAAGTGGAGAGAATATCAGTCTGTTGGGAAAATAACGTGGATTTTTTGCAGCAAAGTCTCTCGCCTCGTCGCGCACCAAATCTCCAGCTAGACTTTGTAAAGCGAAAATGAGCGATTACAAGGTGCGACGGATCCATATTATTTTCCCGACGGACTGATAAAAACAGAGAAATTTAATCATGTTTGACTGAAAATCAAAGCCCGGGGCTCGCCCGCAAAAATTTGTTGGCCAGGCCCGGGGAATTTTGGAAAGCTTGGAGCCATGTCTAGGAAAGGGCGGCCCGTTTCAAACTTTCCACCGGTCAGATACACTGGTAACTATACCTTCACTTGCACAGGTCCTGGGATCTTCCGCTGAGAAGGGCAGCCCCCATATAACGTCGAGAGACGCTGGGAGAAGGGGGAGGTGGTCACCAGTCCAAAGTAAGAAGAGTATAGGGTTTATTGAGACGAAATGAAGCACACACACACACGACCGGAATCCGGAGACAGAATTAAAAGATATTGGGATTGTCTGTTGTATTTATACTTCCTAGTTTATTCAAATTTCCTGGGAACTTGGGTGAGAACCAACATGGGAAAGTAAGACCGACATACTCGTTTCGCACAAAAAACTATTTGCTGTCACGTTGAATGAAAATTTTTTGGACTCCCCATCTACTAAAAAGTTATCCCCAGTCAATTTTCAATGCTTACCTTGCCCAATTCCACTAGTTGGAGGCGACGTTGTAGCAGGGGTAGTGGAAGTTGAAGTTGTGATGATTGGAGTTGTTGAGGGTGTTGTTGACGTTGTAGTAGTTGGAAGAGGAGTCGTAGAGGTGACGGAGGTTGTTGTAGTTTGAGGTGGAGTAGTAGTAGTGGACGTAGTAGCAGCAGTAGTAGTTGTAGCAGATGTGGTAGTAGTAGTTTCCGGAGCAGTAGTAGTAGTTGGAGAAGGACTGGAAGTAGTAGGACTGCCAGTAGTACTGTCAGCGGCTGTTGTTGATCTCGATGGCACCGTTGAAATAGTACTTGGCGCTGACAACGACGTAATTACATTTTCTCCCCGTGTTGAAGTTGAAATACCTTTCGGAAAATGAGTCGTCGATGTCTCACCTTTCCTTGAACGCCTTCTGGTGATCGTTGGAGCCGGCTTCGGAGCCGCAAAATCCGCTTTATTTAAAAGCGATGGACGACTAGGTGAAGAGCGCTTTGATGCAAGCGACCAATGCTACAAAAATAATAAAAATAAGTATTCAGAAGTCCTATTTAACTCACCGGAACTTTTGCCGGGAACGCTTGAAGAGAAAGGAAGGTCTGAAAAAATAAGGAAATACATTATTCCTCTCTGCATGCAGAAGATCCCAAAAATCATCAAATTACTTACAATAACACCAAGAATTTGCAACGCAATCATCTTTGGCCACTGTTCGTTGTGAACTCTGTTATAAAACAAATTTGCGAAAACTCAGCCGCGTTCAGAATCGGAAATTGGAGCTTTTGAGGGCTAAGGTCGTGACATTTCCTCTGCGATTGTACCCGATCAAGGCAAGAATGGGAATGATGAAATCGCTGTCTCCAAATTCCCAAGACCACAAAAGAGTTCCATTAGTTTTGATTTCAATTAATTCCACTGAATGCAATTTAAAATATTAATCAGCAGCAGTCTGTTCTGTGTAGACATGACGACGGAGGTCCTGCCTGGGCCCAGAACGGGGCTCACGCTGAAGTCAAGTTCAATAATATTGTTCATGTACAAACTGAATGTGGATTTTGATGTGTTCAAACTGAAAACCATCCGACCCTAACCGACACTCACAAATGATTGTTTAATCAGCCTTTGCAAAGTTTCAATGCCTGTTTTTTTAAACAAAAAACACGCTTTCGTGGGGACGTTCCGATCGAAACTCTTCTGAGTAAACAATATTTTGCTACTATTTAAACCAAGATAATTGTCAAATGTCATCAGTGTCTTAAACGACTCTAAAATGAAGTCTCTTGTGTTTCTGGCCGTTCTAGGCTTGGCGTTGGCCCAGGATACCGGCAAAACCACGAGATATTGGGACTGTTGTAAGCCATCGTGCGCATGGCCCGGAAAGGCCACACTGAAGCAGGGCCCCAGCAAGACCTGCGACGTCAATGACAAGCCCTTGAGCGACGGAGGCAACACCCAATCCGGTTGCAACGGCGGCGGCTCGTACGCTTGCTCCACCGACCAGCCTTGGGCCGTGGATGACAACCTGAGTTACGGATTCGCGGCCGTGAAACTGGCCGGAAAGCAGGAGTCGGATTGGTGCTGCTCTTGCTACGAACTGACCTTCACTGACGGTCCCGTTGCGGGCAAGAAGTTCGTCGTCCAAGCCACCAACACCGGCGGTGATTTGGGCTCCAACCACTTCGATCTGATGATCCCCGGAGGCGGTGTCGGCATCTTCAACGGCTGCCAAGCCCAATGGAAGTCACCAGCTGACGGATGGGGACAGCGTTACGGAGGAGTCAGCTCCAAAGCCGATTGCGCTACCCTCCCTAAGGCTTTGCAACCCGGCTGCAACTGGCGCTTCGACTGGTTCAAGAACGCCGACAACCCAGGCATGACCTTCAAGAGAGTCAAGTGCCCAGCCGCCATCACCGCCAAGAGTGGCTGCATCCGTTCCGACGATGCTTAAAGAACATTTAAATGATTGCAATACTGGTGTAGTTGCATTGTACTTTGCATATTTATGGCGCATATAAATTATTTGATTGGCAAAAAGCATGTATTATATGTAATGTCTGGCGTCGTTAAAGATAAAAGCTATACGGCTTCCAGACTTATGATGATTTGGAAGTTTTTGACGGAACTTGGTGTATATTAAGGGCAGTGTCCAATAAGATACGTGGAATGTGTTCAAAAAACTAGCACACGATTTGTGGATAGGAAGCTTAGGGTCAATGAAAAAGGTAGACTCCTCAATTAAAGTTTTTTGGTTGTCCCCGCAAAAAAGATTCAACAAAAATGACGCTCTGTTTGTCTCAGCGACGTAACAAACGTTCTTCGTGCTCAAGGACACGTACAAGATTCTCAAAAGACGGAATTCCCAGCTTGGAAGATTATGGTCATTGGAAAATGCGACTTCAACTGACAATAAGTTTTATCAGATGTCCCCAAAAAATTTGATAACAAAAAGGTTTTTCTGTGTCTCACCGACGTAACAAACGATCGTCATTTGCCTTTCTCGTAACCCCTTTTGTGACGAAAAATTTGAGCCCTGCCCTTTTCAAAACCGATCCCCCAGCCATGCCTGTTTGTGCACGTTCGAAGTTTAGTGTCCCTGTTGTTGTTTTAAAACGCAAATTTGTTGGATATCATACGACTTGTGACTGTATTCTGAACCAGTGAATGTGTACTCAGCTGGTTCCGCGTCAGCATAGGTCCAACCCGATCGACTCTCGCCGGTGTTTGGGCAACGGAAGCTGCACGAAAAATCGAAAAGGCAAGAGAAAGGAAAGTCTTTATGTTGAATTTCCGTCACAATTCGGATCTTTTTTGGTCCATTTCTAGACCAACTTGGCGAAACCCATGTCTACGAAGGCTTAACGCTTCCGAGCCTGAATCTTTTGAGACTTGGTTTGACCGGTAAAATCTAAGGTAAAAATTTAAAACAGTTTGTTACGTCGCTGAGACACAAAAAAATTATTTTTGTTGTCGATTTCTTTTGCGGGGACAACCGGAAACTTTGATTGAGGTCCTTTTTCATTGATCCTAATCTGCCTAACTACAAATTGCGTGCTAGTATATATATGTTCAAAATCTTCCACATGTTCCATAAGACACTACCGTTAATATACACCAACTTCCGTCAAAAGCTGCCGAAGATTGGGAGTCTTGAAGCTCTTATATGACTTTGAGGAAACATTAGACGACATTACATACAAGCTTCTTGCCAATCAAATAATTTATTTGCGCAATAAATATGCAAAATGCAATGCTACTACCACAGTCTCATAATAATTTAAAAGTCCTCTAAGCATCGTCGGAACGGATGCAGCCACTCTTGGCGGTGATCTCGGCTGGGCACTTGACTCTCTTGAAGGTCATGCCTGGGTTGTCGGCGTTCTTGAACCAGTCGAAGCGCCAGTTGCAACCAGGCTGCAACGCGGTAGGGAGTGTGGCACAATCGGCTTTGGAGCTGACTCCACCATAACGCTGTCCCCATCCTTCAGCTGGCGACTTCCATTGAGCTTGGCAGCCGTTGAAGATGCCGACACCGCCTCCGGGGATCATCAGATCGAAGTGGTTGGAGCCCAAATCACCGCCGGTGTTGGTGGCTTGGACCACGAATTTCTTGCCCGCAACGGGACCGTCAGTGAAGGTCAGTTCGTAGCAAGAGCAGCACCAATCCGACTCCTGCTTTCCGGCCAATTTCACGGCCGCGAATCCGTAACTCAGGTTGTCATCCACGGCCCAAGGCTGGTCGGTGGAGCAAGCGTACGCGCTACCGCCGTTGCAACCGGACTGGATGTTGCCGTCGCTCAACGGCTTGTCGTTAACGTCGCAGGTCTTGCTGGGGCCCTGCTTGAGTTGGGCCTTTCCGGGCCATGAGCACGAGGGCTTACAACAGTCCCAATATCTCGTGGTTTTGCCGGTATCCTGAGCCACCGCCAAGCCGAGAACGGCCAGAAACACAAGAGACTTCATTTTAGAGCCGTTTAAGACACTGATGACATTTGAAAATTACCGGAGGTTAAATAGTAGCAAAATGTTGTTTATTCAGAAGAGTTTCGCTCGGAACGTCCCCACAAAAGCGTGTTACGGCTATTTGAACAGGAACAGAAACTTGACCTTTTGCTAAAGCTGACTAAACTATTATTTTTGAATTTCCCGGTTAGTGTCGAGTTCAAAAACGTTGAATTTTCCGAAGAACACAAGCGTCTCATAAACAATTTTTGGAAATTTTTAAAATCGAAAATTTTTTGGTCGATAATAGCAAAACTTTGTCACGACTTGCATATTCCCATGGAATGACCGACAGATTGGCATAAAAGGAAGAGAAATCGGCCAATCAGGAAGTATTATTTTCGTGTTTTGTCTTTTCCCGCCTATGCGGTTGTGTTGTGTGCAATAAACCGTCGTATTTTCTGTTGTCTATTATTGATTTGTCTATGGTCAACTCTTGCGTTCGTGGAGTCAATTATTGTGAGTTCATTAGTGAAGTTGTTTCCTGAGTATAGTTAGTCGTTGTCATAGTTTGTGTAGTCGTTTGTCATGGTTTGTATGTATAGATTGTTCGGGCTTGGGATCAGAAATAGCAACTAGAACAGGGACCCTTTATAGAAGTGCTCTCACTTTTTTTTTGATTTGAAAAAATCAACGTTTCTTGCCAATGAGAACAACATTTGCATCAAAAATCATTGTTTTCCGAGCGAAATTCTATGAAAGATAGTCAAAAAGCTTTTTTCTCTGAACGTCTCCTCAATTTCCGTGCTCGGTCTCACTCTTGCATGGTTTCGTTGAATATCTTGATTCAATTTATAAATTGCTGTCTAAAATTTCCAGAAATTGATTGATGGCACAGATAGGCCGAGTATGAAAAATTTGGAGAAAATCTGAGAGTCGCGCCAAGAGCGGTTTCTCTCAAACCTAAAATCATAAATTCATTGTTTTTCTTCAAAAAAATGGTTATATAAAATTTTATTCAAAACTGTGACACCGAAAAGAGCCTTAGTTTTCTTGTAATTTCTATATTTTGCCATAGGAGCGCAAATTTTTCCCGTTCCGGGCAAAAGATTACATTCAAAATGACAGCTATCCTAGCAACGGCGCGAGGAGTGGACATTGCCCACTAAAATCGTCCCAAACCCGAAGAAGTTGTTTTCACCGCCTCCGGAATCCGCTGAAGGCGAGGTAAGCCAAGTGTAATGTTTTAGCTGGTGCTCGAAGTGGAACAATCAGATTTTTTTTAAATTTTTTGCAGACTTTTCGCATATGTCACATATCAATTTCTGAAAGTCTTGGCTCGCGCTTCGCAGGAAGAGCCGAGATATTCGACAACCTTTTAAAGCGAGAGAGTGTGCAGAATGCGGAGAGCGGTGAGAAAAGAAAAGGCTTTTTGGCTATATAAAAGTGAAGAAATAGAATGGCACCGATCGTTTCGAAAAAATAGAATGGAAAAATGCGGCCGACATGAGAAAAAAAGCTTGAGAAAGCAAATTCAGCGTCTTTTTCAAAATCCCACAATCGGTCTTATTTCTTTGCTCTTATATCTCCGCCAACTTTAGGATAAAAAATCTCGGTTGTTTCTGCAAAGCGCGAGTAAACAATTTCACATATGCTTTATGAAGAACTAGTCCAAATTTGTGCCAAGTTTCAATGAAATCTGAGCGACTTTGACAAAACAAAACATTGCATAACTCTTGCCAATCAAATAATTTATTTGCGCAATAAATATGCAAAATGCAATCCAACTACAACAGTCTCATAATAATTTAAAAGTCCTCTAAGCATCGTCGGAGCGGATGCAGCCACTCTTGGCGGTGATCTCGGCTGGGCACTTGACTCTCTTGAAGGTCATGCCTGGGTTGTCGGCGTTCTTGAACCAGTCGAAGCGCCAGTTGCAACCAGGCTGCAACGCGGTTGGGAGTGTGGCACAATCGGCTTTGGAGCTGATTCCTCCGTAACGCTGTCCCCATCCTTCAGCTGGCGACTTCCATTGGGCTTGGCAGCCGTTGAAGATGCCGACACCGCCTCCGGGGATCATCAGATCGAAGTGGTTGGAGCCCAAATCACCGCCGGTGTTGGTGGCTTGGACCACGAATTTCTTGCCCGCAACGGGACCGTCAGTGAAGGTCAGTTCGTAGCAAGAGCAGCACCAATCCGACTCCTGCTTTCCGGCCAATTTCACGGCCGCGAATCCGTAACTCAGGTTGTCATCCACGGCCCAAGGCTGGTCGGTGGAGCAAGCGTACGCGCTACCGCCGTTGCAACCGGATTGGATGTTGCCGTCGCTCAAGGGCTTGTCGTTAACGTCGCAGGTCTTGCTGGGGCCCTGCTTGAGTTGGGCCTTTCCGGGCCATGAGCACGAGGGCTTACAACAGTCCCAATATCTCGTGGTTTTGCCGGTATCCTGAGCAACCGCCAAGCCGAGAACGGCCAGAAACACGAGAGACTTCATTTTAGAACCGGTGAAGACACTGATGACATTTGAAAATTACCGGGGGTTAAATAGTAGCAAGATTTTGTTTATTCAGAAGAGTTTCGCTCGGAATGTCCCCATGAAAGCGTGTTACGGTTATTTGAACAGGAACAGAAAAGTCAGCCTTTTACTAAGGCTGACTAAACAATAAGTTTTGAATTTTCTGGTTTAGTGTCGAGTTCAAACACGTTGAATTTTCCGATTTTTGACGCTGAAACAACACATGTGTCTCATAAACAATTTTTGAAGTTCGCTCCAACCGAAAATTTTTTGATCAAAAATAGCAAAAAAATTAAAATTTTTTTTTGATTTGAAAAAATCAACGTTTCTTGCTAATGAGAACCACACTTGTATTAAAAATCATTTTTTTCCGAGCAAAATTCTATGAAAAGTAGTAAAAAAAGCTCTTTTTCTCTGTCTGTCTCTTCATTTTTTGTGCTCTCTCTCTCACAAAAAATGGTTACATAAAATTTTATTTTAAACTGTGACACTGCAAAAACAATTAATTTTCTTGCAATATCGATATTTTGCCAAAGGAGCGCAGATTTTTCCCTTTCCGGGCAAAAGATTATACTCACCATGACAGGTATCCTAGCAACGGCGCGAGAAGTGGACATTGCCCAGTAAAATAAAGAAAGCTCGACATTTCGGGCTCCCACTTGCTTAATTTGTCCTTATGGAGGACATTGAAGAGATTTCAGATACCGGAGAAGGTCATGTCACATCTCCGATTCAGAAAACCCCGCCGAAAATGGGATGGGCCGAAGCGGCGGCCGAACTCCCAAAGCCGAGAAATCCGCGGGATTTGCCGACGTTGGCAACTAAACCAGCAGCTCCGGCGGTCCCAAGCCCGAAGCAATTGTTTTCGCCGCCTCCAGAATTCGCTGAAGGCGAGGTAAGCCAAGTGTAATGTTTTAGCCGGTGCTCGAAGTGCGACGCGCTAATTTTCTTTAAATTGTGCACAGGGTTTTCGCATAGTACTCTGTTTAATTCCTGGAAGTTTTGGCTTGCGCTTTGCAGGGAGAGCCGATATATTCAACAATCTTTTAAAGCGAGAGAGTGCGCAAAATGCGGAGAGCCGTCAGAGAGAAATTTTTTTTTAATTTTGCAAACGCATTGGTTCCAATCCACAAGATGACATTTTATACGAAAAAACCTTTGTTTATTTACAGATACATTTTATACGACCAAACGTGTTTCATCGTATAAAATGGTATCCCCGTTGAATTTTGTGAGAATGGCTTTTGAAAATAATATCTCTGCCAATTCTTTGGGAAAACATAAATTTTTTCGTGGAACTTTTGTGCGAAAAATCTCGGTTGTCTCTCCAAAGCGCGAGTTAGGAATCTCGCATATATCATATGCAAAGCTTGTCTAAATTTGTGCCAAGTTTCAATAGAATCTGAGCGTCGCACTTGGGGTATTCCCCAAGAAAGAACCGCCCTTTTTTAGTCTTATTTTGTATTTTAGCGTTCTCCAGCCTTCAGTGAGCCTGCGGGAATGGGAGCCACTTCCCAATCGCCTTCCGGACTCTTGTCGCCCAGTTCCGATCTCCAACAAATGCACCATTCAAAAAGGTAAAATTTGCTGGCCGAATTTTCAAGAATGTGGCCAAAAAAAGAAAAATTGGCCGTGTGAAAAAAATATGGTCAAATGATAAAAAAATATGGCCAATTACGAAAATTTGGCTAAATTGCCAAAAAATATGACAAACTGTCAAAAAGTATAGCCAAATGAAAAAACTATGGCCAGTAATAAAAAAATGTGGCCAAAATTATTAACAAAATATGGAGGACTTCCAATTCGGTCACATTTTGTAAGACTTATTATAGCCACATCACACATGACTTGGCCAAAATTTCTTCGATTTGGCCATAATTTAGAGCTTTATCCACAGAGCTCAAATTCTCAAAAAATTTAGGTGAACCACCTAAAACAGCCTTCTACAGATTGATTTTAGTTTCGACTCCTCTTCGCTCTCCTCCCGCTCTTCAAAACGGACCACCCTGTCCGCCGAGATGTCCTCAATGATCCGCCAACGGGTGCGCCAGCAAGCCAAGTCGATTGTGGAGAGGAAACGGGGCTCCGTTCAACTGAATAAGCGGCTATTGAGGAGTCAAACTCTTCAAGGGTCGGAGAAGGAGAGCTTTCAGGACTATCAGAGTGGCGATAAATTGATCGAACAGGCTTTGAAGGTGAGGAAATTAGGCGAAACTTGGCAAAACTTTTTGGGTTTAATATGTCAAGATCATATCAAAACCGGGCTTGGATTTAGAGTAAGATTTTTTAGGAAAAATACAAGATTTTAAGATCGCACTTAGCAGAAACTGTCGAGATTTTAAGATCGGAAAATTGTTAAAAAATTTTTTTTTATTTTTTGATCCGAAAATTTTAGAATTTGATACAAGGAAGGAGTAAAAGATTTTTTCGAAAAATGAGCTTTTTCTCAGCAAAATTCGCAAAGATTTAGGCAAAAGAACTTTTTTTGTCTGGCCGACTCTCCGGATTTTGCGTGCTCTCTCGAAAAAAGGTTGTTCAATATCTCAGCTGCTGGTCAAGACTGAGTGCTCACATTTTCAGGGATTGATTTCTATGACATTTAGAGAATTTATGCAAAATTTAGAAAAAAATATAGAGGTACCCCAAAAAAAATTTTCAAAAAACACAAAAAACAAAAAATTTGCAAAATTCCAGATGGGCGCAAAATACGTGGCAAAAGGACAATCAATCTTGCCAGCGGATTATATTCAGCGTGAATTTTTCTTGCCCGAGCCGGTGACCCCACTGAAAGATGAGAAATCCTATGGAATTCCGACGATTTATAGCAAGCCACGGAGCACAGAGAAGGATAGAGTGCAGTTTGGTGCAATGCTGACCATTTATAAGCCGCTGCCAGGAATGAGCATCGAAGATCCACTGTCCAGGTGAGGATTTTCGTATTTTCATAAAGTGCGTAGACTTTTATTCGCTGCGACAAATCCACATTATTTTCCCGACAGACTGATTTTAGATTTTTTCATAAAGTGCGTAGACTTTTTTTCTTGGCGCACCGTGCGTTTTGAACTTTTTCCCACGCTTGTCGCCGATGCACAGTGCAAACGACAAAAAAGCCGTTTGCACTGTGCAAATTCTGCAGCAGCGATATTTCAATGCACAGTGCACGTCAAACTGAGATAAGCTAAAACAGTCCGGTGAATGGATTGGCAATTTGCCAAAAAAAGACGCGAAAAAACGTTTTGTCGGGGAAGAAATGGGGAATTTTTGGGGCGAGAGAGTACGCTTTTGCGTGTCTTTTTTCTCTCTTTCTCTGGAAATCAAGACGAAATGTAAAAAACCGATAGCGAAGAGTCTATTCCGGTCACCGGACTCCTCAGTTTGACGTGCAGTGCGAAAACAGGAAAAAAGGTGAATTGCACGGTGCAAAATGAAGGGAACCGGAAAGTAAAAAAACATTTTGGGCGATATCTCCGTGAATTTCGTTCTGAAGAAAAATGATTTTTTGTGGAAATACTATACGGTTTGTCTTCAATGGACTATGATTTTTGCGAGATCAAAATCGAAAAAAAAAACAATTTTTTTTGAAATTTTATCATCAAAAAACCTCGGTAAATCTTCAAATTCAGAGTAAAAAAAAAGCAAAAAATATCTAAAATACACTTCAGAAAGTTGTTAACAAAATTTGAGGCAATTTTCATCAAAATTCAAGAAATTTTTTTTCCTCAAAGTAAAAATTTTTTTTGCAAAAATTAAAAAAAAAAAATTTTTTTTTCATTTTTCAGGATGTACCCTCAAACCTTCAAAGCTCAGACTAGTCGCAAATTCAACCTGATCCTGCCACGGCACGGCGATCGCTTCCAATCGCCCGAGGGCGGGATTCTCGGCCTCTCCAAGGAGATCATGACACGCAAAATCCTGCGGCCAAAACGCGACGAGGACGAGGATTTTGGGCTGATCGAGTACACGAACCCGATCCCCTGGGACGATTGGGAGGCGTTCGGGCTGGCGCCCACGAAATATTATCAACTGTGTGTTGACATCAACAAGATCGAGTTCGATCATCACTGGCTGTTCGGCGAGGAGGACGTGTTGGCGCGGCGTGTGCGGCGTCTGCATTCGGATTACGTGCACATGACCGAGAACTTGGTCGAATTGTGGAGGGATGTGGTGGAGTTGCGGCGACGGCTGGAGTTTGAAATTTTGGTCGAAGAGGAGAAACGGAGGTTGAACTTGGAGTTGGAGAGCAAATTTGAGAGTATTCAAAGGCTACGCAGCGACGTGCCGAGACTGGGCGAGCTCATGGAGCGGTCATACGAGGAGTTGAAGGAATTCTGGGAGAAAACGGGAAGAAATAGCAGCCATTATAGGCTGGTCAAGCTGGATGAGGTGGGCAGGTGAGGAAAGCACTTATACATATTGTCGGCGCTAAACCCCAAATTTGCATAAGTTCGCCAATCCACTATAAAAGACACAGATCTCATCATTTTATAATCACTTTTTCCTCCTGTGTGTCCAATAAAGACTCCTTCTCTTGGTCTCTCGTCTTCCTCAACCGGTCGATCCTCAACTCCAATTCTTCTCCTGGCCTGCCAGTTTTACATATACAATTGATCGCGTCTCGACTTTTCGCGTCGCGTCGACGACAGTTCGGGCCAACATAAAATCGACCGACACGGGGCATAGTGGAGACTCAAAAAACGATGATTGGAAGTGCCTATGAGGCCTGGCAAAGCCGTTGGATGCTCGGCGGACGCTCGGCGAAGGCTCGGCGGACACTTGGCGAAGACTTGTAAAAGAGTGTTCAAAGTTCAACCCTCAGATTTGCTTTTAATTTTGACTATAAATAGAGTCTGGCTAATATATCAATTCCTGAAAATCTTAGCTCGCGCTGCGCGGGCGCAGCTGAGATATTCAACGGTCTTTGCGGCCGATAGAATTAAACTTGGAGCGGTCAGAGAAAAAAAAAACTTTTTGGCCATATCTTTGCCAGTTTCGCGCGGAAAAAAAATGATTTTTTTGTGAGAACATTGCCTTCTACGGTACAAAGAAGTATCGCAACTTTTCATGCCAAAATTCGCAAAAAAATCTTCGAATTTTTACCACGCATACGGTTAAATTTCAATTTTAAAAACAATGAATTTCAGCCCGGAATACAAAAATTTGGAGCTGCCAATGTACGAACTACGACATCAGCATGTCAAGGTGAGCTGCTGATGAAATATTGCTTGAATTGCGTTCCAAAATCTTTCAAGGTTTACTTTCCAGGACGGGCAGCCATCCCAGCCCGCAACATCTCGCCTATTGCCCCGTCAAATGTCGGTTCAAGACCAGCTGGCCAAGCAGGATCAAGAGCGACGCCAGGCCATGGAGAAGTGTCGCGTTCGCGTCGACCTCTACTTCAATAAGATCCTCGTCTGTCGCACTGAAGCCAAACTCCTGGAAAACGACTTTTCCGTCACTTTCGGCCAAGTCTACAACCTCCGAGTGCATGAGCAGCCGGATTCCGTTGAGTTGGTGGTTCAGGAAAAGTTTGGCGGCAATGCGTGGCGCACCATGGCCCAGGTTTTTGTCCCATTCGAGTGGCACGAGGACAGCCCGCAGCGCGACTTGGAGGCCATGGACTTCGCGTCCGACTGGGAGGTGGCGGGGTAGGGGAGGTGGGGCGATTTTAAAAGCGCTGATTGCAGTTTCAAAGGCAGCATTGGTTGTGGTGACCCCCCAAAGAGCCCGCATATCAATGGGAGGTTGTTTTGCAACGCCATTTGGATGGAGGATGAGAAACCGTGGAATTACGATAAGAGCGCACAAGTAAGGAGTCATCAGAAGAGCATTTGGTTTTCTAGTCTCTGTTAAGGCTGAGATGTTTGCAGGAGACAAGTTATACGACGAAACATGTTTGGGCGTATAAAATGTCTCAGCGTAAACCTTTTCTTGAGCTGATACTTGACGTTGTTTGTTTATGAAAACCTAGTTTTTTCGACTTGGAACACACTTACAGGCAACATTTTATACGATGAAACATGTTTGGGCGTATAAAATGTCTCAGCGTAAACCTTTTCTTGAGCTGATACTTGACGTTGTTTGTTTATGAAAACCTAGTTTTTTCGACTTGGAACACACTTACAGGCAACATTTTATACGATGAAACATGTTTGGTCGTATAAAATGTCTCAGCGTAAACCTTTTTTTGAGCTGATATTTGACGTTGTTTGTTTATGGAAACCTAGTGTTTTCGGCTTGGAACACACTTACAGGAGACAAGTTATACGACGAAACATGTTTGATTGTATAAAATGTCTCCGCTTACAAATTTTTGGACTGGTGCTTGATATTGCGCGTCTATCAGAAAAGCAATGTTTTTGGCTTGCAAGATCGCCAGCAGATACATTTTATACGATGAAACATGTTTGGTCGTATAAAAAGTCTCCGCGTAAAAGTTGAAAAAATTTGTTATAAACCTAGTTTCATCAAGATCTGAGAATTCAATTCCATTTTTCATTACCTAGATTCAATTTTTTCTCCAGAAAAATAACGTCTCTTCCGACGACACCTTCCACTTGATCCCCAAGGAAACCCTTCTTCAACCCAAAGACGAGAAAGACATGAAATCACAGGCCCGGTTGGACGCTCTTCAACGGCGTTTCCAGTCGCGCCGCTTCGGCGGTCAAACGTTTCAGGCCGATAGAATCGACCAAACCCGCATCGGGTTGGTCGATGATGAAGTGGAACAGACCTTTATCGCCGAGGAATTCAAGGCCGAGGACAGTGCGTTGGGTGAGATTTTAACACGCTACGAAGCGAAATTGTACTCATTATTTTCCCGACAGACTGATAAGAACTTTTTGCGCAGGCGTTGGAATGAACGAGTCGCATTTGGACGTGATCCGCGACCTCGCCCAACAATACGCCGTGAGCCTTCGCCAAAACTTGTTCGAGGCCTCACTGCACTCGAAGCACACGAGAAGTTACGAATCCCTGGTGCGGGAGGACCCGATTCCCGCGCTTTTCGACTTTTTCGGCACCCTCTTCCGACCGCCCGACATATCGCGCAAATTGAAGCCGATGCGAGGCCAACGACCGGCGGCGACGACGAAACAGGCGCGATATCGGATCGTGATCAACGTGCAGAATGCGGTGAATTTGCCGGAAAAAGTGAATGGCGAGAGCACAAATGTGTTTGTGGATGTTTGTTTTAGGGTGAGTGTTGGGGTGGTGTAGGGGCTACTTGATCTCTGTCTACGCTCTAGAGGTAATAAGCTCGGCCAAGACCCGATTATGCCCACACAAACACTTGGATTGAAACACAACTATTTAATTATCCGATACAAGAAACTAAAACCCGAAAGTAACACAAGTCGATAAATCAGAATACAGCGTAGTAAAACGTCGTCCCGTGTGAAACCTCTCACACCGTCTGCCGTTCTGTCCGTCCAAAACTCTGTTCTCCCCATTGCCACGGAATGCCAAACTCTCCTTTGGCTTCGCGGTGGGACTATTTCAACATGTAGTCAGCTCTTGGTTTCTGTGCACTTTTGCTCTTGATGTTGTCTGGATCTTCCATGGGATTGTGCCAAGCGCTTCCTCGTTATCCTGAACTGGTGTTAGGTGTATTGACGCCGTTCCCGGGTCGTACTCCTTGTAAACTTCGATTTGCAGAAAAAGCACGCACAAACCGCCCCAGTCGAAGGACGCTACGCGAACTGGCAGGAAACGCTCATTTTAGAGTTAGAAAGCGACAACGATCTCCACTTTGAGATGGCCTACATCAATGAGATGATTGAGTTCCGTCTCTACGATCGTTGCGTGAGCCCGTTGGCGCGCGACAACCGCGAAATCAACACCATTCACGAGCAATGGGAGAACAAGTGGCTCGGCGACGTCTTCATCCCGTTCTCGGCGGTCTTCACGCAAGGAAAGCTGGATGGAGCGATGAGTGTGAGAAGGCCCGCGTTTTATACGGACTACAAGTAGGTGTTGGTGGCGCGAAATCTCGGAATTTTTTTGAAGCAAAACAAAAGATTTTCGAAAAATAATTTTAGACTTCAAATTTTTTTTATAAAAGATTAAAATATTCTTTTTATAGAAAGTAAAAATATATTTTTTTCAGAAATTTCGATCGAACTTGTCAACTCAAAGTTTTGGTCACAATAGACCCGCCATTGCTGCCGCCAAAATTGGTCTTCAACAATTTCTTCTCGACAACTGTGGCATCCGAGGTAATTCGAAAGCAATGAAACCTACAACAAACTTTTTCACAACTAGAACCTCTCTGTTTTTTCGATGCACAGTGCAAACGGCTTTTTTGGGGTTTGCTCGCACCGCCTTTTCTGCATAGTTCAAGCGCCAAAAATCAGTTCGGCGACTTTCCTGAAGGACCGCTTCACGGCAACCCGAAGTGTTTCCTGGCTCCTTTCGACACTTCGCCCATTTTGTATCGGTTGAAATCAAACAAAATGTCACAAAAGAATTTTTCGTGGGATTTTCCGACCGAAAATTATTTTTCTCGGAATTATTTTATTTCTTCTGTCAATTTTGACACTTCGTTTGGACGAAACTCAAAATTGGGCGAGAAACATTTTTCTTCTATCAGTCTGTCGGGAAAATAACGGCGGATCGTCGCGCCTCGGAATCGCCCATCATCGCTTTGCGACTGCAAGCCGCGGTTGGGGATTTGGTGCGCGATAGCGGCGAGGCGAGACATTTTGCTGCGACGATCCGCCGTTATTTTTCCGACAGACCGATATTTCGGGTTGCCGTGCGCTTGTATAACGAATAATTTTCTTTGACCTTTGCAATTCATTATACAGAGGTTTGACTACATTTCCAACACTTACGACTGTCGCATTTTACTTCAAAAAAAATTTTTTTTAGTTTCTCTCCGACGTCCAAAAATGGGAAGAGAAGTTGTTGGAGAGAAACCCCGACCGCTTCTACCGCGCAATCGTCAGCGATACGAACGGAAAGCCGGTGCTCATCTCGCAGTTCATTCATCCAGTTGTACCCCCGCACATTCTTCGGCATGTGGATTCGTCGAGTCCGGACGAGGCGTTGAAAGCGGTGCGATTGGCGGCTCATGTTGTTTCGTGTGTCCCATTCTTGACTCATCCCGTCATCTACGCCCATCTGTGCGATGTCTGGATGACGGTGGATCAGGTGGGTGAACAGGAGGAGAAAAATCAGTCTGTCGGGAAAATAATGAGCAATCTGTCGCAGCAAAAATCGCATCGCCGCCGAGAAAATGAATTGTGTCGCGACAAAATCAAATTGCTTTTCACTTCAGCGACGCGCTCGGCGTAACGAAATTTTGCTCATTATTTTCCCGACAGAGTGATATTACTAACATAAAGGTTTGTCTTGAAAATAATGTGGATTTGTCGCCACAAAAATTGCATCGCCGACGTCTCGTCGCAATCGCGCACCAAATCCCAAGCCGCAACTAGCCCTCGCCAAGCGATGTTGAGAGATCCCAAGGCGCGAAAAATCCACATTATTTTCCCGACAGACTGACATTATTATAGAATTTTTATAAAGTGCATGGACATTTTGTCGCGGTCCGCACCGTGCACAAAACCCCCTCATTCTGCACAGTGCATTTCACATTCTATTGGTTTTTGCACTGTGCATCGAAATATCGCTGCGGCATAATCAAGTTTCAGCCACGTCGCTGGGTGTGGAATTTGCACAGTGCAAACGGCTTTTTCGATTTTTGCACTGTTCGAAAAGAGAAAATGCGCTGTGCATTGGCGACAAGCGTGGGAAAAAGTTCAAAATGCACTGTGCGAAAAAGAAAAAATTCACAGTTTCCCACGCTTGTCGCCAATGCACAGTGCGTTTGTTCGCTGGGAATTTGCACAGTGCAAACTGCTTTTTTGAGGTTTGCACTGTGCAAAAAGAGAAAATGCACTGTGCATTGGCGACAAGCGTGGGAAAAAGTTCAAAATGCACTGTGCGAAAAGAGAAAAAAATGTTCCACGCTTGTCGCCAACGCACAGTGCATTTTTTTCTTTTTTTTTTGCACAGTGCATTTTTTCAATTTACTTTTTTTTAATATCGGTCTGTCGGGAAAATAATGGCGGATCGTCGCGCCTGGGAATCGCTCATCATCGCTCTGCGATTGCAAGCCGCGGCATGGGATTTGGTGCGCGATAGCGGCGAGGCGAGACATTTTGATGCGGCGATCCGCCGTTATTTTTCCGACAGACTGATAAAAAAGTAATTCCAGATGCTGACAATAGGCTGTGGCTCGACGGAAGAGCACGCGGTATTGCTGTGCAATTGGCTTCTGGGCATGGGTTTCCAGGCATTTCTCTTGCTGGGCACGGGCCTTCCCCAAAGCGTGAACACGGCCTTTGTTTACGTGGAGATTCCGGGATATGCGGCGATCCTGATCGACCCCAGTGATGGCAGCTATTACTTGACGACTGACACTACTTGCACGCTGAATAATATTTATGTCATCGCAACCCCGACCAATGTTTTTGGGAATCTGCAGACGGAGAAACAAGTGGTTTTGACCGATTTTAATATCAAGGTAAGGGAATGGATTTTTTGTCAAAAATGTGGACGAATATTTACTTTTGAGATTTTTAAAACTTGTTTTACTGCATTTCAGAGACTTTTAGGTGGAAAAAACGTCAAATTTTTTGGATAAAAAATTAGTTTAGGGAGGAAAACGTAAATACGGAATGCGGAAAAAAGTTCAGGTTTTGATGAAACAAGGGAAAAAAATTTTAATTAGAACATCATAATCGGATTTTTTACTATGTTTTTTGCTAAAATTTATGAGACTTTTTGAAAAAAATCCAAAAAATTTTTTTTGAATTTTGATTTTTTGGAATGAAAAAATCTCTCCTACAAATCAGGACCACAGTATTTCTGCACAAACTTAATCTTTCCGAACGAAATTCGCTGAGAAACAAGAAAAAATATATTTTTTTTGTCTGGCCGACTCTCCTCTTTTTGTGTGCTTTCTCTGGAGAAGATTTCATCATAACTCAGCTGCAGGTGAAAAATACGATCTAAAATTTTCAAGAACTAATCAGTGCCCTAGATAGAAAATGCATGCTAAGTTTGAAAAAAATAGGAACGAAAAGACTTGGAGTAGGTACCATCTTTATACATACTGCAACTAGGCCCAAAAAAATTTCGTTTTTAACAAAACGATGTCGTATTTCAGCGCCGCTCATGTTGGGAGCCCCTTTTTGCCTCTAACCGAACTCCGCCGCCCACAGTTCAGAAGGATTCGCTGGTCTACACGGAAGTGAGCGAGGACGTTGTAATGGAGCTAAGGGGCTCCTTGGAACGAGAAATTCGACTCAAATTCGATCAGAGTCGGCCTTACGGAATTCCGCAGTGGAATGTGCTCGCCTCCAGGTAAATTTTTGTTCATTTTCTTACTTATTTTCAAGCCTATATAAGGCGTTTTATCAGTTTTGAAAATTTTTACCTCAATTGTCATGGATAATATAAAAAATGGCTCTAATTTCAAAACCAGAGAAAGCTATGGATTCAAATTTTGCGCAATAATTTTAGAGCCCTTCGAGAAGTCCTAATTTACATTTCGACGAATTTGGACGAACCGCCGGAGATCAAGGACAAGTTTCGCTCGCTCGGTCTCAATTACAATGTTTGCGCCGTCGGCATTCGAAAAGGCTATCAAAACAGACAACAACTGGTCGACGATGTCATGAACACCCAAATCCACGTGAATGCCAACAGTTCCGCGCAATTTGCTTTCGCGGTTCATGTGCAACCCTTCTTCAACAAAATTGTTAGCGTTTCTGTGGCTATCGCCAGCTTAAACTTGCCGTATTAAATAGTATTTGTGTTGCAAAACGTTGATAAAATTATAAATACCCTTTTCTGACTCTCATCTCTATTTTTGACACGACAAAACTTTAAAAAATCGAGAAACCGGAGATTTTTTAGATTCTCACCACGAAAACAATGAATGCCAATGGAATATTGCAGAATGCCAAGGAAATTTTCTCCCGCGCGTTTCTGAGATCATGGATAACAAAAATTTGTCCAGCCGAGTCTGGAGTTCTTTTTAGGCAGAGGAAATAAACTGAAATTAGATATTTCACTTAATATTTAATTTTTTTAGTATGACCATCTTCAAGTACACTTGATTTCAGGGTTCCTAACCTTTATGGGCGGAAGAGACGACCGAAGACACAGATCCTCAAGATCTCCTAGAGGTAAGAGTTTATTTTTCTCTTTCTGCTTTTAGGTTCTTCACTGAAGATTTTTATATTATCCATGATGTATAATATAATTCAGATCGTCGTCGTTCTCCACCTCGACGGAGAAGTCGTTCGCCTAAAAGGCGAAGCCGTTCACCTCGGAATCGACGGGAAGACCGGCACCGGCGTCGTTCCCCAGAAGCGACGTCAAGCCGGAAAGCGCGAGACGAACGCCCGGTAAAACGCGAGCGAAGGAGTAGGACACCAGAACAAGAGGAAGAGAAGCCGAAACCAGCCCCCAAAGCACGAGAATTCGATCCTCTGACCGGTGAAGAGCGACGCCCTGAGCAGAATAATGAGCCGGTTGTGTTGCCGTCGTTCGAAGTTTCTGGGAAATTAACTGCGGACACAAACACCTTCAAAGGCGTGGTTATCAAATATAATGAACCTCCGGAGGCGGCGTTGCCTAAATTAAGGTGGATGCTCTATTGTATGAAGGTTGGTTGAGTTTTATTTTTGATTTTTCTTGCTTTTAGATACAAGAAATCGACTCTCACTTTGTAATTGCACTTCCATCTAAAATGATATTATTTTAGGGAGAAGATGTGATGAAGCCCTTCTATATGCATCGTCAATCCGCTTATTTGATCGGAAGGAACCGCAAAATAGCCGATTTTCCTGTTGATCATCCCTCTTGTTCGCAACAACACGCCGTCCTTCAATATCGAAAAATGGACTTTGAGAGGAATGGAATGCCCGGAAAAAGAACTCTCCCGTACATTATAGATCTTGGCTCATCGAATGGGACTTTTTTGAATGGCGACAAAATTGAACCTCAAAGATATTACGAGCTGAAAGAGAAGGATATCGTCAAGTTTGGGTTCTCCAGCCGCGAATATGTTGTTCTCCATGAGTTGTCGGCCGAAGGCAGGGAAGGAGCGAGAGTTGACGAAGAATTCGAAGGCGGAAGTGATGTTGAAGTGGATCTAGAAGGTGCAGAAGAGCGTTTGGCTAAGGCCGAGGAGGATTACTTTTGAATTTGTTGATAATTTTTATTCGAAATAAATTGTAAATAGATTTGAGCTCAAGTTCCAAGTTTTTGGTGTTGTTGTCCTTTACTTTTTGTGTTTTGTCCTTCTGTTTTACGTTCAATTTCCTCCAGATGACTTGTAAAACTCCGTGGGCTGAGATTGTCCTCTGGCAGAATGGAAAAGTTGTGAGTTTTGAGAAAAATTATATTGTTTTAGGTATCAAATCAAAAATCTCAAATTTTCTGATCAAAAGTTTATTTTAGCTCCATTCTTTTTTGGCGGAGGACCATTCAGTCGAAATCGGCAAGCAGTTTCTCGTTTCAAGCGCATTCCAGAATACAGGTAACGATTTATATTATACTTGACACCTTGATGTTTAGAACCTAGTATTTGTACCATAACCAAGGTGAAGAATGGATGCGAGGTGAAGAATATGTCATTCCAAGCAATCTACGTTATTACTGATTCAAATCACCGGACTGGGCATGGAAGTCACAACAAACATACACCGAAAGATCTGGCCAAAGGTGGGCATCTAAAATAAGGTTGATTTTGTCGAAAGATGATGGCGAAATTATATGAATTTATTTGAAGAAGATCTTTGAGGGCTTTTTAAAGCTTTTTCGATCTAGTTTGAGGTTGAAAGAAGTGTTGTTTTAGGTGAAAGTTGGATGCTGTTCTGGGAAACCTCTTTCAATCGGCAACTAAAAGAAGCGGCAACATTCGAAGACCTCCAGGATAAGGGACTACAGTCTATGTGCTTCTCCAAGCTCGAATTCAAGAGAAATGGAGAGCATTTTGGAATAGGCATCACGTTCGTGGAGGCCTGGGACAAAATTCGAAAAGCTTCGGCCGCCAAAATGTTCGGCTTGGAGAATGGAGAATTGTAAGATATTTAGAGTGCCATTGGGGTTGGTTAGGAGAAATTTCAGCCAAGAATTGGGAGATTTTCGAAAAAAATTCGAAAATTTTTGCTTGGTCCCCCCTTGGCATAATTTTTTTTTAAAAAATTTTCTGAAAAGCTTTATAGACCTCTCTAAGAATGGCTGTAGCTTTTGAAGAATTAATTCTACGTTTGAACATGTTTATTCTCAGAAATCGCACAGTTTCCCTCTCCCAATCCGATGCCCAGAGATTCAAACTCCCAGTTTTCCGTCCCAGCTCCTCACCCTTGCGAAATCGCGCTTTGCCAACGATTTCGGACAGAGAAGAAGTCAGAAGCAGGAAGTCGTCGATAGTCAGAGATATGGTCAACTCTTTTACTGTGAGTTTTGTTGGTTTTTTGAATGAAAAGTGGTGTAAAGCAAAATATTGGGAAAATTGAGGGGTTTTCATGGTCTCAGAGCACATTTTAAGGCCGATTGAAGGCTTATAACACAAGATTTTTCTTCAATGGGAGTATTTTTTTGTTAAATTTTAGACCAAGTACAATATAATTTTTTCGATTTTTTTCCAAAAATTTTTTCATTTTTTTAGACCCAAATGGAGAACAAAGAGAACCATTTGACCCCAACACTCGGAAACAGCTGCATAACCCCGAAAAATGACCTTATCGGACATCCACCCCGGTCCTCGGCCAGAAAATTGAGTCAACTTTATTCGGCGACCAAAAAACCGATCCTCCAACAGAGTCTGATCGAGCTGGACGAAGAGATAAAACTCCTCGATTTGGCCGTCCTGAAGATTATGCACAAACCGGGGGGCCAACACACACCCAACCTGGGTTATAAAAAGATTTCGCATCGAAGTGAGGCGTCGGAGTCAAGTCCCGACGAATTTATGCTCAAATCGGAGCTGATTAAACCAAAAATCCGCACCTTTTCGGCGGGAACGTTGCATCCGGACGTGTAGAATAATTTGTAATACCATTTTCCACCAATTTTGAAATTATGCCCTGGAGGCATTTGGAGTTTTTTTGGTAATTTTGGGGATTTTTTTGGCGAATACGGTAAATTGTTGTGGTTTTAACACGAAAAATGGTAATTTTGATGCTCAAAAATGTTAATATCAACGGGAAATCTCATTTTTTGTTTTTGCATACAGTAATATTTCGGTATATCGAAGGTCTGATATAACGAGAAACTTGAAAGTTTTGAGTTTTTGCTAAGTATTTTGTTCCTCTCCACTATTTATTTGTTACTAATTGAAACATAAATTCGATGAATTAATAAAAAATTTTTCGAAAAACCGTAAATTATGCTTTTATTTTTTGGAAAAGTGGGTAATAAATAGGGGCAAAAGTAGGAAAAATTAAAAATCAAGGACTTGTTTTAATATCCTCACATATTCCTCCATGGAAATTGTGTGCACATCCAAAGAGCCTAACGCGTTCTTCAAGGACAGGGCTTTCCGTAATTGCGCCTCCACGCGCATATGATAGCCCGCTATCGTCGAGCGGGACTGATAGTCTTTGGAGGAGTAGTTGGACTGGATTGTGGAGAGCTGAAAGTTGGGAGATTTGTGGTTAAACACAGTAAAAGTTTACGGGAAACGGAGGGCACAGAGCTGGATGAGATTTTTTAAAGTATTGCAGCCGTTTTTCAGTCGACAATCTCGAATATGTCGTAGAAATGGGAAATTTGTGGTTAAATACAGTAAAATGTTACGGGAAACTGAGGGCACAGAGTTGGATGACATTTGAGAAGCATTTTTTCTCCCAAGCTGAAGAAATTTTCCGATCTATAAAGGTCGAAAAAGGGATCAAGACGACTCTAATTTAGTATCCAAAAGTATTGCAAAGAAACAAAAAGACTGCTGGGTTTGAAGAGGAATTTGGTAAATGTTTTCTCTTCAAAACCAACAGTCCTTTGAGGTCTCTTCGATACTTTTTGATACTAAATTAGAGTCGTTTTGATCCCTTTTTCGAACTTTATAGACCGGAAAATTTATTCATCCTGGGAGAAAAAAGTTTTCTCAAATGTCATCCAGCTATGTGAACGTCTGTTTCCCGTAAAATTTTACTGTGTTTAACCACAAATTTCCCATTTCTACGACATATTCGAGATTGTCGACTGAAAAACGGCTGAAAATTTGAAGTCAAAAGCCTACTTGATTCTGTAGATTTTGCAACCTTCGAATTTTTGAGTCGATCACGATTTGCGCACAGTTGATGTTATGGGCGTATTCGGCGTCTGAAATAACTTGCTATTACTTGTGTGTTTCTTTTAGTGTTTCCTTAATTTTGTTGCAGTCCGCACAGTGCAAACGACTTTTTTGTGGGTTGCACTGTGCGCTGGCGACAAGCGTGGGAAAAACTTCAAAATGCACTATGAGAAAGAGAGTAAAGGTCAGTGCATTGTAGGAAAATACTAATACGTTTTCAATAACAAAACGGTATGTTCTGATTAGATAAGACTAATCAAAAATTTCGGCCTAAATTGGTTTTGTACTTACATGATTTCCTTTTGTCGATAATAGGCTCCGACGACTCGAATTCAAACAATTGAGAGTCGGACATGCTCGAGCTTGAACGGCTGAACTCACACGAATTCATGGTTATTTATCTAAAATTCCGAGAACAATCATACAAACAGCGATTGGAATTTTGGGAGTTTTCGCGAATTCAAATCCTGTCAATCATAAGGTGCGTAGGGAAAGACAAAAATAGAAACGATCTAAAAGGTCAGACTGACATTTTGGGAAATCAAAATTTGCAAAATGTTATGATAGAGCATGTCAAAGAAACTGCAATTTTCAAACAAAATTTGTGATGTTTTCGAAAATTAATCAGCATGCTGGCAGGGTGCGACGCAGTTTTGGAGCAGAGAATGGAGTCTAGATTGGGCTTAGGGCTGGCGGAAAGGTGCAAAAGAGCAACTGGTTCATTATTTTACTGTTTTGTAGGCTTGAACCGTTTCTGGTCGACAAAAAGAGTCGAAAAAGAGATCCTAGGGGTCTGAATTTGTTATCAAAAGGTATCACAGAGAGATTATTTCCTGATGATACCTTTTGATAGCAAATTCAGGTCTCTTGGATCTCTTTTTCGACCCTTTTTGTCGACCAGAAACGGTTCAAGGCTCAAACAGCAAAATAATTAACCAATTGCTCTTTTCCACCTTTCCACAAGCCCTGAACCCAATGTAGACTCCATTTTCTGCTCCAAAACTGCGCCACACCCTGCGGGCATACTAATTAGCGAAAATCAAGACGCCGTGCGGCGCTGATAGCCCCCGAAAATGATAATACGTCAGTTGAAGGGGGCGCTTGAACCTAAAAATTTTGAAAAGCGAATCGCCCCGTCCCGTATTTGCTCAGGCGAATCTGGTTAAACGGTTCGAATGTCTCCCCCCGCTTCGACAATAGATTAAAATTATTTTTTGACCTTGGCGAGAACTTTGCGAAACCCGCCCGAAAAACGTTTACAGCTGATTTTCGTGGGCATCGACAAAATACCAAAAAAATTGGAAAGTCTTCGAAGGAAGGGAGAGATTATGAACATTCCCGGGGTGGAGCAATGTCAACTAAATTCCTGCGGATTACGGTATTTTGAAGCTTATATGGAGGTCCATAAATGATATAACCATAGAAGGTAGCTTAGCTCACAAGGGAAGTACCCTAAGTGCGACGCTCAGAATTTATTAAAGTTTTGTACAAACGTTGTGCATACAGTGAAGGACCGGATCCAATGGCAAAAAACGTCTCATTTTGCATCCCGGAAGGGACCAAAATGTCTCCAAACCCTTCCCTTCTCTAAGCTAAAAAACCCCGCGCTGAAGAGCCCGCCTTGAAGAAAAGGGCGCACTTTTCAAAGCGGAGTTTTTAGCTTAGAGAAGGGAAGGGTTTGGAGACATTTTGGTCCCTTCCGGGATGCAAAATGGGGCGTTTTTTGCCATTGGATCAGGTCCCTCACTGTATATTAATACCTGAAAGTTCTAGCTCGCGCTTTGCAGGGACAGCCGAGATATTCAAAGGTCTTTGTCGAGTGCGCGAAATCCGAAGCGCGTTCACACGCACATCAAATTTCCAGCTGCGGCTAGCCATCGCAAAGCGATGATGGGCGATTCCAAGACGCGACAATCCGTCATTATTTTCCCGACAGACTGATAGAAATTTTCATGAAGCTTTTTGTGCTAAAGTTCGCAAAAAATAAATGAATGCTAGGTTCTTCATCTGTCGGCCTAAAAATTTATAAAGTGCTCGGAAATTTTTGTCGTCGTCCGTACACAAAAAAACCTCCCAAAATGTCTCGTTTTTCAATAATTTTAATTAATAAAGGCAGTGTTCTCTATTAGTGTTTTCATAAAGTGCATGGACATTTTTTCGCAGTCCGCACCGTGCACAAAGACCTTTATTTTGCACTGTGCATTTGACCTTTTTTTTGGGTCGCACCGTGCATCCGGGATATCGCCGCGACATAAAAAAAAGTCTCAACTACGTCGCCGCGGTTGTGCTGAAGAATTTGCACGGTGCAATCGGCTTTTTTAAAGTTTGCACTGTGCGAAAAGAGGAAAATGAAACGCACTGTGCATTCGCGACAAGCGTGGGAAAAATTTTAAAATTCACTGTGCGAAGGCGAAAAATGTCTATGCACTTTATGAAAATACTAATATTTCCTTGCCATTGCAGCCAGCTGTGTAATCAGCAAAAAAATTATTCTAGGGATCAGCCCCACTCCTCAAAATCAGTGAAATTTCACGAACCAGGAATACAAAAAAAAAACGCCGATAATGCCCTTTCTCCTTCTCCCCAGAGCCTTATAATTTCCCGTCTTTGCCAGTGAATATCATGCAGAATCGGCTTCTCTCTTTTTTTTTGTAACATTACAAACGCTTTTTTTCGGTCGGGGGCGATGCAAATCGAACGGCCTGAGCTGCGGAAATGAACGGGAAACCGAAATAGATATTAATCATCGGCATGGGAGTGTTTAGAAAGACAATTAGGGATGTTAGCAATGAAATTGTTGGTAAAATACGCCATCTAAAAATATTTGAAGGAGCTTTTGCGGAGATGTTGGGAAAGCGAATTTTTCAGTTGTGGAAATAAAAAAAAAAATTTTTTTAATTTTTACTTTTTGGTCTTCTCCAAATCTTACGTATGGATTGTACATATGTAGTTCACATAGTAATGTCTAAAAATTTTAGTCTACCAAAATCGAATTAAACAATCATTTTTTGAAGAGAGTACGCAAAATGAGGAGAGCCGGCCAGACGAAACGCGCTTTTCGACCATATCTTTGCGAATATTGCTTGGAGAAAAAAATTTTTTGGCAAAAATAATTCGGGAAAAAATTGAATTTTTGGCAATTTACGGGCGAAAAAATTTCAGGGCTTCCTGCAAAACACGAGCTGAAAATTTCACAATCAAATCTATCAAGAAACTCCAATTCAAATGAAAAAAAATAAAACAATGAAAATAATTTTTTTATTGGATTTAGAGCTGGCTGCAACAGCAAGGAAATATTACAGTGAGGGACCCGATCCAATGGCAAAAAACGTCTCCTTTTGCATCCCGGAAGAGACCAAAATGACTCCAAACCCTTCCCTTCTCTGAGCTAAAAAACTCCGCTTTGAAAAGTGCGCCCTTTCCTCCAAGGCGGGCTCTTCAAAGTGGGGTTTTTTAGCTTAGAGAAGGGAAGGGTTTGGAGACATTTTGGTCGCTTCCGGGATGCAAAATGAGACGTTTTTCGCCATTGGATCCGGTCCCTCACTGTAGAGTATTTTCATAAAGTGCATGGACATGTGTTCTCTTTCGCACAGTGCATTTTAAACTTTTTCCCACACTTGTCGCCGATGCACAGTGCGTTTTTCTCTTTTCGCACAGTGCAAGTCACAAAAAAGCCGTTTGCACTGTGCAAATTCTTCAGCAAAACCGATGCACGGTGCAGTTGAAAAAAAGCCTTACGTCGCGGCGATATTTCCGATGCACGGTGCGAAACCAAAAAAAAAATGTGAAATGCACCGTGCAAAAATGGGTTTTATGCACGGTGCGGACTACGAAAAAATGTCCATGCACTTTATGAAAATACCTAATAGAGAATTTTTTATTAACCGCCTTGTTAACAAAATTTTTCAAAAATCAGGCATTTTGCTGCGACAAATCCACATTATTTTCCCGACAGACTGATAATAGTCCCAAACTTTGCAAAAATTTCCGATCCAACTAGATTTTATCCTTGTAAAACTCCTCTCGCACAATTCTTTTTTTCCAACCCCAACTCGGACTGCACAAAAGACGAATCAAAGGGAATCGCAATAAAACAGAATTAACATCGTAAACCCCATTTTGAATACCAAATTATGTTTCGTACAGGGATTTTATTTGAGAAGAGAATAAATAAGAAAATAAATAACTAGATCTACAAGTCAATAAATTATGTGGGTCGACCGGAATTTCGGAGGGGATCTTGAGGGGAAATTTGGGAGAAAATTTGAAAAAAAAATTAGAAATTTGAATATTTAAATTTTTTAGATATAAAAAATTGATATTCAAAAAATTTTTAATTCCATAATTTGAATATTCGAATAAGAAAATTTCAAAAAATAATTTTCGAATTTGCATATATTTTTCAAAAAAACTTTTTTGGGTGTTAAATTTTTTAATAAGTTTCGTATCTAGGCCTAAATTTGATTTTCAAAAATCTCCAATTTTAAAATAAAATATTCAAATTTCAAGTTTTTCGTATTCAAATTGCCAAATTTCCTCAAAATCCCTTAAAAATTCCAGTACGACCAAACTTTCGCTCACCACAACAAACTAGCTATAAAATTATGGCCAATTCAAAGGAAACGCGACGATCTTAACGCGAGATACAGATGAAAGCCGAGGGCGATGAAAAAGGTCCACACCGAGAAGCCGCTGATCACCGCCATCCAAACCTTCGACACGCAGTGCGGGTAGTGGGATTTGGCTGCTGAAAGAACGGAATTAAACGCAAAAATATTCGAGGGGTTTTCGGGGGTGGATTAAACTTTTTTGACAAGTGCAGAACTTTATAGTGGAAGAATCTCGACTATAAAGCGGGGAGTAAAGCAGATTACTACGCTTTTCCAAAAAGTTCGTAGACTTGTTGTCGCGCGCACAGTGCATTTGCCGCCCTTTCTATAACGCACTGTGCGTTATAGAAGAAAAAAAAATTTTTTGATTTTTTTTTTATTTTTATGACTTACCCTTCTCCTGCTGACGTTCTCGTGCTTCCTTTCTCGTTTCTTTCGAGCATTTGGGGTCATCCTTGTTGGCCAAGCATAGATCCGCTTGGACCTCCATTTCGAACACCGCCGGCTTTTTCATTTGCAAACTCTTGTGCGGGTTGGTTTTTACGGTGATTTCGGCGGTCTCCTGGTCCACCAGATTTCGTCTCCATCGCCGGAGGTTGTTGGAGCGGCCATCGAAAAGAACCGAATTTTGCGGGGAAGTGATGATATCGGGGCAGAAGGGAGGCTGCAAAAAAATGGTTAGAAAAATGCTCAGTTGATACTCCAAAATAAACGGGAGAATTTGAGATTTTCAAAGCTAAAAATCTCATTATTTCCTTCGCAAAAGGCCGGTTGCAAATCTAGAATTTGCCTTTGAAAATTTTCATCTAAATTTGAGCCAAACGTTGTCCCCAAAAATTCGAAAAGATCCTCTTTTTTTCGAAATTTCCTAAACTCTCACCGTCATGATGTCATCGCATCCCTTGACTCCATTTTCGTCCGGAATATCCGAGCACACCTGCATCTCACATCGGATGCTGAAACGTGTGTGATCGGGGAGTTTGAAGGCGCTCAATGGAGCTCGGACCACGTCGTGATAGGTGTCGTAATGCGGATGTCCGATGATGTTCAAATCTGTTGAGCAGCCTTGATTGTCAATCACGGGATGCTCATCGCCGGTCACCAAGTCGCGAATGATGCAGTTGCGGACAAGAAGACCGTAGGCGTCTGGAAAAAAGTTGTTTTGTTTTGGATTTTTTTTAGCATTGAGGCGTCCCTAGCGCCCCACGATAAACACAAATTTTCATTAGCAATAAGCCTTACCCGACTCCGGGTTCAACGAGAATTCCAGCCTCAACGGTTGCCCAACGTCGACCCGATCCACTTCGGTTCCATCGCCATCCTTGTGATGCTCCAAGTCCGTCACAATTTTCATTTCGCACTCCGGAGTCGCGGCCTTTTGCTCCAACTTTGTCGGAGTGAAGTGCAACTCCTCCAGAGCCTCGTCGATTCGCTTCGGAATCTCCTGCTTCTTATACTTGATCCTCTGTTGGGCACATTGCGCGATGTAGCTTTGAATGGACGTCTCTCCGTTCGGTTGTTGGAACATGACAATGATTTGCATGTGAGAAGGCGCCTCCACGCTTCCGTTGAAGTGGCCCGGGTTCGGCACTCCGCATTCTTGATAGGAGAATGAGACGTTGATGTTGAGGGCCTCTTTGAAGGTGTGCACACAAGAGGGGACGCGTTTCTTGTCGTTGGCAAAGATTTCGCCGGTGAAGGGGAAGATTGTGTTCACGCCGAAGTCGATGCCGTTTTCTTCACAAATTACGCGGGCTTTTCCTGAAAAACATTATTCGGAATCAATAATTCCTGTGACATTTCGCAACATTAGGCCTCAAAAACCTTTAAAAAAAGCGAAAAACCTCAAATCCTACCTCTAACTCTATTTGGAACCTGCTCTTTCGGTCTTTCTCCTGGTGGTGGAACTGGCTGGACAGGAGGAGCAAGTGGCGGTTGTTCTTGCGGCGGAGTGGGTCCCTGCGGCGGTTGGGGCTGTCCTGGAAGTGGTGGTTGACCTGGAAGAGAAGGTTGTTGTGGCCCGGTGGGTTGTTGGGGCTGGCCTGGGAACAAAGGCGGCTGAGGACCTTGTGGTTGTCCAGGAACTTGGGGTTGGCCGGGGATCTGTGGTTGTTGAGGTCCTCCGGGTCTTTGTGGCTGTCCCGGAATTTGCGGTTGACCTGGGATCTGTGGCTGACCAGGGATTTGTGGACCTTGAGGTTGGCTTGGGAATCCAGGACGGGTTGGTTGTTGAGGCTGTCCGGGGGTTGGTCCGAATGGAGATGGCCTTTCCGGTCCAGGAGAAGGACCGAATGGCGAAGGCCTTTCTGGCTGGCTGGGAGAAGGCCCGAATGGCGAAGGTCTCTCAGGTTGGCCGGGGGTTGGTCCGAATGGCGATGGACGTTGAGGTTGACCAGGAGAGGGGCCGAAAGGAGACGGTCTTTCCGGTTGTCCGGGGGTTGGTCCAAATGGCGAAGGTCTTTCAGGCTGGCCAGGAGATGGCCCAAATGGCGATGGCCTCTCAGGCTGACCAGGAGAAGGCCCGAATGGAGAGGGTCTTTCTGGCTGACTTGGAGTAGGTCCGAAAGGCGAAGGTCGCTCTGGCTGTCCTGGAGAAGGCCCAAACGGCGATGGCCTCTCGGGCTGGCCAGGAGAAGGCCCAAACGGCGACGGTCTCTCTGGTTGACTTGGACCAGGTCCAAATGGAGATGGCGTTGTGAATTCGCTCCGTGGGGCAGTCGGAATCAATGTTGGGAAGGGCGATGGAGTTGTGAAAGCAGGACCCGGAATAAATGGACTTGGTCTTTCGCGTTGTGGTTGTCCAGGAACCTGTGGTCTCTCTGGTCCTCCAGGAATTTGAGGCTGACCAGGGATTTGAGGTTGCTGAGGTCCTCCTGGAACTTGAGGTTGTCCAGGAATTTGTGGCTGCCCCGGAATCTGGGGTTGCTGTGGTCCGCCAGGAACTTGTGGCTGTCCAGGAACCTGGGGTTGGCCGGGAATTTGTGGCTGCTGAGGTCCTCCTGGAACTTGAGGTTGACCAGGGATGTGGGGCCCTTGTGGTCCGCCAGGTACCTGTGGCTGGCCAGGAATCTGCGGTTTCTCGGGTCCTCCTGGACCTTGAGGTCCTCCGGGAACTTGAGGTTGGCCGGGAATATGAGGCTGTTCTGGCCCGCCGGGTACTTGAGGTCCGCCAGGAACTTGTGGTTGTCCAGGAATTTGGGGTTGGCCGGGAATCTGTGGCTGCTGAGGCCCTCCAGGAACTTGAGGTTGACCTGGGATTTGGGGTTGTCCAGGAATTTGGGGTTGCTCTGGTCCTCCAGGTCCTTGTGGCTGGCCTGGGACCTGTGGTTTCTCAGGACCTCCTGGTATTTGAGGCTGACCTGGGACCTGAGGTTGTCCAGGGATCTGAGGTTGTTGTGGTCCCCCAGGAACTTGGGGCTGACCAGGTATCTGGGGTCCTTGGGGTCCTCCTGGAACTTGAGGTTGACCTGGGATCTGAGGTTGTCCAGGGATTTGTGGCTGCTGTGGCCCTCCTGGAACATGAGGTTGTCCGGGAACCTGTGGTTGGCCGGGAACTTGTGGCTGTTGAGGTCCGCCGGGTACTTGCGGTTGTCCAGGAATATGCGGCTGTTCAGGCCCACCCGGCACCTGAGGTCCTCCAGGAATTTGTGGCCTTTCAGGTCCTTGTGGTTGACCTGGAACTTGAGGTTGTTGTGGTCCGCCGGGCACCTGAGGTTGTCCGGGAATTTGTGGCTGGCCAGGAATGTGCGGCTGCTCGGGGCCTCCAGGAACTTGTGGTCCGCCAGGAATTTGTGGCTGGCCCGGAATTTGTGGCCTCTCAGGTCCTCCGGGAATTTGAGGCTGCTGTGGTCCTCCGGGTACTTGTGGTTGTCCTGGGATTTGGGGCTGTCCAGGAATTTGTGGTCCTTGGGGTCCACCGGGAACTTGCGGTTGTTGAGGACCGCCAGGTACTTGCGGTTGGCCAGGAATTTGAGGCTGGCCAGGAATGTGCGGCTGCTCGGGGCCTCCAGGAACTTGTGGTCCGCCAGGAATTTGTGGCTGGCCCGGAATTTGTGGCCTCTCAGGTCCTCCGGGAATTTGAGGCTGCTGTGGTCCTCCGGGTACTTGTGGTTGTCCAGGTATTTGGGGCTGTCCAGGAACCTGGGGTCCTTGTGGACCACCTGGCACTTGGGGTTGACCGGGGATTTGTGGCTGCTGAGGCCCTCCAGGTCCCTGTGGTTGTCCAGGAATTTGTGGTCTTTCTGGGCCCTGAGGCCCTCCAGGGACTTGAGGCTGGCCTGGAATGTGCGGCTGCTCAGGGCCTCCAGGAACTTGTGGTCCGCCAGGAATTTGTGGTTGGCCTGGAATCTGAGGTGGTTGTGGTCCTCCAGGAACTTGTGGTTGTCCAGGAATCTGTGGTTGTCCCGGAATCTGAGGTGGTTGTGGTCCTCCTGGAAGTTGAGGTTGTCTGGGAATCTGAGGCTGTCCGGGAATTTGTGGCTGTCCAGGTACTTGAGGCTGTCCAGGTACTTGTGGTTGTCCCGGAATCTGTGGTTGGCCTGGAATTTGTGGCTGTTGGGGTCCTCCAGGCAATTGTGGAGGTGGAGGAGGTGGTGGTGGGCCACCAGGGCCTCCTGGAAATCCTGGGCACGGCGAAGGAGGTAGACCTGGTGGTCCTGGCTTCCATGCCTCGCCTGGCCGGCACGACTCCGGTCGTTCTGGTCCTTGTGGTCCTCCTGGAAATTGGGGTTGTCCGGGAATCTGAGGCTGTCCGGGAATTTGGGGTTGTCCTGGCACCTGTGGTCCTTGCGGTCCTCCGGGAACTTGGGGTCCACCTGGTCCGCTCGGAAATCCTGGACCGGACGGGAAACCTGGTCCTTGCGGTCCTTGGGGTCCTCCGGGAACTTGGGGTCCTCCTGGTCCGGATGGGAAGCCTGGTCCGGACGGGAATCCCGGTCCTGATGGGAAGCGTGGTCCTTGTGGTCCTCCTGGACCGCTAGGGAATCCTGGTCCTGAGGGAAATCCTGGTACCTGCGGCCCTCCGGGAACTTGAGGTCCTCCTGGTCCACTTGGGAATCCAGGCCCTGACGGGAATCCTGGTCCTGATGGGAAGCCTGGTCCTTGTGGTCCTTGGGGTCCTCCGGGAACTTGAGGTCCTCCTGGTCCTGACGGGAAGCCGGGTCCTTGCGGTCCTCCTGGACCGCTAGGGAATCCAGGTCCGGACGGGAATCCTGGACCTTGTGGTCCTCCCGGCCCAGCTGGTCCTCCCGGTCCTGTAGGTCCTTGTGGAGCGCAGTTGTTTCCTCCACTTGGTCCTTCATATCCATTCTCGCCTTCAGGAGCGCATTCTTTACTTTCTTCGGGCTGGTTTGGATTTTGTGGTTGGTTTGGACTCTGTGGCTGATTTGGACTCTGTGGCTGATTTTCTTCGTAGTTCGCTGGTGGAACGTTTGCAGGTGGGTGACGGTTTGGAACGCCTGTAACGGTTTAAGTCATTGTGAGTTTAGACGGGTTAAACATTCTTTTTTGTTTTATCTAAAGTGTGAGAATCCTTGCCGAAATTGTTTTTTGCATTCAAAATTCTCGGATTATCTGATCAGATGCGAATCAAGACTTTGTCGGATTTCGGTTTTCGACGAGGCTTCGTTTTTTATGAAAATGAAGGAAGAATGCAACCGATGCATTAAAAATTCAAACAAAAAATAATAAAAAACATGGCAAAAAAATCAAAAATTCTTACCGTTTGGCCCACTAGGATACGACGGCTTGTGGTATTCATTTGAAGTGTCGTACGGACTTCTGGTCACTGGATTTGGCGATGGATATTCTGTTACACTGCCCTGGGGAGGGCCGAAATATTCAGCTCTTGGCTGTTGGGCTTGTGGTTGATAGAACTGAGCGGGCTGTCGGGGGCTTCCTGAGACGAGGAAAACCGGCTTGCGAGTGCCTTGTTGGCCTTGCGGCGAGTAGAAGCCGAGTTGTGGCGGTGCGGGCGGGGAGCGGTAGGGATTGGCTAGCTCCGGGCCTTGAGGGCCGTTGACCAGCGGCTGCGCTGGGTATTGCTGGTTGGTTGGGCGATAAGGCTGTTGGAAAGTGGGGCTCTGAAATTATAAATGGATTTATGGAATGTGTAACAGCCGTAAAAGAGAATAATTTGAGAATAACGAAGGATTCAAGCTACCTTAGCAAGATTTCAAGCAAAAATGCGGTTCTAGATAAAAAACGGCTTCTAAATTTAAATATTTTTAGAATTTGATAAGGTTTGAGTCCTTGAGAGTCTTTATGCTACCTCTGTCTCAAAAATGATGCATGATTTTTTTATCTATCTAGCCATTCCTAGTACCATGAAGCGCTATACTTCACTTACAATTGATTGCGGAGGGGGTGCATCATAAACAGCCGGAGGTGGCTGCGGCGGCCTGTATTGCGCGTTAATATCACCATCAAGCCGTTGAGTGAACAACGGAGCGGCCTGCGCAACCGGCGGTCGATTCGGCTTGGGGCTGAGCTCTTTGAACCACAAAGGACCTTCGTCTTCCCAAACTCCATCTCTCAACCTTAGCGATGGATTGAACGGTAGATTCGTATCTTCCTGTGGAGCGTTTGCGCGGACAATCCGGTCGATAACTGGCTCTTGCGACTGTTCCTTCGACATTTTCACCCAATCCTCGGCCATTGAGTTGGGGGCGCTTGGCTTGACCGGCGACATGACGAACGGTTGCGGGTTGTGTTGCCATTGCTGCGCGATTGCGATGGGCAGTAAGGAGAGGAAAAGAAGGATCGTCCTTGCGGACTTTTGGCCGTGCGGCCAAGTCATGCTGAGAGAGGGCGTTCTTATGAGGAGTTAGAGAGTCTGTGCCATACAAAGATGGGTCTAGACTAAAGTAAAAGGCGTTTATATGCCTTAGAAGGATCTGAAATGATGGAGAGAAATGACTGAATGATTTAGGGGTAAAATACGCGAATGAGAAAGAATGTTCAGCGGATTAGTCTAAATAAATGGGAAAATAGAGGTCAAATTACTGAATATTCAAAGTTTAAGGGGCAAAAACGTATTCAAGACAACTTAGACAACATTTTCAAGCCAAAACAGACTCTCTGCCAACGAGTTTTGACAAATTCAAGGCCAGTTGTTTCAATTAGAGCGCAAATTTTACCCTCAAACTTAAACAGTCAAAGCCTTGGACTAGCCTCACCAATTTGCAAATTACTAAACCACCCTTCCGAAGCCATTGACCCGTAAACAATTGGAACACCATGCTCAACCCTCTCAAATCCTTAACGCTTCTCCCAATGCCCTCACAAATGCAGGCAGCCGGAGGCGAAAGTTTTTTTGGTCGGTTAACAAGTTTCTCCCACCGAGATTCTCGCGCTGGATTTCCGCACCTCCCGCTTATTTCCGTTCCATCGCCCCGAAGCCGGGCGAGATTAGGATCTGGGCTAGATTTGACGCATTTCTGGATGCCTGGAATATTCGTGAAATCGGGCAGTTTTTTGTTTTTTCTTCAGCGTTGCGAGGGTCATTAATTATGGTGACGGAGATTTGAGGAGTTGAAGGAATGGCAAAGGAATGTGCGAGAGGGGAGATTCCGGGTTCAAATTTTGAAAGGTCTATTGTGAAAAAGTTCAAATTTTTATGCCATCGGTCAAGCCAAGCGCTCCGAATTCAATGGCCGAGGATTGGGTGAGAATGTCGAAAGAGCAGTCGAAAGAGCCGGTCATCGACCGGATTGTCCGCACAAATGCTCAACAGTAAGAGTCGAATCTACCGTTCCATCCGTTGCTAAGGTTAAGAGATGGCATTTGAGGAGGTCAAGGAACTTATCACTAACGAATCAACTCCAAATTAAAGTAATAAAAAAAGAGCTCAAAGTGCGGTTTACAAGTTTTAATGGAACTTGGCACAAATTGACTAATAAAAAAGACTAATAAATTCTCAAATATATTCGACATTCCTGGCTCGCGCTTTGCAGAAGCAACAGAGATTTTTCATTTTTCTACCGAAATTTGGCAAAAACGCGAATTTTTTGGCGAATTTGGGCATGAAAAGTTTCATCCGTATTTCTACTATAGGATGTACTGTCTATGCAAAAAAGTAATTTTTTTCCGCAGGAAACTGGCAAAGATATGGCCAGAAGGCATTCTCTCTGACCACTCTCCACATTTTGCGTACTCTCTTCTCGACAAAGATCGCTGAATATCTCGGCGGCGCCTGCAAAGCGTGAGCTAAAACTTTCAGGGCTTCTTAGGCGACCTATCCCCCAAAATGCAAAATTTAAAAAAATCGAGCAAATTTCATTTTTTTAAAAATCATTTTAGATTGCAATTCCAAACATTGTACAACAATATTTATGAGATTTTCGAAGACAATGAAAAGATAACCAAAATTGAAATACTCGACTAATCCTTGATGGCGGCGACATTGGGCCGTCGATTGATGTAATCCAGGAATTCCATATCCAACTCTTTCACGTAGAAATACATGTCGGCGGTGTCGTTGCGCACCTCGAACCGCACGAACCCACCGTAGCCGTAGCCCAGCTCGGGCGCGTGCAGAATCCGCTTCCACAGCGGTTCGTCGCGATCTCTGGGGTAGTAGTAGATGGGCTCCGTCGGATTCGAGCCCCAATTCTCGCTGGAGAAGTCGGTTCGAGAGCCGGCGCCACTAACCAGATAGTGCATCGTGCTGACGTCGTCTTTGTAGTAGTTGGGGCGACCGAGGAAGACCTCGTGGTCTTTTTTGCTGGTGGTCTGACTCACTCCGAAGGTTCGAGCTGAAGAGGTGTTTGTGGTGTTGTCCACGCGGAAGAACTGAAAGGAAAATAGTGATTAGGCAAGCTATACTCTATGTACAATCAAGAAATTTTGATAGTTTCCTCGCGCATCCCGACTTTTCGGGTCAACACAAAATCGACCGATACGGGGCGTAAGGCAGGTGGAGGCTCAAAAAAAGGTTGTAGAAAGTGCCTATGAGGCATGGAAAAGCCGTTGGATGGTCGACGGACGCTCGGCGGAGACTCGGCGAAGACTTACAATATGCCCGCTTTTTCTAATTATAGCTATTACTAACGTTAGTTTTCTTTACCCTGAGTTATTGTTACATATCAAAGACAAAAATTTACGGCAAAAAAAGAAGATCCGCAACTTTTTTCTGGATACTATTGATGTGAGTACATGTAGTAAAATACCTTAAAATAGGTGATAACCTATCCTAGAACCCGTTAAATCTTATTATTTCTACTAGCTAAGCCTTCTCCTAGCCTCCCCGATGTATACAACGAAGGGCTGATCCATAGTATCGTTTCCCTGAACTGTCGCTGACCCCAACAGTCGTAGCGCACGTCAAAGAAACAGTGAAAAAAAAGGAATCTCGGATCATTGATCTTTGACGAAATGTCGCGACATGTCGCTGAATTATCGAGTCACAAAAGAAAACTTTCCCAGAGAAAAAGTTTTTTTTCGAGAAAAATGTTTTTTCGGAGAGGAAAATAATTTTTCTATCTCGAAAAAAAGATGTGGCCCTTCGCAAAATTGGATCATTTTCTGAAAGATTTTTTTGACGTGTAGCGCCTTTCCTCACCTGTAATGTGTGATCATGACCAGCAAAGTAGGCGGAGACATGGTACTCCCTCAGCAGTGGGTCCAATTTTTCGATCAAGCATTTCGCCGGCCCATGCGATGAGATCGAGTAGATGGGATAATGCCCGACAACAAATAAGTAGTCAGCTCTAGAAATCAAAAGAAAAATCAATGCTTTTGTCAACTAATCTCAATTTTTATTAACAGGGGAAGTACTCCAAGTGCGACGCTCAGATTTTCTTTAAATTTTGCACATACGTCGGCTATGGACTAAATATGAATTTCTGAAAGTTTTAGCTCGCGCTTTGCGGGCGCCGCCGAGATATGGAACGATTTTTGCCGCCGAGAGAGCACGCTAAACGTGGAGAGAGGTCAGAGAGAGCAGCGCTTTTTGGCCATAACTTTGGCAGTTTCGTGCGGAAAAATTTGATTTTTTGTTGAAACATTACCCGTTACGGTTGAAATAAGCACGAAACTTTTCGTGCTGAAATTCGGCAAAAAGTCCTAAATTTTCGCCGACTTTCGATCTAAAAATCTCGGTTGTTTCTGCAAAGCGCGAGCTAGGATTCTCGCATATATTTTAGAAAAAATTATTCTAAACTTGTGCCAAGTTTCATCAAAATCTGAGCGTCGCACTTGGAGTACTTCCCCTGTAAGTTTTTTTTACAGAAAAGAATAAAAAAGTCTCACTTTGAGGCGCTCAATTCGTCTTCAATCCATTTCCATTGTTTCTTCGCCTCCACGGCCCACTCCGGATCCGGCTCATTCGGGATCTTCTTTCGATGCATTGCCCACGAGAAGATCGAGCGGCCGTTCACGTCGATACAATTGCCACAAAGCACAATCGTGTCGATAAAAAGGATGTCCACGGTTCGCGTTCCTTCGGCGAATGAGTAGCTGGCCTTGTAGTAGAGCTTGGGGAAGGTCCTGAAAACGAGATTTTTTCAAAATTATCAGTCTGTCGGGAAAATTATGAGCTCTCTGTCGCAACGAAAATCACATCGCCGCTTAGGAAATGGATTGTGTCGCGACAAAATTAAACTTCTTTTCACTTCAGCGATTGTTGCAGCAACATTGTGTTCATTATTTTCCCGACAGACTGAGAAATTGCTTACCATTTATTCGAGTATTTGGTATACTCAATTTGCGCCGAGATATTCCCCAAATGATCATGATTCCCGCCAATCATATACCATGGAACGTCCAGCCGGGGATCAGCATAAGGCTCTTCGAATACGGTCTGAAAATGATGAGTGTGTGATGGAAAATTCTGTCAAGAAAAAATTTTGGAGACACAGTGAGAGTTTTTTAGTTTGTCGGGGAAATAATGAGCACAATGTCGATGCGCCGATCGTGTCGCTGAAGTGAAAAGCGATTTGATTTTTTCGCAACACAATTCATTTTTTTTGTCAGCGGATGCGATTTTCGATACGACAGAGTTCTCATTATTTTCCCGACAAGATGATATTCTCTAACAAAGAGAGCCTTAATAGCAACAGAGAATATCGCTTGATATTTTATGAGATTGAAAGATTTTTGCAGCTAGAGAGGACGCGAAATTCGGAGAGCGGTCAGAGAGAAAACCACTTTTTTGGCCATCGTTTTTGGCATGGAACAATAGATTTTTCGTGGAAATGATTCTGAGAGAACAAATTTTCGACGCGACAGAGTGCTCATTATTTTCCCGACAAACTGATAGTATAAAAAAGGCCCCGAAAATCATATTTTCATTTTGGGCCATCTTTCAGCCAATTTTCAAAATTTCCCGCAATAAACTCACATCAAACCGAGAATCGAAAACCGTATCAACTCCATTGAAATACACGTTGTCCCCAACGTTCACAATGAAATCGGGCTTTTGTCGGCCGGCCAAATCGGCCATCGAATTGGCCAGGCGCTCCTGGGCTTCGGTGGCTTTGATGAAATTCAGGTAGTTTGATGTGACATCAAATGAAATCCCTGGAAATAAAAATCTCTATGTAATCTGGCTACTACTCCGTTTTTTCAAATTCTACTGCTTTGTGGATAAATATTTACTTGTCGTTTCAGAAAGCGCGTAGACTTTTTGTCAAGGACGCACCGTGCATATAACCTCTTTTTGCGGCGGTATTTGACCTCTTGCATCGTGCAAAGGCATTATCGTAGCGATGCAAGGCTTTTTCAACGAAACCTGGGCGACTATTGGGAAAAGAAATTGCACAGTGCAAAATGTTTCGAAAAGGGTCTCGCCGCACAAAAGTCTACGAACTTTCTGGAACCGTGGCATTCTTGCCACTGTTTTGTGGAGGAATATTGAACATATTATAATAATAATCCTACCTCCCGTATCGCCAAGGACGAAAAAGTCCAAATGATCCTTATTTACATGGCACACATTGCCATTCGTGCATGCTAATCGATCGTTCAATGGGACATTGTAAACTGCACAGGGTAAAAATGATAAAACGGCGAGTAGAGCCCGCCGTATCCTCAACTCCATCATGTTGAGGCCTAAAATGGTTGAAGCGGGTAAAATTGTATTTGAATTGTGGGGCTTTGGTAGTTCAGCCCCCCACGAAAGGTATACTGGTTGACAAAATTTTCTTTCCACCTCGTATCTCGGGAACCGATGGGCCTAGAACCTCCAAATTCGGCATAGAAACATCCTAGGACAGTCTAACACCATGCCCAAAAAAATGATATCATTTGATGCACTTTACATGCCCTTTTTCCAAAAAAGGCAAAAACCCGGATGACAAAATTTTCTTTCCACCTTGGAAAAAACGTTTGTAACTCATAAGCCAGAGGGTTTTAAGGCATGATTGTGGTATCGTTGTGTTCGCGAAGAAGTCCTCTCTCGATTGGTGTCACAACCTTACGGGGGTTTTAGTTTCTTCGCCCTTGGGCGTCGGCTCATCGTTGCCTTGTCCATTTTCAGCCAAATTCGTGGCCAGAGGAGCTCGCATAAGGCACAAGGAGATGAAAATGCCTTTAAAAAATCTGGCATTCATGTTTGCAACATTGTTTCCTCCGGCAGTAGAATTTGATTTAATTTAAGTGCATTGCAGGGGAAAATGAGCGCTGCCTGGGTCCGCAAAACCGAAGAATCACTTCTGTACAGAATGGAAACGTCCAAATTACATCCATTTTCGCTACATACGGCGTACTTTAGGGCTTATACGACAGAATGTGTTGAAATCTACCAGCTTATCTTACCCCTCTCTGGTCTATGTCGTCTCAAGTAACGCAGGTTGTTGCACTAGGCCTTGGCATTACTTAAGCTTGGTATATTGGGACTTTTGAATACCAGACTACTTTAATACATTGACCTTGACAGGCCTTCAACGTTTTTTCCACGACGAATAGCTTGCGCAGGAAGCTTAGAGTCGCAAATTTTGTACATGGGGCGTTTGGAACCTTTCTTCTGCTCACATCTAAGCGCGACATCAGTGATTAAAATCGTCACTATTTTTTAACTCTGTAGTATCATAGAAAATATATAAGGAGGAAAAGTTACTTGAATTATCTGCAGTGTTTCCATAATAGCGTAATTTTCTGGTAACGAGAACCCTGGAAGCGCGCGTTTTCCCCTGCAACGCACTTAAATTAAATCGAATTCTACTGCCGGAGGAAACAATGTTGCAAACATGAATGCCAGATTTTTTAAAGGCATTTTCATCTCCTTGTGCCTTATGCGAGCTCCTCTGGCCACGAATTTGGCTGAAAATGGACAAGGCAACGATGAGCCGACGCCCAAAGGCGAAGAAACTAAAACCCCCGTAAGGTTGTGACACCAATCGAGAGACTTCTTCGCGAACACAACGATACCACAATCATGCCTTAAAACCCTCTGGCTTATGAGTTACAAACGTTTTTTCCAAGGTGGAAAGAAAATTTTGTCATCCGGGTTTTTGCCTTTTTTGGAAAAAGGGCATGTAAAGTGCATCAAACGATATGATTTTTTGGGCATGGTGTTAGATTGTCCTAGGATGTTTCTATGCCGAATTTGGAGGTTCTAGGCTCAGCGGTTCCCGAGATACGAGGTGGAAAGAAAATTTTGTCAACCAGTATAGTTCAAACCCCCAATGTTTTGTCCATTTCACACCCCCCATAATTAAAAAATTAGAATAATACAAAAAATGCAAATTAGAGTGAAATGACCCCCGGCGTTTTAGCTCAAACCCCCAGTTACCGTTTTCGTTCTTGTGGTTCAGGCAGCGATGATCGTAGCCGAGAGAACCCAATCCCGAGTAGGCGGTTCAGATTGGATGAGGGGGTTTATACTGGGTCAAGGGGGGCTGAACTGGACTGGGGGGTTGTACTACCTTAGCCTCTGAATTGTTTCAAGGAAATGCTCGAAACCTCATAAGGGCAATGCTCGAAGTGTGCCCCTGAGATTTTTGAAAAATTTTGAACACACTTTGGGCATGGGCCGCACAACAATTCCTCAAAGTTTTAGGTCACGCTTTCAAAGGGCAGCCGAGACATTTAACGGTCTTTGTGGCCGAGAGAGCACGCATAACGAGGAGAGTGGTCAGAGAGAAGCACTTTTTGGCCATATCTTTGCCAGTTTTTCGGAGAAAAAACAGATTTTTTGTAGAAACATTACCCTCTATGGTGGAAATAGACAATTCGCTTGCTAGAGAGATCGCTTAAATTGGCAAAAACAACGTTGATTATGGCGAAAAATGAGTTATAAATGCAAAATAAACAAAGATGAGTCAAAAAACAGCTAAAAGGGCTCATGAAAAAGCGGTTATCTGCGCTGCCAGATCTCCGTTCGCTTGCGAGATCACTTGTCGAGTTAAAGCGAGCCTTTCAATGGCTCCGTTTGAGGGGACATTATTATACATGATGGCTTTAGAAGCGTGGAGGGAAAAAGAACGGATTTTTCTTTAAAATGACGTACAAAAGGGCAAAAACAAGCTTTAAAAATGAAAATAGCGAGTAAATAAAAAAGTCTAATCGCTTTAAAGTTGATCGTGTGAGTCACAGTTCATGATGCCGCTGCATAAAAGAGGAATAAAAAATAATAAAGAAGAGTGAAAAAAGAGGACGCAAATGTTAAATTGGAGGAGAAATAAGATACTAAACTTTTCTAAAAATTACTAGATTTTTTGTCGGTACATTTTACGGTTTTTCGCACTTTGCAATGGCCATTTTTGATGCTAGGAGAAGGCCTAGTTCTTATTATTTTCAATCATTCTTAAAAATAATAAAAATGATGGGGTCCTAGGATAGTTTATCACCTATTTTGAGGTATTTTACATAGACTCACATCAATAATATCTAGATAAAAGTTACGGATCTTCGTTTTTTGCCACAAAATTTGGTCTTTTAAATGTTGAAATAACTCAGGGTTAAGAAAACTAACGTATATCTACTAAAATTAGAAAAAGTGGAGGGTAGTTCAGCCCCCCACGAAAGGTAGTTCAAACCCCCACTGTTTTGCCCGTTTCACACCCCACATAATGAACAAATTAGAATAATACAAAAAATGTAAGTGGGGGTTTGATCTACTACGTTGGGGGTTTGATCTAAAACGTAGTGGGCTTGACCTAAAACGTAGGGGGCTTTATACGGAGGGGGCTTAATCTAAAACGTAGGGGGCTTGTGCTGTACCATACAACTTGGATTAATTCTTTGAAACAAATTTTGGGGTTTAGAATGGACGAGGGAGTTTGTACTGGGTCATGGGGGGCTAAACTGGACTGGGGGGCTGTACTACCTTAGCCCCAAAGTGGACATATTGCAATTCTTCGCCAAGTCTCCGCCGAGCCTTCGACGAGCGTCCGCCACATAGTTCAAGGGATGACTATACTCCAAAACCGCCAAAACGAACGCCTCTAATAAATTATTAGTCTGTTCTTATACCACTTTTTGTCTGTTTACCAATGTCCTTTTTATAAACAAAGCTCTGTTTATGAGCAATGAACCACCCACAAAATCTAAAAATAAGATTTTCAGACGTAATCGACAACCATTGTCAGACGTAATCGACAACCATTGTCAGACGTAATCGACAACCATTAGTCATAAGAACTCTCGGACCAAACCTCTGTATAGCGAATCTCTCTTCAAGCTGTCGGGAAAATATTATGTTGCCACAAAAAAATCAAGGTTTTCCTTGCGAAATTCGCAAAGATACGGCCAAAACATGGTTTTCTCTCTAACCGCCCTCCGCGTTTTTCGTACTCTCTCGGCCACAAAGTTTGTTGAATATCTCGGCTGCCCTTTGAAATTGTGAGCTAAAACTTTCAGGAATTGAAATGTGACTTTCCTTATAAAGTCAAACTCTGAAATATAGCAGTTTCTTCCGTTAAGGCCCATTTTTTGGCCACAAAATCAAAATAATACAATGATTTCCCCTTCAAAAAACAAAAATCGGGTCATAAAGTTTCAGGAGAGAAGTGAAAGCAGAGAATTCAGAGGATCTTCAGCCCTTCTCGAGCACTTCGCAAGGCCCTTGAGATGGAGGTCAACTCGGTTCGCATTGTCCATACTTTGCTCTTTGTTGAACGGAAAAATGGATGGTAAAAGATCTAGAATTTATTGGAAAAAACAAGGGTCCTTTGCCATTAAAAAAAACATGTACTATACCAGTCTGTCGGGAAAATAATGAGCACTTTGTCGCATCGAAAATTGCATCGCCGCCGAGGAAATGAATTGTGTCGCGACAAAATCAAATTGTTTTTTACAGCAGCGGCAGTGTGCTCATTATTTTCCCGACAGACTGATTTTAGTACAGGGTGTACCAAAAAAATGGAAACTTGTTTTTATAGCTATATTTTTTCGGAGAATCAAAATTCAGCAAAAGTAACGGTCATGATTGGTAACATAGAGCAATGTTTATAACATGTTCAACCTGTTTCACAGTGGCTGCCTTTGCTGGCGATATAGAGCTCCAAACGTCACGTAAAATTTTGGGGTCCGGGCCGCAGCTTTTTAAGGGGGAAATCGGTCCCGTTCTTGGCGCAGCATTTACTTTGCGACTCCAAACTTTTGTGGAGCATAGTACAGGTGCTGCCCTTCTATTTAAAAAAAATATATAGTCCATTGGATTCAGATCCGGCGAGCAGGCGGCCATTTCGCAAGCGGGATAAAATTGGGAAAATCGGTCCCATTTCGGGTCCTGGGTCGATTTTGCCCTGTGAGCCGGTGCTGAATCCTGTTGGAACGCCAAGTTTGCATTGCCAAGTTTCTGCTGAACTCACGGAAGCACGACAAAATAGAAATTACCGCGGCGCTAGTATTTTGCCACATTGATTCACGAAAAACATGGATTTCTTGCCGCTGGCACAAATTCCGCCTTAAGCAATGACGGCCCGGATTTTGGCGGTATTCGACGATGGCCAACAGGCTAGGAGCTTCATTGAAGCAGATTTTATCGTTCTGGTGGTTGTGTTTCCGCCAAATATTGAACCGCGAACTGAATGCGCTCACGTCTCGGAGCTGCGGCCCGCCCCTTTGACTTTCCGACATATTTGTGCCGTACGCACTTTCTCTCGACTTTAAAGATCTGAATTTTTTAGAGCTTGTATTACATGAGGTTGAGCTCCTCTTTGGCTATTCGGCCGACCGATCGGTCGCTGATGTCAGTCTCAAGGGCAAATTTTTCTTGAAAATCGCGGATTTTGCTGTGGGGGATCTTTCGGTTGAAAGAAGCGCTGGCGGTGCGTTTTCTTTCACTTCCTGGGCGCTTGCTATCCGTATCAAGCTCCTTGGGTCTCGTGATTACTTTCGACACAACGTTCTTTCTATACCGAGCAAATTAACTGTTCGAACAGCTCCAAAAACAAGTCCAAAATCGATGTCCCTTTGTTTGAAGTTCAAAAAAGACAGGTCGATTAATCCATATGGGCGTAAAAATCAAACCACTAGGACAGAAAAACACAGAGAATTTTGTAGTAATAAACTTCTGTGGCTACACCTAACCATTTTCGCGTCAGGACAAATGAAAAAAAAGTTTCCATTTTTTTGGTACACCCTGTATTTTCGTAAAGTGCATGGACATTTTTTGTTTTTGTCCCGTCTTTCTAGCTGATCTCCTTCATGGTATATCGCATTTTTTATCCTCAGGCTATTTTCGGCCATAACTTTGGCCAATTTGTGACTGGAACCGAGATTTTTTTGCTCCATGATCTGCGTTCGATTACGCATCCTTTGCTTTTTGTCCCGTCTTTCTAGCTCATCTCCTTCATGGTCTATCGCATTTTTTACGCACCGTGCACAAAAAACACCTCATTTTGCACCGTGCATTTTGCCTTTTTTTTTGGCTTTCGCACTGTGCATAAAAATATCGCAGCGACATAATCAAGTTTTAGCTACGTCGCTGCGCCAGCAATTGCACAGTGCAAACGGCTTTTTTTGAGGCTTTCACTGCGCATCGGGAAAAAAAGAGAAAATGCACTGTGCGTTGGCGACAAGCGCGTTAAAAATTTCAAAATGCACTGTGCGAAAGAGGGCAAATGTCCATGCACGTCAATCCAGCGCATTTCCTGACCCGTTTCGAAACTCCGTGATGTAATAAGTGAAAGTGTTTACGCAGCTTTGATTAAACAGGTGGCTTTTATACGTCCATATTTTTATATAGCCAACTTCCTCTAGGCCGAAAAAATTGGACACAATCCAGCTTTTTGGCTAGGTTTTAGGTATCTGTTCGGCAATTCCATTCATCCGCCAAGAGTTTTGCGGGAAAATTTTTTGCGGGCAGCCATTTTGCGGGCAGCCGACATTTGCGGCCAGCACCGGCATTTGCGGGCGGCATGGGAGATTTGCGGGCAGCCGACACCTGATTGTGGAGGTAACAGGGTGGACGTGGAAAAATTACTATGATATTTTGGAAGTTTTCCGACATTTGCGGGCAGGCAATACTTGCGGGAAGCCGACATTTGCGGGCAACGGCTCCAAAAGTTCCAATACAGTCTGTGTGATTGTTTTTTACTGTTGCCCGCAAATGTCGGCTGCCCGCAAGTGTCGGCTGCCCCCAAATGTCGACAAATTTCCAAAATATCGCAGTAATATTTCCACCTCCACCCTGTTGCCCTCAGGTGCCGGTTGCCCGCAAATGTCTCAGCTGCCCGCAAGTGTCGCGACGCCCAGTAAAAGATTTATGATAGAATTTATAAAATATAAGGGTCTTTGCCAATATTCGACAGTTTTGGCAAATTTTTATCTGTAAATTAAAGTACATTGACAGATTTTGATTTTCTCTGATGACGTCAGCTCAATTTTTCGAAGACTTCTGCATAAGCTTTTTGAGGATGCCGCCGGCCAACTTGAGGTCTTTGTCGTCGCAACCGCTGATCAGTTCGTAGTTGTCGTTGGGTCGATGGTGCTCGGTCAACTTGGGGTTTAGCCGCGCCTCCAAGTCAAGCTGGCAGCCGCTGAAATGAATGTCGGATCTAATACAGTGAGGGACCTGATCCAATGGCAAAAAACGTCTCCAAACCCTTCCCTTCTCTAAGCTAAAAAACTCCGCTTTGAAAAGCGCGCCCTTTCCTTCAAGGCGGGCTCTTGAAATCGAGGTTTTTTAGCCTAGAGAAGGGAAGGGATTGGAGACGTTTAGGTCCCTTCCGGGATGCAAAATGAGACGTTTTTTGCCACTGGATCCGGTCCCTTACTGTAGAAAGGTAGACAAAAGAAAACCTTACAGTCCGGGGAAGAGCTCGTCGATTATAAAGGTCCAAGCGCCCAGCACATCCAGCAATTCATTGAGGTCAAGACCACTTTTCGAAGGCATTTTACGGCATGGCCTTGGCCAGTGGTCTATTCTAAAGTTCAAGTAGATTCATCCATTATTACAACGGATATATCAAAAGAGGACGTACTCCAAGTGCGACTCTCAGATTTTCTTTACACTTTGCACACGCTTCGACGATAGGCCACATATCAACTCCTGGAACCCTTAGCTCGCGTTTTACAATAGAACCCGAGATATGAAACGATATTTTCGGCAGAGAGAGTACGCAAAACGCGGAGAGCGGTCATAGAGTAACAAAATTTTCAGCCATATCTTTGCCAGTTTTGCGCATGTATCAAAAAAATCGTAAAATTTTTCTGATTCGGAATATGTAAAAGTTAGCTGCCTCATTTTGGTTTGCCAGGGTGAAAAAATCCTCAGAACATTTCTCGCAACACCACACAAATTCCCTTTTTTTATATTGGAACTATTATACTAATTAAGGTGTAGTATTATTAATCAAATTTGATATTGTAAGGCTTGTCCAGATGCCAGGATTTACTATAGCTCAAAGCAAAGCGTTTCATTTGGTAAAACCGTGGTGATAAAAAAAAAAAATCATTTGCGTGGTGTTGCGAGAAAAGTTCTGAGGATTTTTTTACCCTTACAAACCAAAATTTGGCAGCTAATCTTTACATATTCTAAATCAGAAAAGTTCAGTAAATTTTTTGATATTTAAGTGCCACGTTTCGTCAAAATCTGAGCGTCGCACATGGAGCATCAGTCTGTCGGGAAAATAATGAGCACAATGTCGCATCGAAAATCTGCCGTCGAGAAAATGAATTGCGTCGCGGCAAAATCCAATTGCTTTTCACTTCAGCGGCGCGGTCGGCGTAGCGACATTCTGCTCACCATTTTCTCGACAGACTGATACGTGTCCTGCAATTCGAACCCTACCCTTTGCAGAACGCGAGTTGGCTCGGCATTCGGTCGCTATAGCTGACACGTTCCAGGTACGAGTTTTCCGATCCGTCCTCACCAATATCACGTTTTGAACGATTAGCTAACTTCTCCTGTTCATATTGAACCACAATCTTCATGTATCGCAGCCAAACATTGCTGGCGGCAATAACCGCCGTATCGGTCGTGTTCCTCACACATCTGTCAATGCCTTGGTTGAGGAAGCGGGCAAAACCGGCGGAACTGGCGCCATGACGGGAGTTGATGAGGTCCACGAAGCTACCGCCGAGTTGCGAGAACACGCAGTGGGTGAGGTTGGCGATCGGCGCTCGGTGCTTGTCGCTGCTGAAAAGAGGAAACTTAGCCAAGCATCACAAAACATATATATCCGATATTTAGCGGGCAATTTCTGGGGGATGTTTCACGTACAAAAAGGGCACTAACTCGAGTTAACGGCATCACAGAAAAAGCGGAGAGAGCAGAGAAAAAGAGGGGCGGTAACTCGAGTGACCTGACTTTTTATCGACTTTGGCCGCACATTTTGGGCCATAACTTTTGGTACAGTCGACCAATTTGCGCCCTTCCAAAAAAATATTAATGCTGGTGGTACACAGAATACATGGATATAAATTTGTAAATTTTTCTTCTAAATTATGCAAATTATATGCAAATTTTTTTCTTGGTATCTTAAAGCTCGTCTTTTATTAAAATCTTTATATGGACACGTTTGTTACGCTCTCAGCATCAAAGGGTCTTTTGAAGGGTGTAAATTGGTACACTGTATCAGGAGTAATGACCGGCGCAACAGTGGGCGAGAATTTTTTGGTCATAACTTTTGTCACAGTAAACCAATTTGCAAATTTTTAAGAAAGTTTTAAAGCTGGGACCACGCTGCGTATGATGGTATCACAATTTTTTCCGGATCTTGCATCTTAAATACCAAGGGAAAAATTTGCATATGTTTTGCATAATTTAAAAGGAAAATTTAGAAATTTATATGTGTATATTCTGTGTACCGCCAGCATTAATATTTTTTTGGAAGGGCGTAAATTGGTCCACTGTATCAAAAGTTATGGCCTAAAATGTCCGGCCAAGTCCATAAAAAGTCGCCCGATTCGCCAATCAAAAAGAAGAGGGATCACTCAAGTTACCACTCCTCTTTTTCTCTGCTCTCTCCTCTTTTTGCGTGATGCCGCTAACTCAAGTTAGGGCCCTTTTGTACGTGAAACATCCCCCTGGTGCTTATAATCTAACAGGCCGCCGAGGAGTACGCAAAAGGCGGAGTGTGGCCAGCGATAAAATCGCCTTTTGGCCAAATTTTTGCCGTTTATTTTTTGTGGAGACAATACTCTCTACAGTAGGAAAAGGTGCGATAATTTGTAATAGGGCGTTCAAAATTTTGAGAACGTTCTTTGCCGAAAACCAGAAAGTTATACTTTGAATTTGAACCGCAGTAAACTCACATGGACTTGAACCAGAAATCTGAGAAAACTTTGACACCGTCACCGTCGAGGACCCGGTCACGAACAAGGACTTCTGGGATGTACTGGGGAGGAAGTCGAAGGGGCTTATTTGGGCCAGCCGCCAAGGTTCCGGCTGCTAGGGTGAAGGCTATCAAGGCTGTTAGAAACATCTTGAATGTTCTGAGATTCCACTGATTCGCATCTTTTATATAGTCATTTTTAATTGATTTTATGTTGTTTTATTCATAGAACAATGTGAATCAAACGGTGATAGTCATCAGGAATCAACACAAGATGTTCTGGAAAGGCCAGAATTAATCAAAATATGCTCATGTGTAAATTCCTCACCTCAGTGTCATTCACCTTTTTGCAAAATTTCGCAAGCCTGTTTTTAACAGACCACATATCACTCGATGAAATTCTAGCTTGCAAAATTAAAGAAAAACCTGAGCGTCGCATTTAGCATTTAGTTCTTTATAAAACTGCGTAAAGACTCATTTCTAATGGCCATTTTTATAAAGCAGTGACTTTTCTTTGGCCACATTTTCTTGTTTCTTATCCGAAAATTTCAATCTGTCGGGAAAATAATGTGGATTTGTTGCAGTAAAATGTCTGGCCTCCTCGTATTCGCGCACGTAAAATCTCCAGTCGCAGCTGACGAAGCGATGATAGGTGCTCATTATTTTCCCGACAGATTGGTTTTAGAAATTTTCATAAAGTGCATGGACATTTTTTTCGGCTCGTACAGTGTACAAGAAAACCCTATTCTGCACCGTGCATTTTGCCCTTTTTTTGGGTTTCGCACTGTGCATAAAAATATTGCTGCGACATAATCAAGTTTCAGCCACGTCGCTGCGCCAGCAATTTGCACAGTGCAAACGGGTTTTTTTTTGAGGTTTGCACTGTGCATCAAAAAAAAAAAAAAAAATTCACTGTGCGTTGGCGACAAGCGTGGGAAAAAGTTCAAAATGCACAGTGCGAAAGAGGGCAAATGTCTATGCACTTTATGAAATGCACAAATAAAAGATTTACAGTGGCGGTCAAAAAAAAACGGCCCCCCAAGATGATGCGCTCTAGCGCAGAAGAGAGTGCTCGTAGGAAGATAAATATGGTATCATTGTAAAGCTTATGCAATACTAAGACGTGTGACTATAAACTTGTGGTACTGTAGTGCTGGCCTAGCACGTACTGGGGCAATATGTTATTTTGGCCTGGTCAAAAAAAATGGCCACCCATAATTATTACGCTTCAAACGCGGTTTATGTTATAAATTGCCGCCATATGCGACTGCACTAGGATAACTACATCAATACACATCAGGTCCAGTATTTTTTACTTTGTACATATGCCCTCAGGCATCAGTCAAGGTTGATGACCTTGTTCATGGTTAAGGCCCGGCCAAAATTTTTTTTTGGATTTGTGTCGTTGTTTTGATAATCCTGAGCAATACTATAGACGGTATTTATCGTATTCATGTGTAAAACTGTCCACTTCTGCCAAAATTGCGCCCCTTCTGATAAGAAAAATAAAAAAAAGAAGATTTTTTGGCTGAAACTTAATCCGATCGTTAAATTAATTTTAAATCAATTGAAGTTACGTTCAATAATAAATAAAAAAAATGTAGGGGTTTTGCCAATATTCGACAGTTTTGGCAAATTTTTATCTGTGAATTAAAGTACAATATCAGATTTTGATTTTCTCTGATGACGTCGGCTCAGTTTTTTGAAGGCTTTGAGGAGGTCGCCGGCCAACTTGAGGTCTTTGTCGTCGCAACCGCTGATCAGTTCGTAGTTGTCGTTGGGTCGATGGTGCTCGGTCAACTTGGGGTTTAGCCGCTCCTTCAGGTCAAACCGGCAGCCGCTGAAATGAACGTCGGATATAATAGAAAGCGAAACAAAAGAAAACCTTACACTCCGGGGAAGAGCTCGTCGAATATAAATAATCCAGCGCCCAGCACATCCATGAATTCCTTGCCGTGGAGACCACTGCTCAAAGTCAAGTTACGGCACGGCCTTGGCCAGTGAAACATTCTAAAGCTCGAATATACGATGCAGTATAGTACGCAGCGGTTCTTGGAACTCTGAGATTGCGTTTTGCAGTTCAAGCCGAGGCATTAAACGATCTTTTCGGCCGAGAAATATTTTTCCCAATTTTCGATCTATTTAAAAATTTCGGTTGTTTCTGCAAAGCGCGAGCTCGGATTCTCGCATATATTTTAGAAAAATATATATTCTAAATTTGTTGCCGGGTTTTATCAAGATCTGAGTGTCGCACTTCTGTCGGGAAAATAATGAGCACGCATCGAAAATCTGCCGTCGAGAAAATGAATTGTGTCGCGGCAAAATCCAATCGCTTTTGACTTCAGCGGCGCAGCCGCATTCTGCTCACTATTTTCCCGACAGACTGATACGTGTCCTGCAATTCGAACCCTACCCTTGGCAGAACGCGAATTTGTTCAGCATTCGGTCACCATAGCTGGCACGTTCCAGGTAAAGCCCGTCATCACCAATATCACGTTTTGAACGATCAGCTAACTTCTCCTGTTCATATAGAATCATAAGCTTCGTGAATCGCAGCCAAACATTGCTGGCGGCAATAATCGCCGTATCCGTCGTGTTCCTCACACATCTGTCAATGCCTTGGTTGAGGAAGCGGGCAAAACCGGCGGAACTGGCGCCATGACGGGCGTTAATGAGGTCCACGAAGCTACCGCCGAGTTGCGAGAACACGCAGGAGGTGAGGTTGGCGATCGGCGCTCGGTGGTTGCCGCTGCTGAAAAGAGGAAACTAAGCCAAGCATCACAAAACATATCCTGTATTTAGCGGGAAATTTCTGGTGCTTATAAGCTAACAGGCCGCCGAGAGAATACGCAAAAGGCGGAGTGTGGCCAACGATAAAATCACCTTTTGGCCAAATCTTTGCCGTTTATTTTTTGTTGAAACACTATTCTCTACAGTAAAAATAGGTGTGATAATTTGAAATACGTTTTTCAGAAATATAAAGGATGGTCTTTAGCTCGCGCTTTGCAGACACAACAGAGATTTTGTTTGCAAAACTTTGAGAACCGTCCTTGCCGAAAAACAAAAAGTTATACCTTGAATTTGAATTATAATAAACTCACATGGACCTGAACCAGAAATCTGACACCTCCTTGACACCGTCACCGTCGAGGACCCGGTCACGAACAAAGACTTCTGGAATGTACTGGGGAGGAAGTCGAAGGGGCTTATTTGGGCCAGCCGCTAAGGTTCCAGCTGCTGCTGTGAGGGCTATCAAGGCTGTTAGAAGCATCTTGGATGTTCTGAGATTCCACTGATTCGCATCTTTTTATATAGTCATTTTTAATTGATTTTATGTTGTTTTATTCATAGAACAATGTGAATCAAACGTTGAGTAAGGCATAGTCATCAGAAACCAAATCAAAAAATTCTGGAAAGGCTAGAATTATGTGATCAAAATAGGCTCATCTGTTTTCTGATTAATTCCTCTTTTCAATGTCATTCATGTTTTTGCAAAATTTCGCAAGCCTGTTTTTATCAAACCAAATATCAATTGCGCAAATCCTTGCTCGAAAAGCTGAAAGAAAATTTGAGTGTCGCATTTAGTACCTTCTTTATAAAACTGCGTAAAAACTCATTTCTAATGGCCATTTTTATGAAACGATGACTTTTCTTTAACCATATTCTCTTGTCTCTCATCCAAAAAGCTTAATCTGTGTCGGGAAAATAACGTGGATATGTTGTATCAGAGTTTCTGGCCTTGTTGTAGTCACCAAATCTCGAGTGTTACCCACTTCGCGAGTGGGACACTTCGCGTGAGACGCTTATCCCACTTCGCGTGCACGCGAAATGGGTTTCACGCGAAGTGGGTAGTCACCGAGGTTCATAGTACCCACTTCGCGTGACTTTCCAAAAATTGCCGGGGCCCACTTCGCGTGTAATTTTTTTGTTCGGTGCCCACTTCGCGTGAGATTTGGATTTTCATTGGAATTCACGCGAAGTGTCTCCGGCAAATTTTAATCAACAGGACACTTCGCGTGTACCGTATTTCGTTGATTTGCCTGATTTTGGCATTCTGTTTTTGCAGGAATTGTCGCCTTTAGAGTGGTAGGAAAGACTTTTCACGGTCAGTCCTGAGGTTTTTATGAAAAACTGAACCATAATGATGTATAAAACATAAAAATCGGCATAGTTTGGCATGTTTTATACATTTTTTACACTAAAATAATATAAAATGATTTTTTAGTTTTAAATCTAGAACATGCAGCGAGACTAATTCGACTTCCTGATGTCTGTCATGCTCCAAGCTTCGCTTAGAACCTATAAAACCTGCCGTTTCACCTCCTCCATACACCGGGTTTTGCAGAATAACATCAAGTCATCATGAATAATATAGTTTTACTCCTGGAATTATTTTTGTTGTATACTGCCGTGTTTGAAGGATGGATTTCTTCCTAAAATGGTCTGTCTGACATGTTAAAAGTCTTTACAGGCCCCTTACACGTAAATTGAAGATTTTGATTCTTGAAAAAACAAAAAATCATCAAAAATCAAAGAAATATACAAAAGTCCTTATTTTCACACTTAATTCTTCAACTTCTATGTATTATCTGAATTGCTAGAACATTTACAACGTTTTTTTACCATTTTTGCCCCCGACTTAGCTTTGGGCGGAACAACATCGTCATGGATAACATCGGGAGCATATACTAAAATCGCTTCGAAATCAGTTTAGATGTATCGCAAACACTATAAATAATATATATTCTGATTCCTCAGATTATGCTGGACATTTTGGAGTCAAAATTGGATTTACCATTTTTTTACCGTATAACACTTACTACGGTAAAATTTTGTACAATAATCGGATAGGTCTGAAATTTTGCGTGGAGATGTCTATCTATATGCTAGACAAGTCTGCCAAATTTCATCCAGATCCACCCAGTAGTTTCTGAGTTATAAACAATTTTATTATTCAAAAAGAGGTTTTTTCAACCTTCAAAATCGTGTTTTCAACCTTATAGTAACTACTGGGCACATTTTCTAAACCTTATCTCAGCTCAACTTTGATCAATTTTCGATTTTTAAAAAGGAATTGAAGTAACTCGGACACTGCGAACCACGTGGCAATACTTATTTTTTGTTCCGGCAGCTCTAAAGTATCGAAAAACACAATGCCAAAAATAGCCAAAATTGCGCGAAATTTGAATTTACATTGCTTTTTTTGCAATTTTAAAACATTTCCAGCTTTTCTAACCCTTCAAGCGCCAACACCAAAAAATTTATATTTTTCCTGCCATTCTGAAGCACTTTTAATCAATTTCAATTTAGGTGTCATTTCAAGACTGGACAAGTGGAATATACCGCTAAGTTGGTACGGGAAAAATATGCAAATCATTTGAACTGACCTCTTAAATGTTTGTTTAGTTGCTGGCAGCGTCCAACAGTCGTAGTTGTTGAAACCATTCAAATTTCGCGCAATTTTGGCTATTTTTGGCATTGTGTTTTTCGATACTTTAGAGCTGCCGGAACAAAAAATAAGTATTGCCACGTGGTTCGCAGTGTCCGAGTTACTTCAATTCCTTTTTAAAAATCGAAAATTGATCAAAGTTGAGCTGAGATAAGGTTTAGAAAATGTGCCCAGTAGTTACTATAAGGTTGAAAACACGATTTTGAAGGTTGAAAAAACCTCTTTTTGAATAATAAAATTGTTTATAACTCAGAAACTACTGGGTGGATCTGGATGAAATTTGGCAGACTTGTCTAGCATATAGATAGACATCTCCACGCAAAATTTCAGACCTATCCGATTATTGTACAAAATTTTACCGTAGTAAGTGTTATACGGTAAAAAAATGGTAAATCCAATTTTGACTCCAAAATGTCCAGCATAATCTGAGGAATCAGAATATATATTATTTATAGTGTTTGCGATACATCTAAACTGATTTCGAAGCGATTTTAGTATATGCTCCCGATGTTATCCATGACGATGTTGTTCCGCCCAAAGCTAAGTCGGGGGCAAAAATGGTAAAAAAACGTTGTAAATGTTCTAGCAATTCAGATAATACATAGAAGTTGAAGAATTAAGTGTGAAAATAAGGACTTTTGTATATTTCTTTGATTTTTGATGATTTTTTGTTTTTTCAAGAATCAAAATCTTCAATTTACGTGTAAGGGGCCTGTAAAGACTTTTAACATGTCAGACAGACCATTTTAGGAAGAAATCCATCCTTCAAACACGGCAGTATACAACAAAAATAATTCCAGGAGTAAAACTATATTATTCATGATGACTTGATGTTATTCTGCAAAACCCGGTGTATGGAGGAGGTGAAACGGCAGGTTTTATAGGTTCTAAGCGAAGCTTGGAGCATGACAGACATCAGGAAGTCGAATTAGTCTCGCTGCATGTTCTAGATTTAAAACTAAAAAATCATTTTATATTATTTTAGTGTAAAAAATGTATAAAACATGCCAAACTATGCCGATTTTTATGTTTTATACATCATTATGGTTCAGTTTTTCATAAAAACCTCAGGACTGACCGTGAAAAGTCTTTCCTACCACTCTAAAGGCGACAATTCCTGCAAAAACAGAATGCCAAAATCAGGCAAATCAACGAAATACGGTACACGCGAAGTGTCCTGTTGATTAAAATTTGCCGGAGACACTTCGCGTGAATTCCAATGAAAATCCAAATCTCACGCGAAGTGGGCACCGAACAAAAAAAATTACACGCGAAGTGGGCCCCGGCAATTTTTGGAAAGTCACGCGAAGTGGGTACTATGAACCTCGGTGACTACCCACTTCGCGTGAAACCCATTTCGCGTGCACGCGAAGTGGGATAAGCGTCTCACGCGAAGTGTCCCACACGCGAAGTGGGCTTCCCCCCCAAATCTCCAGTCGCGGCTAGCCGTCGCAAAGCGATGATTGGCTATTGAAAGGCGCGACAAATCCACATTATTTTCCCGACAGACTGACAATGAATACCTTAGGACTCTCGGAAAGTAAAAGCAAAAATTTGTCAATAATTTACATTTACATGTAGGGTATGACTACAAGAAAATTTGAAGAAAACAATGAAAACATGCCGCTACATCTTCATCACCGTAGTTGTTAAATTTCAATTGAAAACGCTGTACAATTCCACTCCATTTGCGAAACAAATTGTTTTTCAATTTGGAAAAAGTTTGGAAAATACAATAAGCAGCTCGGACTTCGAAGCCGAGCATCAAACTCGGGGATTTCCTTTCATTCGGATAGCATGATGTTGTTTGGAGATGTTGTTTTCGGGTTTTGATGTTTCTTTTATAATATTTTCCTTGTGGGTTACTGTAGGATAGGTTTTGTTTCTCACAAGGGGTTTCTTGCCGAGATGGCATTGTGGACTAGATATCAGTTTGTCGGAAAAATAATGTGGATTAGTTGCAGCAAAGTATCTCGCCTCTTCGCAGCCGCGCACCAAATCTCCAGCCGCGGTTAACAGTCGCAAAGTGAGTAATGGGCGGCTGACTCCCACTCGCAACCAATCCACATTATTTTCCCGACAGACTGACAACGTAGACTGCTTTGCTTTTTCAGCAAATTTTTTTTGACAAGGAAAGTACTTCTATGGGGTATGAAGTTACAGGTCGAGTCATATATCAAAAAATCGCAAAGTTTTTTGATCCAGAATATATAAAAGTTAGCTGCCTAATTTTGGCTTGTAAGGATGAAAAAATCACCTGAACATTTCTCGCAACACCACGCAAATGCCTTTTTGACAAAGTCTTTACCAAATCAAAAGCTTTCTTTTGAGCTAAAGAAAACCCTGGCATCTTGACAAGCCTTAACATATCAAATTTTATTAATACTACACCTTAATGAGTAGTTCCAATATAAAAAAGGGGCATTTGTGTGGTGTTGCGGGAAACGCTCTGAGGATTTTTTCACCCAGACAAACCAAAATTAGGCAGCTAACGTTTGCATATTCTGAATCAGAAAAATTTTGCGATTTTTTTGATATATGACTCGACCTGTAACTCCGTACCCCATAGAAGTACTTTTCTCGTGAAATCTGTCTATTTCCTAGTCCGTCCGCAACGTCGCTGGACTAAGCTTTACGATGTGCACTGTGTCCGAAGGCTTCAGGGTGATGAATAATAAGAAAGTACTCCTTGCAACATGCAATTTGTCAATTTTGTACCATGGAATAGGCATTTTTGTGCTGTCGCTTGCACTCTGAATTTTTTGCACAGCGCAAGCGCCAAAAATCAGTTCAGCGAGTTTCCGGGCTGGACTAGAATTTTA